ACCCTTTGAATAAGAGTTAAAGGTTCAAGAATAAGGGTCAAGTTCAGTCAGTTTATAAAATTAGCTTATTATTAAGTTCTATACCATTCTGACATAGTCGAATTCGTCGTTTGATTTAAAAATATTTACAATACGTCACGCATTACTTCCAAGTTCAGTGGCAGTGTATTTTTTCTTCAAATTCGTATTTTGCATTATTCATAGACAGAGGCGACAACTGATTCTATGAACTATAAATCTATTAACTATCACATAATTCAGTAGAATTGCTATAACTATTGTATTGGTCATGACACAAACACCTACAAATTAATTTATATAACGGTTTACAATGATGTAAATACAAATTGTAAGAGAATATTTCTTTGTCTAGAAATACCATTATATTGAGTAAAATGCATCAACGTCCGTAAAATAAAACTTTGTCGTGAAAACAACGTAATTTCATCAAATAGCAATAAGTCAATGCTTTCCATTCATTTGTTTGTTACGTAATAGCAGCATGGATGATGCCTTTCTTTCATCTTTGAATGAAAAATTCATTGACGATTCAACGGCAAGTTTAAGGTTTCGCTCTTACAATTGTGTTTTGTATATGTTTTAACCTTTCAATGGTTTCAATCAACATTCATCGGGCATTTAATTTACAAACAATTTACAATCAACGGCGAATTAACTAAATGAAAGTTTTTTTAAATATTGAAAAGCACAGCGAATAAGCTTATTTTTATTAATACTATAGCATTCTTACGGTTCATAGAACAGCAAATAGCCTAATTTGTTTTGTCGATAGCCTTATTTATTTCGTGGAAATGATAGACATCTAATTGTTACACCGAATTTCGTTAAAAAACTGAAAAATCGTTTAAATTGATGGACGATTGAATTTGACGTAATGTAATCGTCTCGATCGCAGTGAAGTATCAATTTGTTAAAATGTTCACTCAACCATATTTGAATAAGTGGCTCAATATATTTTAAGTGACGGCTTTAGAATGATGTACACTGTACATGACTTTCGTCGATAACGGAACCCCTCAACCATTTTGTCTTCATGCTTTGAACGCTCTTTTTTCTCATACCCAATTTGAAATTGCATACGCATTTTCAAACTTGGTGTATTCATTGGAAAATTGTCAACACAAATATCTGCAGTTTGAAAAATATGTAATATACAATAATAAACGTAAGCATAATTGCTTTAAATCGGATAAAAAGTTTTGGCAACCACCAAAAATGGCAGAAAATTAATTTCCAGAGAAAAATTAAGTATAACCACAAAATGTATTTCAAGATTTCATAAGAACAAATCTTAATTTCTCCTTTTGTTCGAATTTTGTTCGCTGTTTTGCACAAATCAAGATTTTAAAGACGATGAAGAAAAAGAAAGACAAACAATTTGTTCGCATCGAAATGAGACGTTTTGATAATACTAAGTCAATGTTAGATGCAAATGCTTGAATCTGCGATTTTTTTTTCCGGATGTTTACTATTGTCCTAACCATCATACGTATTAAACAATTCTCAATGGAACACTTTTGAAATTACACCATCCAATCAATTTATGAGACTTTTTGTATGTTGGCCTTTGGCATATTTTCTAAGCAGGAGAGCCCACAACGAGGGGGCCACCTCCATGCGCTTGCCTTACTCGTTAAAAAAGCTCAAAAACCGAAATATGTCATTTTTGGAAGGCCGAAAACTGAAAATGTAACCCCCCTAACGCACCGCGGCCACCCTTGATTATCAAACAATCTTCATTCTCGTGTATTTGATTTTTGGGAATTAAAAAGATATACTTTATGTAGGAGAGTTTCTATTTTGACATGAAGAATGAATATGAATTTTAAAGATGATGCGGAACAAACAATAATATCTACTTAGAAAAAAATGATCCATTTATCAACGAGTTTGCATTCTGTGTGCTATTTATTTTATTTTTTATCAGTTGATGATAATATGAAGATCGTGTACAAAGCACGTGAAAACACGGGGACATTGTTATATGTGTGTTCTCTTGGGGCAGATGGATTATTAAAATTGAATTCACATAAGTAAATTTACATAACCGCCAGCATGAATGTACTGATGTGATTGACGGAGGCTTCTGGATTCTGAAAGTCACATTTCAAAGGTCAAACACATACAATATAATTTCCAGTAATATTACATTACGTATGGTTACGTTTTCTCCTTTGATGGTGGCTTTTTTTTTTTGAAGACTATTTAAATTTTCCACTTTTTGGTCACCACCTTCATTCATCAAATTGACGTAATGAAAAGCCCGTATTTAGTTTGTATGTACACTTGGCCAAAAACTGGAAAATGTTTACGATAATAATAGAATTTATCTCGTTCGTTTATCAATGTTGTACTTGCTTGTCTTGCTTGAGATTGCAGCTTGCTGTGCAACGTAACGTCATTTGATACACTTCATAAATGATTGATTTCGACGATGTCGTCATGCATATAAGGTTTTCAACTTTCATTTTCTATTACAGTTACTTTGATTTTGTAAATAGGACTATACACTTATGTCATAATATGTCATAATAATAGAAAATTAGTTCAACAAATTGAAGAAAATAAAAACATATTCTAAACGACATATAAAATGAATTCACATACTTGGAAAATTATTTTATTAAAATATTAACTTTTATTGCTGACTCAATTCTCAGCACACGGTTTACCGCGTGTGCTTGGTCAGTGTGCTTGTCTCAGCAAACTTTCGACTCGCACGCTCTTTCGTCCATATTCTTGAAACATTATTCCAAACCGATGTTCAACACTAATTGGCAATAAAAGCTAACTTGGCTTCGCATGCACAGTGCACACGATAAAGTGAAGTGCAAAGAAAATATCGCCCACCGAAAATTAATATTTCTTATAATTGGGTTGCGGTTTGTCCATGATTTAAGCGTTACACCAATACATCCGATTTATATTGGTTTTTTTCAAAAATTATTTTATCCTCTCCGAAGAAATTCAACGTCTTAATTCGATGAGGTAAATAAATACAGTTTGTTCGTTGAAGTTATCAAGAGCACACAACATAGTTATACCCAATCAATAAGCTCCACTATAATTGCCCCCCACATGATTTTTTCTGTGCCTTCTGATCACTGACTCATTAAAAGTTTTAGAAAATTAAATACAATTCCCGAACAAACACAACAAAAAAATGGACGAAAATAAAAGTGGCTACTACACTTTACGGTAAATTCTGAAAGAAAAACAGAGAAAATCAAACAGAATAAGCATTAGCACCCGGTGTTAATATGTATTACATAAAAATAATCTACGCATTTTAAAATTTAGTTTTGCAACTTTCATTCTGTTTATTACGATTGCTCGTTGCATTTGTTACATCATTTACAAAGTATATAATTTCATTTCGTCGAGCGAAAAAAAAAACTTCAAAAGTTGTCACCAAAGACGTAATATAATGTGATGACGCACGAAATATCAGGAAATGCATGATTCCCACATACAAAAAGTACAAATTCACTTTGAATTACAACGCATCCCGTATACCACATGAAACAGAGTGCCCACGCTTTGATATGTTTTTATATAAATAGCGCGTTTCATTGAAACAAAAATTCGATTAAAATAAGAACTATTGCTTTTACCATTTTTGATCCACAAACAAATGTTTCAAAGTAGAAATAAGCATGGTTTGTTAGCTTTTCACTTCTTGGAATTGTGAAATCTGATACTATAATTGGAATTTGTGGTAACTTGCCACAAATGATTCAATAGAATAATTAATAACGGTCAATATTGTGAAAAGTACCAAGAACTACAGGATTTGTAGCAAGTTTCGTGCCAGGGTATTTTTTTTTGTACATACAGAGCTGTGTCTGTTTGTGATGCTAAATTTTTGAAGCAAGAGCCTACTGTGCGCAAAACTTCAATTGAAAATCAAATAATCATTAGATAAGTAGTATTAAGTCGAAGGTCTTTTGAGTCTACTTCAATCATGGAATCGATTTCCAATGACGAAAGCCATATTAAGGGAGAAAAACACCACGAATTTTGATCAAATTTTCGATTAACTTTGAGAATATAAAACGTTAAGACTATGCCCAAGTGTATTCTTGTGCACTTTTGATGTACTACTATATTGATTTCTTTCCCATGATGAATCCAAAACACGTGGAATTTAATTTCACCACATAAAAAAATGCATACACACTTCCAAAGGGAAATTGGTGTGTCATAAAAACAGGAACGTGCAATACTTTTTATTAGTTTCTGAAGTGTCCTTATGATTCATTTTCCACGGTTAAGTTTGTTCGTTTTGGAAAATAATTTGATTGCCTGATATATACACATACGTCAAGACATGGTGACATATCTCCGATCTAATTCTTGTTTGTAATTTACTTTGATGCAGAAAATGTGTTCTTTTCGTTTGCTGATAATGTTTTGACACATGAAAAAGCACAACAGATCGACAGATATTCGACAAAGAATAATATAAGAAGCAAGAGACATCATAACTTTCAATCTGACTTCAATTGCATTTGCATATCGGTCGATTAAAGGCCAACTCACACCAAATAACGTACTGGTTTGCAAAATCATAATCAAATTGCAGACATTTCTTAATTGAAGCCATTGAATTTTTGACATGTATTTCACATTTCTTATTATTGCCGATATTTTTTCGAATGTGTTCAAACAAAATCGTAGAATGGGTCGCGTTACCACATCTGTTTCAGAAAACAGTTGAAATACATAAACTTACACATTTTAAAGATGTATTGTATCAGTTCAAAGTTCAAAAAATATACAAAATGTGCAGTTTCAACTGTTAATAGATAGCGTAACAATGTACAAACGGTTTGCTCATTTGAAACTTGTATTCTTTGCTGGACTTATAAAAAAATTATTTATCAACATTTTTTATGTAATTTTAATATATTTTTTTCTATTACATGAATGGGAGTTACCTTTCTGTTTTTTCTTCTCTTGTTTCATGCCATATCCAGCCGAGGGGAGCTAATTTTACAAACAATCTACATAAAAAGGGAAACAAACAAAATGCGTTCAATTGCCATTTCAATTATTTTACTTGGATATATTGTAACCATAAGCAAATGCGAACAGGCATACGAATCAAATGCAGTCGATTTTGATGGTTTAGCAACGGATATTGATAAAGACAGTATGATAAAGCGAATGGAACGAAGAGCGTATACATACATGACCGGCATTCCAGGCACTAAACGGCTGCCCAACTACAATTTTGGTTTAGGAAAACGGGCCAGGTACAGGAATATCTATAAAAAATTTCCTAACCAGAAATATTTAACGTATTTACATACGTGTCATTCATGTCTGGTGTTTTAATAATTTGAGTCATTTTCTATGATCGTTTCCAAACAAAAGTAGGCCATACAGATTTGGTTTGGGGAAACGCTCTGATGATTTGGACTATGATGATTCGGCACTTTTTGGTGATCAACAAAATTGGAGACCGTGGTTTGAACGAGGTTGGTGATTTTTTTTTTTTTTCAATTTTTTGTCCATTTTAATAACATGTTACATTTGCATACAGATCAAAGATCCAGATACAACATGGGACTTGGCAAACGTGGAAATGTGGAAAGACGGACGCCGCCAGAGCGGTAAGAAGTTTAAGATTATTAAAATTATTTTGAAAAGTATTTCTTGATTAAAACAAAAAATAATCAATTCATATTTTTAGCTTGTATGGGTTTGGTCTTGGAAAACGTGCTGCAAACATAGAAGAAGATGCATCAACAACAGCACCAATTGATCAATCAAATTATGACGGATATGACCGAAGTATGTATTCAGCAAATTACTAAAATTCCATCAACAAAGAAATAAAACATTCAAATCATTATCATCGATTTAGTCTAATTACCATCTCACATTTTTCGCCATTTAGTTCGAGCATCACGCGGAGCACTATCGGTTGGACTTGGAAAACGTTTGATTCAGGATGAAAATGTTGAAAGAAGATCGGGCGCACAACGCTACAATTTCGGTTTAGGTCGTTAATTCTTTTTTTTTTAATTTAAATTTTAATTTCTGACACCCAGTCATTCAGTAAAGTATGATCAGTAGGATATGAAATAATGGAATACTGAAAACGAGTAAGGATGAGAAAAATAAATGGGGAAAGAGAGTGAGAGAGTGTGATATAAAAATGAGTGGTTTACCATTCAATGCTGAGCTAATTGAATTGTTAAGTTAACTCTAATTTTATTATTGAAATAGGATTTTGCGCTCAAATGTCAACCATGCAAATTAAACTCTTTGAATGTCCAGTGTCCACATTTCAAACAATTATGTACATGTCACGTGACACAAATCTTGAAAATTGCACCATATTTCATTTCACACAAAAGTGCACCCTTTCCACTCATCCGATAAACATGTATAATAATTAAATACATTTATTTTTCCCTTTTCTAAAATCTATTGTCTAAAGCTATTCGTACATTAAAGGCCGCCATTTTTTACACAGTCACTTTAGTTTATTTGTAAATAAGAAAAATGGCTTATCTACAGTGATAATTGCAATTAAACTCTTTTACAGTCACCACTTTATGGCCTTTTACAGTCATCACCATAAATAAACAAAAAAAAAACATTTCAAACACAGTCACTGTTCATGTAAATAAGCAATTTTTTTTATTTATACTTATAGTTAGAGTGACTGTAAATAAAGACGGTCTACATTAAATACATGTATCGTTTAATTTCCAAAATGTGTATTGCAAAAAAATTATTGCAATGCTCGCAAAAAGGGAGGAAACCATTTCAACATTATATAGTTCATATAATACAATCTAGTATAAAAAATAATTCCAAATACCGTGTCAAAATCTCTTGACTGACTGAATGGTTGACTATGTAGATGTTTCTACTTCATTCTACAAATTTACGGCAAAAATCGGCTAAATTTGATCAAAAATTCAATTAATTAAGGTTGTCTGAAATCGTCTATAATTGACCAGAGTTTGCTAAAATTGAAGCAAAACCGTTACCTACAGACGACCGTTTCTTGGAACTGGGACGAAGTACCAAGCCACCAAATAGCGACGCCCTTCTGATTAAAATGTATTGATATTGTACAAGAGTTATTTTGCTGCTAGATTCCATTTTATGTGCTATGTCTTCACACAAAAAAAAGCATAACCTTTCCGCAATCAGTTCAATGCAATGCTCATCTAGTATTTATAGTCCAACCTAAATTCAATTAATAACCCACCAAAAACTAATAAATTCATTTATAAACTTTAAATCGGTCGCATTCCAAAAGTTCTATTTTTTTTTTCAAACATTAACCACTTTACTATTTAGTTGAACGCAACAAGCTGGCCTCTCATTCCATTTTATATGAATTTAACATGTTGGAAATTGTAAATGTATAAAAAAAATAAGCATATGTATCTGAATTCTAACCAAATAATGACAAATTTTAGATAATAAAATATCTTATTTATTTATTTAATCCAAATGGCACACGAATAACTCAATGATTTGTGAAAATAAAAGATTTTAAAGAAAAATGAATAAATGAACTTCAACCGTTGCTCTCAACATTTCATAAAATGACTTAACCCATTTTCCCCTCAAAAAAATATACACTCATGAATGTAAACAAAACAAAATTATCAAATTAAATAATATTTCGGGGTTTGTTCGATTTTAATTAAAAAAATTGGTCATTGTATCCTTTTCGAAGATGCCAATATTCTAAGGAAATTCATAATCTTTATACGGCATACTTAAGAGGTTACATGATCGGCCAAAACAAAAAATTCTATAAATCTAACTACCCTTAATTAATACATTAAAAGTTTGAGATTGAAAAAACACGAAAATAGCTAAAACTATCATAGAATTTTCATTTTATGAAAGAGTCATTTATTTAAAATTATTCTACTCAACTACAACAACATGAACTTAATGTAATAATAAACATTGACATTTTCAGCACATATTAAATTAATTTCATTATGATGACGACATCTGAATTGATTAAAATTTCTAAAACTTCACAATTTTCGGCAAAAAACAAAACATGCGTTGGCTTCAAAATTGCATTTGTAACTAATTTTTTACTTGAATTAGTACGATTAAAAAGGGTCGATAGTAAATGATGGCAAGAATCCAATTTTCTTCCTTTCACACGAAAATATTATTCAAGATTAGATATCGATATTCATTTGCTTTAAAATTGTGTCTAGCCCAAACACAGAACAATTGAACATATAGTTCTTTGGAGATCCCATACCTAAAGTAAACAGATGAAATAAATGCATGTAATTATATAGGAGTTGTGAAAATGAATAATCGAAAAAAAATATATAGAAAATCACATACCGAAATTTGTTTCGAGCATTGGAAGCGTTCGTTTTTCTTTTGGAGTCAATACGGGCATCCATGCTGGTGGTGTGATTGATCTCATTCGTTCTTTGCGTGCAACTAATTTTTTACCTTCGCGTAGCAAGAAAATTGCCTCTTTTGTTACCATAAAGTCTCTCATTTGCTGATGTAAATGTAAAAAAAAAAACATGTTTTATTTTCATTGTTTCGAATCATTTCGATATCGATAAAACATACCTGGTTGATTGTGGGGCATTGGATAAATACGTAAAGAACTGTACATAGCACGTTGAAAATGTCACAATCCTTGTCACACCAACGATATAGAATTTGTGCCACTGTCTCGAAATGTTGAATCTTTTTATGTGGATTGGTAAAAGAATTAGTTTAGTTTAAGTTACTCGAAATGAATTGTTTTTTATCGAAATACTTACTTGAAACACATTTTGTTGTGTAGGTTTGTATCGCGCTAAATTGAGTAAAACCCGACAACACAGTCCAATTATCAATTTATCGACTTCTGATCGTATCGCCTGCGACATGATTCCATAACAAAAATTACCGATGAACTTCGAATCAGCGATCAATGTTTGTGGAATGGTCAATGAAATGATTTCTGCAATATACAAATTATTGATACAAATATAGGTAAGACAATAGAAATGTAATCAACGGAAATAAAAGTGTATTTACCTAATTCTCTGAGAACAGAAAATGCATCCTTAATATTATACCTTGTTCGCAGGTAGTAGACAATGCCTTTAATACGTTGTCCGACTGTATTCTTGTGTTGTGCATGTTTCTGTAAGTATCTTGCTTTTTCGCTTATCTCCCGTAATGTGCGAGGTCTTGTCTTGCGAACACGATATCCACGCCAAAACGACTGAATCTTTTTGGCGGCCTTTATTTGTCGTCTCTTCTCAATCAATTCCGGTGTCATTAAAGCTTTGAAGCGTTTACGAGCCAAGAAACCGCGAATATGCGTTTGCAATCCAACTGCAACTTTTTGCAAGCATTTGAATCGTTCCATTTCTCGGCGTGCATTTAATTTTGATCGATAGCAACGCTGAACAAAACATGTTGCCTCTTTTAAACGTAAGAAATTAGCTTGATCTCTTCGCATTGCCAAATTCGCACGGAATTTTCGTTGAATACAAATGACCAAACATCGGAGCAGTTTATATTGAGCTTGAATTTTTTTCATTGACATTTTGGCCCGATATTGACGCTGCACACAAATCACATAATACTGAAGTTTAAGATATTTGATACGTTGTTTTCGCATTAATAACAACGCCCGATAACGTTGTTGCACGCATATTGTAGCGGCACGAAGTTTTATGTACTCTTCGCGTTGACGCTTCATGATGACATAAGATCGATAGAAATTTTGAATTTTGATCGTTGCTGCTAATTTTGTTTGGAACTGATGCCGAACACGAACCATCTCTCGTTGTGCTCGGAAACGACATTGAATCGTGATCGTTGCTGTACGAAGTTGCAAATACTGTAGTCGTTGATGCTTCATTTTTAAGAATGCACGGAAATGCTCTTGCAAACATTCTGTTGCTGCCCGAAGTTTTATGTACTCTTCGCGTTGATGCTTCATAAGGATATACGATCGATAAAAGGTTTGAATGTTCTTTGCTGCTTTTCTTTGCATTTCAAATTGATTTCGAGTATGAACCATATTCTTTTGTGCCCGGAACCGACGTTGTATTGTGATCGTTGCTGCACGAAGTTGCAAATATTTTTGTCGTTGATGTTTCATTTGCAAATATGCCCGGAAGTGTTCTTGCAAATACAGTGTAGCTGCATGAATTTCTGTGTACTTATTTCTTTGCCGTTTCATGAGCACATATGATCGATAAAAGTTTTGAATTTTCGTCGCTGCCTTTCGTTGCATTTGGAACTGATTTCGGTTATGAACCATGTACTTCTGAGCTCGCAATCTACGTTGTATAGTGATCGCTGCTGCATGAAGCTGCAAATATTTGTGTCGTTGATGCTTCATCTGCAAATATGCACGGAAATGTTTCTGCAAACATACTGTGGCTGTACGAATTTTTGTGTACTCTTCACACTGATGTTTCATGCGTACACATGCTCGATAAAAGGTCTGAATTTTGATCGTTGCTGCCAATTTAATTTGGAATTGATTTCGAACACGAACCATCTCTCGTTGTGCTCGGAACCGACGTTGTAGAGTGATTGTTGCTTCACGAAGTCTCACGAACTCATGGCGTTGCTGCTTCATTTGCATGTATCCACGGAAGAATCTTTGAATATTTAACACGCATCGTTGTGTCACCAAATATCTTACGCGTTGATGACGAGCTTCGATCAAATCACGATAACGGCGTTGAATGTAAATGGCACTTGAACGTATCAATAAGTACTTTGATCGTTCTTTGCGCATCTGCAATGTGGCTCTCAAATGTCGTTGAATAGTTAACGTGGATTGTTTTAATCGGAGATACTCATTTTGTTGAGCATTCCGTAAGCAACATGCCCGATACCACCTTTGAATTTGCATCGTTGATGTTTTTAATCGCAAAAATGACTCCCTTTGTACTCTCATCTGTAATTTGGCTCGGAAGACCCGTTGTACATTCACAATAAGTCGACGTTGCTCTTGATAGATTCGTTTTTGTTTGTGCATTTCAATCTGTGCGCGGAGTCGTCGCTGGATTGTAATTGTGGCTTGCTTTAGTTTCAAGAATTTTGAACGCATTAAATTTGTTCTAAAACGACGTTGAATGGTCAATGTGGATTGTTTTAATCGGAGATACTCATTTTGATGAGCATTTCGTAAGCAACATGCCCGATACCAGCTTTGAATTTGCATCGTTGATGTTTTTAATCGCAAAAATGACTCCCTTTGTACTCTCATCTGTAATTTTGCTCGGAAGATCCGTTGTACATTCACAATAAGTCGACGTTGTTCTTGATAGATCTGTTTTTGTTTGTGCATTTCAATCTGTGCGCGGAATCGTCGCTGAATTGAAATTGTGACTTGCTTTAGTTTCAAGAATTTTGAACGCTGTATTTTAGCCCGCAGACACCGTTGAATAATGATTGATGATTGCTTCAACCGATGATACTCTTTTACTTGAGTATTTCGCAGATAGCAAGCACGGTACCAACGTTGAATCCGCAGCGTTGATGCTTTCAATCGCAAAAATGGCTCTCTTTGCACTCTCATCTGTAGTCTTGCGCGGTACAATCGTTGTACATTCACAATTAGTCGAAGTTGTTCTTGGTAGATTTTTTTCTGTTTGCGCATTTCAATTTTGGCTCGGAATCGTCTCTGAATTGTTAAGGTGGACTTTTTCAATTGTAAGAATTCCGTACGCAATTTTTTCATTTGCAAATAACCTCGAAATGTGTGTTGAATAACAACGGCACTTTTGTAGGTGATCTTTGATTCCTCTTGAACTTGACGCACGATTGGAATTAATCGCACAATTTTACGTGCAAATAAAATGTTGCGATACCATTTTTGAATGACACAACAACTGTGCTTTATTTTCAAATAATGTTGTTGTTGTAATTGTGCTAGTTTTTGATTTCGATACCATCGCTGAATGAACAAAATACAATTGAAACGAATCAAAAATTCTCGAATTGCAATCATGCGTCGAACATATCGCTGAATTGTGATGGCTGCTTTGGTCCGTTCTTCCAGATATTGTCGAGCATATTTACGTCCAATATATGCACGGTATGCGGCTTGAATTTTGGTGGCCGCCTCATTTCGACTTCGTTCAATTTTGGCGCGAATTCTTCGACGAATGCACACACTTAGCCACTTTTTACGCCACCAAAGCTGGATCACAGTTGCGGCCGCATTGAATTTCGGTGCACGAAATTGATAAATTATTTGCCAAAGCAGCGATAACGTTTTTTCACGATGACCGTCGGCAATGTCAGCTGGTGTTATTTTACCTAATAAGAGTGGAAATGTTATAAAGATATTTGCAGCCTCGTTAAAAGTGTGTCTGTTACCTGTTAAGTGGAAATTGGCCTCTTCAAGTGCTTTCAATGCAACTCCAACATTGTGAACTCGTTGTGTTCGTGATATGGCCGGTACACGTAACTGACGGGTTAAGTCGTCTCTCATCAATATAATTTCCATGACTTTTGTTAAACGCACACCATCACGCAAATCAATGGCCAAATTCCGAAATGCATAATCAAATTCATCGATGAATGTTTGCTTATGTGTCAATACGATACCAATGCGTTTTAAGTCACGTTGCACATCGCCAATGTTTCCCAACAATGACGATGAAAATCGTAGCAAAATCTCTTTGGTCTCCTTAAATTCGGACGTCTTTAGAAACAGGCATGGATTATGTTTGATAATTTTCTTATTTTTTGCCACATCCAAAAAATATAATAAACTTAGAAATTTTTTCAGTGTATGCTTTTTGATGTGTTCGGCATACGCATCACCATGTGCATAGACTTTTGGATGTTTTGATTCTAAATAACGATCACGAAACAAACGATTTAAAATGAATGAACTGAGTGCGACCATATCATAATTGTTGTGCATTGGAATTGATTCACCAAATACTGCTTCCAAACCAATGCGCAACCACAACGGATTGAAATTTAACAGCAATTCCAAAATGGAACGTTGCAACACAACGTCCAAATGTAAATTTCGATCTTGACGAATTTGTATGAGTTTGCGTTCAATATGCACTGTTAATTTACTGAGACCGTTCTGCATGTCTGGGCTTAAAATCAATTGAATTGCGGCCGTTCGCAAACTTGCCATGCGATACTTTGTCAAATAGCTTGATGAAACCATTTCCTTTGTGGGAGCCAGTGTACAGTTTTTGTTTTGAACTTCATTGAACAATTTTGCCACATCGGCCGGTTGAATGGCACTTTCGTCCAGCTCCCCTGGTATTGTAACCAGTGCATTTAACCATTTTTTAAATTGAATCTCATGCTTGTCTACGGCACGTTCATCTAAATACATGGTCGCCGATAAAAATGGATCGAGCGTCGTGGTCGCAGCAAATGGATCTGGATTAATAAAGCCTGTGGAAAAAAAAGCACACCGATTAATGATAATTGTACCACAAATTTTTAGTTAGTTTAGGTCAGCACTTAAAATAAATAAACATGTTTTGGTTTTGGCTTTGCATACTCATACGAAGCCAGTATGACGATGTAGCAACATAAAATGATAATTTTGATTTTATAGCACCCCAACTTGATGTTGCATCGATTTAATAAACTCGAAAACTACGACGAATTTGAATAATCGCAACCAACAAAACGTTTTACCGTTTAATACCACGCAATGATTCACATTTCATATCAACATCAACGCAAAACTAATTTCGTGACAAATGTAAAATAGCGTTACATCAACAAACCAAGAAAAACGAAATATGTGTGTGCTACCTATGTCAATCAAGGTTGATGGTAGCTTTTCGAATGGTTTCGTAATTTTGTTTACACGATTAGATTCGATAAATCGTTTAGTTTCATCCTCCCTTGTCAACTGAATGTTCGTGCAAACAACTCATTTTTCGTTCAATCGCTTGTGTTGTTTTCTTCTCGGAATTTTTACAATAAAAAAAAACACCCAAGCTACAATAATACTATGGCACTTTTCACAGAATGATATTTCATATTTTTACCCCTGTAACTCTTTAAAATTCACTTCAAACAACCAAATGGATTTCAAACAATTCACACGATCCAGTGATTTTTTTTTTGTTTTTCACGCGCAACATATATTGCATTTGACACACTAGGTAAAAAAAAATATATTTTCAAATTGACTTACTTTTCATGTGTAATTCTGGATCGTAGAGAATGACACGTTCCTCTTCTTTTCGTTTCAATAGTAAACGCTGTGGTGGCACGCTTGGCATACGGAATTTTTTCGGCATTGTACCTCCCCATGTTTTGGTACGAAATGCTTGTCCCTTTGTCAATTTCGGATTGTCTTCAATGCATGGCCGTTTTGGCGGTGACATCTTATTTAATGATTTTTTGGACGAATCCAAATTTTCATCACGTGTTCGCTTCTTCATAGAAGACTGACCATTGGCATAAGTAATGACGGACGGACGACTTCTTTTGGCCGATATTGAACTGATATCTCGTGTTGATTGCGATTGATCGGGTCGTTCGCCAATTTTATTAATTTTATTTACAGTCGGTGATGATGTTGAGAGAAATTTCTTGGATGCCATGCGATTCTTGTCAAATGTCCGTGGTTTGTCCATTGTAAATCCCAAATTTGTCATTTTCCGTTGACCAATTTCATTTAAATTGTATCGACTTGAGGCGGCCTGAATTTCATGTTCATTGAACGCAACCGACATTGTGCTCACCGTACTTTGAACTGAACAAGTACTTATGTCGCCGATGTTTTCATTATGCTCTTCGTTGCCAATGTTGTCATTATTTGCATTTTGTTGGTTTTCGGTGTCTTGTAAATCCTTTTCAATGCTTTGGCAAAAATACCGATTATTTTCGATCGATTTTACCGATTCTAGCTTATGCAAATTTGGCATTGAACCTTGGTTACATTTCAGAATTTTTTGCTCCAAACTCAGATTGCTGTTTGTGTCATTTAATTCTTTCATTGACAGATATTTTTTACTCAACGGCGTTGCAATCAAACGTACATCACGGACAAGATCTTCGCCACCCGTTGTCGGTTTATTTTCATGAACATTGTACGTGAGCTGATGTTCGCTTTCTTCAATATATGTTTCGCACATTTCAATTTTTGATTGTTCTTCCTGGATCATTGACAGTTTTCGAATGCCAACTGGTGATGTTATTGTGTGTGTTCGATTTATAACTGGCGATATATCATTGTCCTTATTATTTGGTGAAATGTCCAGATTTAACTTTCGCGTTGGAACGGCATCCGAGTGATGAAATTGAAAACTGGCCTCTTCATTAAATGCTGGCGTCTCTTGCATTGCAATGTTATCAAAATACTGTGAATTGTCTACTTCTGAACGGTCAATTGGTGTTTGAAAACTATATAAAATTGTCGTTTGATCATTTACTTTGAGTGGTGTCTTCAATATGGTTTCAGTTTCATTTAAATTTCGATAGCAATGTGTCGTTTGACTTTTTTCCAAGTGTGAATTTGGCGTGGGCAACGATGCCAAATACTCAACATTTGGATTTCCTTTGCCGACTGGTGTAAAATTAAGCGAATCAATCATCCCTGCCATACCGGGCGGTGACAAATTTTCCTTTTCAATTCTTATTTGTGGCACGGTAAAATGTGACACTTTGGACAAAACATTCGATTGATTGCTTGCGCCAAGCACCCGTTTTGTTTGGCTTTTATCTGTCTTTGGCACATCCTTTTTGCTGCTGGCCAATGTATATGTGGCGGTTTTTTGAATTGACATTCGATTTCGTTGTATTTTCTGTCGTGGTGATGGTGATTTCATTGCCATTTTGTCGATTGATGATTTAATTAAAGCCGACTTCTTCAATGTTGCCTTTGAATTCTTTGTTTTGTCAATGGATTTGAGAACAATTGCTACGTCTTTCTTAAAATTTCGATTGTCAGTTAATTGGATAACTTCACGCGTTGCCCACACAACTGTTGGATTCCAAACGATATCCATGGGCTTGTATGTGCGAGCTGGAATTTCGCTTGATGTCCATTCTAATTGAGCGTTTGCGATCGGATTTATCGTTTTTGTAACCAACACCTGAAATTTGCACGAATGCAACATAATTAACCAATAATGAAGATTGAATGGAAATTTCTTAGAAATCAGATTTTGTTTTACCTTTAGCACATCATCCGTTGGATTGTGTATGTGAAGTGTGCGGCGTGCAGTTTTCGTGATGGGAATCTCTTCAAATGTGACAATCGATTTTGCAGAAAATAAACCAAGCACCACATCAGTTGGTTCACGTTCCACCGATACTTTTCGTGCATTCTTGATGCGCGGTGGCGTGACTGAAACCTAAATAAACAAAATAATCACATAAACGAAAATAAGATACAGTTCGGAGTTCAATAGGCTGTTTAGTGCATGGTAATATGTATTTGAATATTTTCATGCGTATTGCATACAACGACAACTGTCAAACGAAATCGAACTAATTCGCAATAACCAATGAATTTCATGTTCTAGAGAATGTTTCGTTTGTTTCGATGAGTTCTGAAAATAGGGATACAAAACAAATCTTTGTTTTTTTCATTTTCTGTTTAGCTTGTCATTAATTGATTTCAGACACGATAAAAACAATCCAAAATATGATGATTATGCCAAACAATTTCCGTTGTCAACATTGTCGTTGCTTTGAAAGATATAGAACCAACTGGTTCTTTTAAATGGTACACTACTAAATCGTGACTTTGAATTGACAACTTTTTCAAGAGCGACTTTTATTGCCAACGAGTTTACTTGTAAATCAATACAAAAAAGAAGGATATATTCAGATATTTTAGCCCAAAATTATTCCAAGTATGCCATAGAATGATTTTATTTAGAAAAACTTTTTGAATGCGTAACAATTCGTTAGTTGATTGTTAGAATATGACGTTTTCTTCTTTTGCACAGTTGACGTTATCCAAACAACCAAAACGTTGATTATGTATTTTTTTCTTATTTTTCATCTTAAGTTTTACACTTTTTGCAAAAAGACAATGAATTCGCTTGTCATTTTACTCTATGCCACTCAATTGCACAATATAATGAAAAACGTTTGTTTTACCTCAAAAGCAGCACTCATTTTATATCTATTTTTCTTTTAGCTGTCATGAGTTGAACAATCGAATTTACTTATTTTATTTCGTCCGATAAAAATCAATAAAATAGATTCATTGTCAATAAAAAACACCAAAAATACGAAAACAAAATGTATTAAAAAAACAAACTATATATAAACTATATGTACTAGGACACTTTAGAATGATGAAACCTATTCGAGGTGAACGTTCGGTGCGAAATGACGGTTTGGCTTATTTCGAATACCATTTGAAAACCGAAATGCTGATGCGATGCATTGTATGTGTTGCCAACTTCATGCTGTGAAGCATGTACTCAACGTGGTCTCTGAAAGGGAAAGATTTACGGAAAATGTCTAATAAACATAAAAGAAATTAAAATATATTCTTTTAAAAAAATGTAAAAAAAAAACAAGAATGTAATCATTAAACAATTACCTTGATTTCTTGAGTTCTTGCAATTGGAGAAAGAATATACCACAGTATTTTACTTAAACAAAAAAAATATGTACTCAAGCAATACTTAATCGCAAAGTGTATTCATAATATTCTTGTATACAAAAAAAAACACATCTGTCAAACAATGTTGTACAATTTGCTATAGTTTTATTGTTGACAAGTGTGTGCACATAAACTGACCCAAGTCAGTCGGCTACAAAAAAAATCATCGTTTTGCGTGAATCGTTTTGTTTTGTGTTATTATTTAAATTTTGTCCATCGAAAATGCCAGCCGACATAAATCGTCTAACGGATGGTTGGCTTGAATTAGAAAGTGATCCAGGTCTATTTACATTATTGCTTGAAGATTTTGGTGTAAAAGGTGTTCAAGTTGAGGAAATCTACGATTTACACAAAATAATTGAAGGACCGGTTTATGGGTAACAACAATCTTGTTATTATTTAACTATAATTGGTTATTAATAAAAACTTTGTATATTGAAATTGTTCAATTCGTAGATTTATATTCTTGTTTCGTTGGACGGAAGAAAGGAGAGCACGTCGAAAAGTTGTTGAAAATGTAGCGGAAATTTTTGTGAAAGACGAAGAAAAAGTGAATAGTATTTTCTTTGCACAACAAGTTGGTGAGTGTTTGTTGTCGATTTATTGCTTGATTTTTTTTGAATTCAATCAATAAAGTTTTAAAAAAAATCGAATATTTTTCTTTCTTTAAACTAAAGTTCCAAACAGTTGTGCAACACACGCGCTATTATCGGTTTTATTAAATTGTCCCGATTTGCATTTGGGCGAAACATTGAGTCGACTGAAAACACACACGAAAGGCATGAGTCCCGAAAATAAAGGTTGGGCAATTGGAAATACGCCCGAATTAGCATGTGCCCATAATTCGCATGCAATGTCACAGGCAAAACGGCGTTTAGACAAAAGTAGTGGCATAAGTACGGGACGGTTTACAGGCGAAGCATTTCATTTTGTTAGCTTTGTACCGATCGATGGTCATTTATTTGAATTAGATGGTTTGAAGCCATTTCCAATGAATCATGGCCCATGGAAAGATGCCGAAGATTGGACGGATAAATTTCGTTGCACGATGGAAGAACGTCTGGGCATTTCAACCGGTGAACAAGATATTCGATTTAATTTAATGGCTGTTGTACCTGATCGAAGAATTGCAATTACACACAAATTGAAAATGCTACGAACAAATAAGACTATCGTAACGGCTGCATTAGAGAAATTAATTACAGCCAAATCACCGCATTTGGCCGCATCAACGAGTAGTAGTGTTGAGGTGAAAAGGGAACCCAACGATTCGGATGGAATAAAAAAAGAGAATAAAGTGATGCCTTTGGATGTGGTGAAAAAAGAAAATGACATTCAAGATAGTGACAAAAAACCCGATTCATCTGAAATGAATATTCTGCAACGACTTTCACTTCACAGTGATCCAACGGTAATGGATTTGAATTCTTTTTTTCTCTATAGTCAGAATTTTTAGTTTAAAAACTCAAATTATGGATGCAATCTCAAAGAGCAACAAAATTCAAATCAATTCAAAAATTCTTCATTTTCATTTTATTGATCATTCTCCCCTTTCTATATTTTACAGAGTGGCCAAGAAACATCAGCATTAGATGAAACTGTGACAGAAGAAACACCACTGTCGCCGAAACAATCATTAGATAATGCATTTACAATAAAAGATCTGAGTTCGTTGCTGAAAAATCTTGAAGCGGAAATCGCATTGAACGAACAACATCTAAATGATGAAAATGATAAACGATACATGTTTAAAGTAAGTACTGAATGTGCGCATGAGAGGACAAAAAGTAAAATTTATATAATTTTTTTAATTATATAGGTCGATGATTGTCGCCGAACTCACAACTATGATGAATTTATTTGCACATTTTTGTCAATGATTGCGCAACGTGGTATCTTAGCGGAGTTAGTGTCACAACAGTTGTTGACTCCACGAAAATCCATAAATAGCCTTGGTGGAAATGGTAATCGTGGAAATAAAATCTCATACAAAAAAACCACACAAAAGTCAACTGGTGGTAAGCGTCGAAAAGGTCGCAACAAATATGCAAAGAAAAAGTAGTGAAATGAAAAGATGAAGAAAAAAAAGACTATGTGTTCATCTGTATATTTTAGTTCTATACCATGTTTATTGTCATATACACACGAAACTCAATTTGAATATTGTGTTATTTTAATTTGTTTGTATTGTTCTTCAAATGTAGTATATCAATCCAACTTTTATTTGTTTAAATTGATCTTAATTGTGTAACCTATGTATATTTAGTATATATTTTATTTTTTACATTTTTAATTGTAATTGAAATAAAAAAAAATCATATTTCCGAAAAAGATGTGTTTTATAATATTGAAAATTAATATTTAATTTTTAGGATAATTCTTTTGATTATAAATTCCTTTACCTTTCAGCAAATTTTTTTACAGCGTGCTTTCTAACAAACTGTGAAGCAGTGCCGGTTAAATTACACGATTCATGTTTGTGCAAAACACCGAGTGAGCCATTTTTTTTTGCTGATTCAATCCAATCCGATCTAAAACACCAATTTGTGCACGCAGATTCCGAACATTGCAAATTGAATATTCATTCAAGTTTAATAACGATTATCACACACAATGACAACGCACTCCTTGTATAAATTCATATTGATTATTCAAGCTGCATCCATTGTCATTTGAATCAATGATTATAATCTTATAAACTTATATTAACTTAATATTATTAAGTAGCCTGAAATTGCAATTTGTGAAAATTATGGAGAAAGATATCAACAATCAATATTTACTTCATATTATTATTAATTATTCAAATGAAGTACAATTTACTATCATGAACCACCCAATATTTGCCATGTTTTTTTCTTATATAAGTCTAAAAATTTCGATGTCTTTAATTCATTTAGAAATAAAAACGTGAAGTAAAAAGATGAAGAAATTAATATTAATTCTATCAAGTTTAGTCGGAATGAGTTTTGCAGTATGTGATATTTATTGTGTTCTAATTTATAACATTTAATATAATATTTTCGATATTCATTCGACAGGCATTAGATATTCCAGAGCATATGAAAGCACCACTGAAGCAAGCGCGTAAGGCATGCATGGGTGAAACTGGCGTGGATCTGAAATATATCGAGGAAAGTAAAAACGGCAATCTTCCCGATGTACCTGAACTAAGATGTTACATATTATGTCTGATGGAGCATCATGGTATAATACATGATGATGGAACTGTCGAATTTGCAAAAATTTATCACTTATTCACACCAAGCGTAAAAGAATCGTTTCAACAAGCCACCAACGAATGTGCAACAAAACGTATGTAATTATTCAAAGAAAAAAACGAGCATGCGTTCAAGAAATACCAATATTCTTCCTTTTGTAGATGGTGAAACTCGCTGCGATACAGCTTATTTAACGATAAAATGTTTCTTTGAGCTACTGCCAGAGGTAAGATAGCAGTTTATCTATTTTGGATGGATATCCGAGATATTTCAGATTATCTGGATATTTAACGCAACTGCACATTGTTAATGATTTGTATTTTCAGGGAGCTGAGTTACCTTAAGGAGTTGCCTGTTAATTTGAAAACAACTGAAATTTGCCTTCAATAATAAATATAAAAAAATATAATAATGAAAGCTGAAAAATTTAGTATGTCATTTATAAATAAATGGTTTACATTTCTTGCTAGAATGGCACCATTCCTCAGTGGGCACAAATGACAGTTATACACCAGTTTTTAGCAGGTTTGGTCGTGTTTTTTTTTTCCTTTTTTTTAGTTCAAACATTTTGCAAATTTTTCTTTATATTTATGCAACAAATTGCATTGTATTTTTGTGGGCAACATGTTGCACATTAGCCGTATTAAAAATGTAACATGTAATTCAGTGTTTCAGAATTTGATATCGATCTGAAATCATTAATAAAAGTTTATTCTTTTTAAATAAGTATTAAATCAGGAAGCAATTTGTGTTATTTTCTCAAAAACATCAATTTGCCATAAAAGACCCATGGTTTTCAATTGACTCGCAATTACGCACTTATATATATTCAAATAAAGATAACGCTGCATATTTATATGCTTATCAGGTGAGTTAAGCACAATTTGTGGTATGAGACTGATACGCAAAATATGAGCAAAAAATGGAGTAACAAGTAGCCAAATAAGCAACATGTAGATTTCGTATGATGCGGCGAAATAAATGTTTTTCGAAATATGGTGAACATGTATTTGAAAAATTCCACACCATAGCTGTCCACGAACGTTCGTTCGTAGAAAATGAATTGTTCGGATTGTTTGTACGTATGTTGTGTATCAAACTATAAACGTTCAAATTTCAAATTCGTTGTTTATTTCTTTATTATTTTTTATATACATATCAAACTGTGGAACGGACTAAAAATATTTGGACTTTGTGACTCTGTGGACAATGTACATTGGGCATATTACTTATTGGAACACGATGCTTGCTCATGTCGTAAGATAATTGTTGTTAAATCCAATATCATGTTTTATTTTACAAAGCATTGATACACAGATAATAATCATGATAAGAATCATCAAAAAATCGTTTTGTATCTGTTGAACGAAAAACTAATGCAGAATTATCTTTGCACTTCAGACGATGTAGTAATTAAATTCGGTTTTCACTATTTGGCGAAATAAAATTGCATTTTTTTATTGATAAAATAATATTGTTTTAAGGTTTGACAATTTTCGTATTTTTTAACACACATTTTTAACTGCGTCTTTTTGAATTTTTTCAATAAACATTTCAATAAATCTATTTAAAATATAAAAAAATATGGATAAATCCATAGGTACAAGTCTTCATTAGAATATAAGAATATCATCCGCGTATTCAACACGAATAGCAAATTTTTCACCACTCTCAAAATGGGTTTCCATGTTAAAGTCTTCAAAACTGACGTCATGAATCAAGCAACTAATTGAAATACCAATCTTTTTCTCTCGTGCTTCAACGATTTCCAATAACGTTTTATAATCATACGAGTTGAATGAAGCAGAGTTCGCAAAAAGTAAGTCGAAATTAGATAGGTTATTTGCATAATTGACAATTTCTCTTAGAAAATTGATATTAATTGTGAGGTTGTTGACAAAAATTCGACATCTTATTTCAAATGAACGTAGCTCTTGCAATTCTTTAGCTAATTTGATAATGTGCTCTCTTTTACACCCGGCAAAATCATCGAATTTAATATCTTGCAAACTTTTTATTTCACAAATGCTGTGAACACCAGCGTCATCAATTTCTCCATCCACTAGCTCCAGTTTTTTTAGTTGAATTTGGTTAACAGCAAGAGCGGCCATTAACGGTGACACTGTCAATTCAAGACAATTGAGAGTCAGTACTTCCAAACTACTCAAATTACCCAAATACTGAATATCCCTTTGAAAACTGTCCAGGTTTTCAATATACTTTAGTTTAACGCGTAAATGTAGCAAGCATGGCATGTTTTCACCAATTAAACGAAACAATTCGGATGACCGCAATTGAAAATTCTCTATACACTCACTGTCATCATCATCATATGAAAACCAATTTTCAATGCATAGATATTTTAGTTGCATGTCCCGAGATATAATTTCTTTGATGTTATCTATATATGAGCAATTTTTAAATGATAACGATTTCAACTTTTTGAAAAATGGGCACAATTTCTTCATCGATTTGATTTCAACTTGTTCAATATTAAGACGGTTTAAAGAAGTACAGAGTTGACCAGCTGAGTCCAAAACGTCTGGCATGGCTATAAACATACTTAGGGATTCCATTAATGGTCCGAAATTGTGCAATAGACTTCCGCTTATTATGGGTTCCTCTGACAATAGATAATTTATATTTATACTCGTAAATTTCAATGCAAATGCATTCTTTGCTTGTTGATTAAAACGAACGCATACATTAGCGGTATTGCAAAGGTCGGCAACATCAAAATATTTGAACACTTCGCGCAAGCAATCATTATTGAGCACATTGAGAATGGCCGCATCTTGTTCCACTTCATATGAAAAGTCATAGTCGGTTGGATAATGAATGTCATCTTCTGCTAGCTTTAAGGCAATATTTTCGATACGGTGACTCAGTTGCAATAATGACTCTTTGGTTCCATCGCCTGTTTTCATGTTCACACGACCATATTGTAAATTATTTACTGGATGCCACGAAATAGAATCCACATCACCAAATTGCTTAAAGTAATTAACAATTTGATCACTTTCCTATCAATAATAAATCATATTGTCAAATGATCTTGAAGTTACAATATCCAAATAAAAAAATACTTACGATTGGTTTGGTTGACGTGACATGAAATGTATAAATCGGAAAATCACTTCGAGCGCTGTTGTTTTCGCTATTTTTTCTCTTCCTATTGATTCTCTCGACTTCCATTTTTTTACAGTTGATTTTTGGTCAAAATGAGATTGAGTAAAATGGTCACCTTTACTTTGTAATATGCTACGAAAAATGATGGTCTTTTTTATTTTAAGCACTCGTCATTTGTATAAGAAATGTTCAAATGTTGACTGCTTTTATATTTGTACGTTGATGTAAACAATATTATCATTAACAAAAACGGACAAGAGCTCGCACACTACGATAAGCATGATCTAAACTATTGAAAAATACGAGATGTCTCTACTACTTCACTGAAATATTTATTTAAAAATGTTTCTTTCGTTAGCGATAGTCAGTTGAGAGAGTACGTTCAGGCGTCACTCTTTTCATAAACGAATCATCCGAAGTCTATATTTACCTATTATTTTGTGAATCAAAGCAAAATTCGATTGGTTTTGTTTCGATTGAAAATAAACTCACCTTATTGATTTATAAAACTGCATTTTGTAGGTAAAAGAGTTAAGTTTAAGAAAAAATTCCATCAAAATATTGAGAATTTAAAGAAATCAATTTATTTTCTATTTGAAGTAAATACTGATGTAATGGCAAAAAATGATGTTGGTGTATGTTATGCATTTTTTTGGCTCCCATTTTAGTGTATCCTATACACTACTTTTTGATGTAATGCATACATGCGGATGGTGTTTTTTTGTACAATATCAGTGTGATGTCATAACATATAAATTGCGTACTTTCAATTGCGAATTTCAATCAAATTAGATCATAAAATTTAAAACGAAATACACTTTACGTGTTGGAATTTCAAGACATAAAAAAATGCAAGCCCCTCAAAAATTCGTGATTTTAAAGAGAAAAAAAATATTTAAGCAAAATAACAAAAACATCATTATTTTTATTTTAAGCTTGCAAATCAGACTTTTGATGTCAATCAAATAAATTAACTATTTTTTTTATTTCCATATTTTCTTTTGATAAAAATAATTTTCAACAAAAAAAAATAATAAAATATTTTAAACCATCGAAATAACAGTGAAGTAAACCGAACGCACCCGTTTTATTTACGTTTGACATAGAATGAGTTTTGACAGCTCATACTATAGTATATGTTGGCACACGTGGAATCGCCGCTCCGACCATAAAATTCATTATTCAATTCACCAATTTCGTTCATAAAATTACACATTTTTTTTTGCTGTGTTTATTAAAGTGCTCATTGCTGTGGAAAAATAAATTGAAAATAGAAAAATTTGGATTTCAAAAAAAAATACAAGATCAAATGCAGTCAAATGAGAAAAAAATTCAAATGGTGGAAATGTTTATTAGCACATGTGCAATATGGCGCGTATTAATTTCGGTATCATGATATTTATTTATTTATTTATTTATTTAATCACCGTCTGATCACAGACTGAATTTATCACAAAATTTGTACAATATCGTTCACAATGAAACACCACCCGATCGTATACCCAGCCACCAGCCTTCTCGACTTCGGAGTAGCAGATATCGACTGTGTTCACTGTTTTAATTTCTATATAATACATAAAAATTAAAAGTTAAATTTTTCACCGATCAAATATCGAATTTTCCAATTTGACAATATTGTTTCTAAAGATGTGTCTTGATGCCGATTCTAAAAATGTTTCTCTTATCAAGTTAAAGTTCCTACAAGCTACGTAAAACGGCTGATTATGTGCATAATCCGATGAAAATGCCCTAACTCTAATCAGTTCTGTACTTCTTAAATTTCTTTGGTTTTCGTCATATTGCAGTCTTGTATATACAATTTTATTTCTAAGTGAACTCGATACTATTTTACCCAAAAGGAGATCATAAATTAAAAATACAGAGGCATTTATACGCCGTCTCCAAAGCGGTTGAATATTTAAAACATCACATCTAAATTGATACGGTGGTAGCACAAAATTTTCATCTCTTTGGTAAATAAATCTCAATGCCCATATCACAAAATCTTTCTGGATTGATTCTATTCTATTGGAATGGATACGGTGATATGGTTGCCATACAATACTCGCATACTCTAATTTTGATCTGACTAGTGCACAATATAATATTTTAGCAGATTCAATTGTAAACTTATTCTTTAATGTGCGTTTGATGAAACCAATTGCCCCATGTGCACTGGCTGTAATTGCTTCGATGTGATTGACAAATGTTAGCTTCGTGTCGAATACAACTCCCAGATCCTTGTGTAAATTGATCCGTTCAAATGTATGTTGGCCGTTGTTGATCGAATAATCGTAGTTAACTATGTTTCCGCTTTTCGAATATGTCATAACGAAACACTTCTTCAGGTTCAAATGTAAGCTATTTTCAGTACACCAGTCGCTCAATTGATCAATGGAATTCTGAAAAATTATGGCATCAATGGGCGATTGTATGGTGCGGATCAATTTCAAATCATCTGCAAATAATAAAACAAGTGCATTTGACACGATTTCGACAATGTCGTTAATAAAAACAATGAAGAGACATGGTCCCAAAATACTTCCCGCGGGTACTCCAGAAGATACAGTGAAAGTTCGTGACTTTCGTTCACCGATTCCAACAAACTGTGTCCTATCTGTCAAATATCAATGGAACCATTTGACAAGCCGTCGGCCGAATCCAAATCTCACCAGCTTCTGCAACAATTTCATATGGTTCACACGATCGAAAGCCTTTTCGAAATCAGTATAAAGCACATCCGTTTGACATGATAATTGATACTCATTGTATAATCGATCTTGAAAGATACATACTACTCATGTTGATACTCGTATTAAGATTGGTGTTAATATTTAAGATATCATAATATTTTATCATAACTCGGACATCTATAGTTCTACCAGACTTTATGTTCAATGACGAAATGTACGCTGATATGTAATGTAGAACTGTCGGTGTACATTCCGTTGTTGAATATGAATGATAAAATAAAAATCAACAATGAAAAACAAGAAAAAAATCACAAAATGCCTCAGACTCAACTATTTCAAAGTGGAATTTTTCTCAGTATGTTAGCGATAAATCTGGGTCAGCCGAAAAATTGCTTTAGATATTTCAAGTTCCAACAAAAGATCACATATTATATCAGTGTTTCTTCGGCTGATTGCACTAGCCGATTGTGACCATTTTACAGAGGCAGTACAACTGAAACACATACGCTATAATTTTGAGAAATCTTTTTTCCGTTCTTTTATCCAGTGACGGAAAACAAGATCGAAATTTTCTAAATTATTGGATACCATTCAACTTTATAAATGGAAAGATGTAATATTAGTGGAATTCTTTTAATTAAAAATATATTTAAGAGCATTGGTGAAATACTTTGTTAATGATTGTTTTCCTATTAACATAGTATTTCATCGATGCTCCCGAAAATGTATATCCAAACAAAGGGTCACCACAACAATATTACGCTCCAAACTATAGATTCTATTTGAAGTGTATAATAACAAATGAAGAAAATAAATATTATAAATACAGACAATTTAGATTGTGGATTTTACTACTTTATCTCTTTTCTTATTGTAGATTTTGGTGATTTATGCCAAAATAAACTTTTAAACAAAATACCCACCGAGTAGACTATTTTAATTGTTCGTTAGTGTTGTTAAAAAGATGTCTATATTTGCAATTAGCTATCAGAATATTAATTTCAACAATATTTTGGATTCTTGGACAATATTAAAATGCTTTCTGTTTGTCAATCACTGCTCTCCTTCCGAAATTTCATCTATACATGCTCTTTAAATAAATTGCTCACTCAGTGTTTATGTTTTTCATACATAGCTGATGAGAATAAAAATTAATTTATTTGTGGATCGGTGAATTGACATTAGACATTCATGGAAGGTACAGGTATTTTTTTTATAGCGATAGAATTTCTTCATCTTTAATGTATTGATTAAGTACATTGCATTCACAATTGTGTTCATGCGAATTAAATTCAAGATTAAAGAATAAATTAATCATTTCAAGTTAGGCTGACATAAATCATTTAATACTATTTCTAACCAATTTGTGATTGAAAAAAATTAATCAAAATATTTTCAAGGCATTTTTATCATTGCGAATATTTTTTAGAGAATTTTAAACTTTCAAATCGGAACGAATAAATGTCTTATTAATTTAATTATTAATAAAATCATCGAATATTATGCTATTTTTCAGTCATCAAAATACAATACAATAAATATTTTCCTAAAATGAATAAAATTGAAGGAATAATGATAGAAAAATACCTATTTTGGACCTACAGGTCAATATGTTGATCATTTGGTAATTAACATAGTTTTTCTAGTTCTCAATAGGAGACGAAGTCTTACTATATTCACTAATAATAATTAATAATTAATAATTAATAATTAATAATTAATAATTAATTCATTCATTAATAATAGCGGATAGTTTGATATGATTCAGTTTAAAAAAAATTATAGCATTTATGAATAAAATAATTTGATTTGTGGTCAAAACCTTTGATTAGCCGGTCACATTAAATCATTGATTTGTGATTTGATTTTCAGCCGTGATCAACAAAGATTTAAAAATAAAAGACTTTTAGCATATAAAATAAATATAAATCCAAGTCGTATTTATAAAAGTATTTATGCATATACTGTAATTTTATGTACCTATAAGGAGTTCACAAACATAACTTGCATAAGTATAACTACATAATGCAAAACATTATGCATGTGAACAAAATTGTTGTCAGATGAAACGAGAGCAATACCTTTGTGAATTGTGAAATTCGCACGTCACTTTGAAGCCGCTACATATTGTTTGGAATGTTCTAGAAAATTTCTCATACATTCAAATCTATGCAACTGATCAGCGGCAACCAATACCAATATGCAGTCTGGATACATACCCGTGTGCAAAAAAAAATGACGGACTGACTATGTCAATTTTGTATGAAAACTCACTTTATTTGCACACGGGATGTCCCATTTACAATTGGTGGGCTGTTCTGTTGTCCACCGGTTGCGCTTGTTTGTGTATTATGTACATATCATATACTATATGATCACTGATATGTATATTCGAAATTCTCAAAACGCGCCATAAAAAGAATCGTTCATTCTGTTAGTATTTCGATACGTAAAGACAAATAAATTGTTAAATTTGATTTCCGACTTGAATATTATTAGGAATATTCAAAAATTTGTGAAAAGTACTGATCAAATGTAAGTAATTATTATCTCAAAAAATCATTTATGACTATTAAAGGAATTGCTTACACCTTTTATTATAAAAAATGTTAAAATGCCAAATTGTTTGTACTAAAAAGATCTGCGACTGTCTCCTTTCAGATAAAGATTTATTGCAATGGGCACGAGTTCCAGCTCAAAAATTTACAATCCCAAATATTCACTGATTGGATGTGAAAAATTGTATTTAAACGCCCAAACTGCTGACGTTTATTTCAATCCAAAAAGTGAAAAAGATGCTATTATTCCAGCTCATAAAAACATCTTGTCATCAAATAGTTCAGTGTTCCATGACATGTTTTATGGTCCATCTAAAATAGAAAATAACATAATTATTATTCCAACAACTGCGGAACTATTCAAAGAATTTTTGCAATTCTTTTATTTAAGCCAAGTAGAGATAACTGCAGAAAATGGTCCTGAATTGATGAAGCTGTGTAATGAATACAAGTTGGATTTGCGTTGGAATCAAAATATATTAGCGTGCCATCGTGTTGACCGTTTCACCACATCATCATCTCATTATTACTTGCCAGCTACTATTTCCGATCATTATTTTTATGATTGCACTGTTTTTTCGTCGAATCAAAAATTGTTTCTCGAAACAATTCATTTTAGTAAATTATTTTCTAATGGTGATTTTGATGATAATCCTGAACCGGTAACAATGAAAATAATTGAACATTTCAGTGGAAATATCGATAAAGGTATTGCTTATCGTCAAGAAATTACATTTAATGCATCGCATGAGACGATTATTAAACTTCCACGTCATATCGAAATTATGCCAGATATTAAATACGGAATTCTACTCGAAATGAAGCGAACAATAAAACTTCTTTCATCAAGCAAATCATATTACAACATTCTTTCTCATAAGCCCAAAGTTGAAATCGACAAAGATATTTTCATTGAGTTTCATGATTCAGTTGTGAACTATGACAGAGTACTCCTGATTCCACTTTCAATCACGTTTGATAAAAAGAATGGACTTGTTACACAACTTCAATTTACAAAGTAGCTTTTATAAAATTATATTTGATTTAAAATGTGCAAGAGGTATGGCATATCATGCGTTGTAGTAGGGCTATAGTATATAGTAACACTGCATACTTGTTTTTTTTTTTTTAAGTTAGCTCATTCTTTGAAATATTCGATTTAGCAAATTATCTAAAATAATAAAAATTATTAAATAAATAATTATCAATTAATTAATTAAGTAATACCTTACGATATAGGACCTCCATTTATTTTACTAACCCAAAATTAGCTTATGATGAAACCTACACTCGTCGTGTAGGTCGTATGTATTTTGAATTTTTTATTGATATCAAATATAAATATTTTAATTATTTAAATGTAATCCTTTTTTTAAATTAATTTTTGTTTAGTAAAATAAAATAAATATGATTTATACCATTAATTTTTTTTTTTGCTTATTTCATTATTCATTTTCAAATAACTTATTTCAGGAACTTTTTCAATAAATATATTTTGGTTGCTGTCAAATGACAAATTGTTTTATAATTATTATTGTTTAATGCAGTCATCAACCAAAGAGACAAAGCTGAACCAAAAAATCTTGGTGAAAAAAAATGTGAGAAAAAAAGGTTTGGATGGACATCAGAACAGGTTGATCAATTTCACGACGATAACAATCAACTTATCCAGTCGGTCGTGTGGGTATGAGCTAAGGGTGAGCGGCTGCAATTGAATAACTACTGAATAATTAAGTGTTAATTTTTGGATGAAATGTCGTATTAATTATTAAAAATAAAATGATCGAATATTATCCGAAAAAATAAGCAAAACCAAACCGAATTGTAATGATTGATTTTCGATTTCTACTTCTCAGTCATTAAAATACAATACAATAAATATGTCCCTGAAAATGAATGAAATTGAAGAAATAATGGTAAAAAATACCTATTGATCATTTGGAACTCAACCTAAAATTCTAGTGGAAACGAAAAAAAAATTTCAAATTTTACCAAAAAAGAAATTTATTTTTTATTAATTTTTTTTTTACATCATAGACCCGTAATTTGCGTGAAATTTTGGTCGATTTTTTTTTATATCTTGTAGCGTTTATATTAGTAAAATAAATGTAATAAATCATATTAAACAATTAATTGTAGTCATTGCATTCACATTAAAATGTTCATTAATTAAAATTTAAAAGGAGAATATCTGAATTCTCAATCTATTCACTTTCGTTTCGTACAATAAAATGTTTTAGGTTGTTATTTCTTTGTCACTCACGTTTTCTTAATTGTCTAAAATTGGATATGCAATCAATTGAATGTACATGCGTACTCACAACTAAATCATAGTTCATTGACCTCCTTCCCTTACTTTGTTTACCATTATGCTTTTTTTTTTAATTTTGTATGTGTTCGCCTAAATTAGTTAAATAGACAATAAATTAGTTTACATCGTTCAAAATAATACTCATAATTAATTTCGTTCTCTGTTGTAATTGTTTTGTTTGTTTGCTTTGAGAATTTTAAATTTCATTTTTTTTTTTTTTCGTTTTTTAGTTCTATCCTTTTTTGGTGTGTTCATTCCACTTAGAAGAATATCAAAAATATTATACCGGATATATTTTGCATTTTGCAATAGGAATTGTCACAACAGCTGTAAATTATGCTAGGAAGTTATTTTAATTCGTTCGTTCGAATTCACTGTCTATAGACAGCTGTAGCCGCCGTTATCTGGACCAAATAAGTTTTAGATTTATTTTTAGTGCGATCCAGATTTGATTGGGCTAGCGTTATCAATGTTTTCGAAATTTATCTATTATTAATGTATATTGTGTTAGTTTGCTGTTAATCGTTAAAATATCGAAATGCGCGAAAAAATGCAATATTTTTTTGTTCACCTTATTATTGAAAGCATTTTTCACTGAAGATTCATTGTTAAGCAATCATGCTTATATATTGCATTATACAAATATAATTTTTTTTGGAAATTGAGTGAAAAATAAGGGTAAGCAACCGGGGCTTTCTATTTGCTCGACTCAATCATCATAATGTGAATCGGCATGATCGTCTACCATCATTTCGAAATTTAGCTAAATTTTTTCTGTTTTCAATTAGTTCTTTTTTTCCGTTTTTTTTCTTGTTATAATACATGGAAGCGCTGATGCAAATAGTTATACCTGTATACAATAGAATATTCATGCTAATTTTAAAATAAAAGTCGATCATTTTCCATCAGAGTTTGCAAACATAAACAATAATTCGAGATAAGCAGAGAGAAATAGAGACCAAGCCAAGCGATAAAATAAAGAAATATACATATATATAAATATATATTCTCGTCTCTATGTATATCGCCCGCAAGCGAACCGAATCCAATCGCCTGCGACATTTTAATAAAGCGTATGTTCGTTATAAAGTTATAAAATATAAATCGGCATCTCTACACCACCGAATAGTAACAGTTGTTCGTCCGATCAAAGACATTGTGTAATCAGTTGTTGTGTGTACGGTTTTTGTTTATGTCTTTGTGGGTGGTATGTGCGTAAATTGTGTGGTACGATTTTGTTGTTGTTCATTTCATTCACGAACAATTCGTTTAACGTTTTTATTCAAATCGATTTACGTTGGTTGCATTTAAATTTGTGGTCGAACTCACATTTGTATTCGTTGATGAGGTAGAGGAAACGGCAGATGAACCATTTTCGCTGCTATTTAAATTTGTCTTGGAATTGCGTGTATTGTGCGCGAATTGCTTTTGTAAATTTGAATGCAATGTTTCACTGAGACGATCTTTACTAAAATTATGCGTACTATTGCTACGATTTACTTCATGAAAATTGTTATTGGGTTTCACATCGAAACTATTGCGGTGCGATTGATTTTTCGACAGATTCGTTGTACTAGATCTGGTGATTTTATGCAAATCTTTCGTTAAATTCGATGTACTCGATCGATTGTTTGGTGCATACGATGATGATGATGCTGTCAATGATGTAACCACACCACCACCACCGCTGCTATTGCGTATATTATTTATAAAGCTGTTTCGGTGTGCATTCAATTTATTTGATTCGATAGCCATGCAAAGCGATGGCGGATTATCGATTTCATTTAAACCATTTATGCTATTCGATAAAAGCTTCGTTCCGCTGGACGTTTTACTGATTCTAAATGTATCTGTATTCAATGGTTTTATTGATTCATTTTTATCATCGGCTATTGCACCTCTGCCATTTGAATTGGATTTTTCGGCTTTTAATTCAAGTGTATCTTTTTTACGATCGGCCGATGGCATTAATTGTTGTCGATCCTCTGTACGACGATGATGCGATTTCAATCGAAAACCATGATCATCGTCACGACCATTTTTCGATTGCAATAATAGTGCCGTTCTTGGTTTCTTTTTATCAATTAAAGCGGATGATTTTCGGGTTTTGTCAATGCGTCCCGTTCGTCGAGCACGTGTCGACACCTCAGCCGGATTTGCCACTCTTGTTTGCACAGCCGAATTTTTCGATAGCTTAAGACTTAACTTAAATGGTGGCTTATAAACAACTTGCAATTTCACTTTTTCTTGTAAATTGCTTAGTGATTTCACCTTTTTCGGTGAACGTTGTGTTGCGCTCAAATTATGCGTTTGTGATTGTGATTTGCAAATTGGTCGTGATTTATCTAATTGATCTAATTCTTGTAGGGCAGATGTTGCCTGCGTTGGTGAATCCATTGCAACCAGCCATTGTTGCACTTTTCCAAATGCATTTACTTTGTCATCGTCGATCGATGAACGTTTTGTATAATTTAACATTTCTTTTGTCTTTGACGATGACTTTGTTTTCGATTGTGAACTTTTTACCTTGGCCACTGTTGTGGTCAGTGGATTTGTCGATGATTTACCACCATCCAAATGTGCACCATCCGATGGTTTTCGACTACGTATTTTCTTTGTTTGCTTTACAATTGAACGTTTGAGTGTATTACTCTTTGGATTGCTAGTTGAAGCTCCGTTTACGAGTGCTGTGGCGGCCACTGTTGCTGCTGCTGCTGCTGCTGCACTTGTTGTCTTTTCTACATTTTTCGATGAATTTTCAACATTCTTTGACGAAGACGAACGTTTTGTTTTACTACGTTCGCCACGAACTTTTTTCTTTAGCGGCACTTTTGTTCGTATTGCAGCATGTACAATAACCTTTATTTTGGACAAATGAAATAATATCATTAAGTTGAAATTTGCCTCAATGAATTTGAAATTCTTACCCCATTACTATCATCAGGGAGTCGAACTGTTTCTGTGGTTGCACTATGGATTATTGTTACAGACTTTGACTTTCGATTGATTTCTTTTCCAAAAAGTCTCGTACTTAAAATCTATTTTTACAAAAGAACAATTAAAATTTTTATGGAAAATATGGTATGAATAGAAAAAATCATCGAATATTTACCAATAACGAAATAACACCACTGATAATGAGTGCAACAATGAACCAATTGGAGTAAACCCATTTTTTAAAGGATTCAATCGATTCTTCAGACAGCAATAAACGACGTAAGGTTGCCAATGGTCCGGCCGGATCAACTTCACGACATTTTTGAAAGACATCACAATAACTGAAAAATCGAAAAGGAACGATTTTCTTTTTAGATTTCGCGATGCCAAAACAAACAACATTTCATAACTTACCCATTATAATCATTGCACGGAGTGCCTGGCTTCGAATACATATCAGGTACATCATATGGTTTGTCATTCCATTCGAATGAGCTTTTGCACGGATTCCCTTCGCCAGGCAATTTGCAACAAAGAGTTTGTGTGTTTCATGGGCGATTGTACCGGTTCAATTTGCTTGGCATACGGCTTGGAATCATGCCAATGCATTCCCACTGAAAACGATCCGAAGACAAAAGCATGTGAATTATGTTGCAAATTGTTTTATTCGGTTTGTTTACAGATGGCGGACACTGTGCCGCTTGACCATTACAAAAGCTTGGATCGCGACAACCATTATCATCACGGCACTTATCGCCGAATTTCAATGTACAAGATGTGGTGCAACATGGACCTTGTGATGGGCTACAATATGCTTTTGGTGTTAGTGTGCATGGTTTTTCATCGATGCTTGGATTTGTTGACATTGGATAGCAGCATAAGTCTTTACAATCTTCTTCCCAACCACAATCACACTCTTCACCCGGATCAACAACACCATTACCACAAATGGCCTGTTGGGGTTCTGTGAATTCAAACCGAAAGCCAAATTTTCAATTAGTCAAACGAAAAAAAAAAAAAACAATAATAAAGAAGATTCAAGAGAAAAAAAAAGAAGAAGTTTGAGTGAAAAAGTTACCGGTAAAGCATCCTTTGCTAGAGCGAGCCTTGGAGTTTAGTACAGGTTCAATTGCTTTTAGCGAACATGGTGAGAATTTGTTATTGTTTTTCTTATCACCCGATGTAGCTCTGGCAAACATAATATAATTGCCATCTTCACCGCCCGGTGTGCACATTTCTGGATCATGCTATTGTTTTTTCGAATAGAATTAAAACGAGATCGAATAAGAGACGGAGCAAAAAGAATCGCGATTAAAATGTTTGTTTCTTACCGGTGATCCGAAATTGTGGCCAATCTCATGTGCGAGTGTAACATGTGACACAGCCGGCGGAACATGTTTGCCATAGTTCAAAAGTGTTACAATGCCCGTATTAAGTGACTTTAATGATCCTCGATAATGCTGCGAAAGAAACATTATCATTAAAAAATGATTGGGATTTTCCATTTAAATTCAAATGTTGCAATCTATTCTTACGCCATTCTTTTCACAAACACCACCAGCATTTTTCAAATCACCCGTCCATGCCAATCCCAGCGTTCCCATTTCGAAATCTCGATATGTAAACATGTAGGCTAAACAAAATGCATCATAGTCTTCCTCTGTTAAAGTACACAAAACAATCAAGTTGCATCAATATTCGAATAATCACAATACAATGTATGTTTAATTACCTGAAAATAACTCTAGAAATTTTTCGACACCATAATTTCCCGGAAAACGATAATTAGTGTCTTTTAAGGCATTTGATGTGTGTATTTTAATTCGTTTAATCATGAATGTTATATTATCAGCCTTTCCATCTCCGTTGAAATCTGTGTCAGTAACAAAAGTGAGAGAGAAAAAAACAAACAAACAAACAACATCGCAATAAATCATGAGTACATGAAATGAGTCAAGGTTGTTGTTCAGGTTGATCTACAGTTAAAACACGATTCAACTTTATTTAATTTGTTGAGTCGTCAATATACCTGTATTTTTATAAATTGTATTGGCACGTTGTACATGTCTGGTAATTGCTTCGATGCTTGCCTCTTCGGAGCCGAGCTTTTCGAAGAACGTGTGATCGGCTTGTAAATATAGCATACATGTACTTTTTCGGTCATACGTTGATTTTGCATCAATCCCATTCGCATGAATGTTATTATTGATGATCGAATGATGTTGATGATGATGGAAATTATTTCGTGTCAATATCACTTCCGGATTATAATTGCTGCCAATAATATTTGGTTTTCGTGTAGCACCATTTTTTGTGATGATTTCAACGTGCGTTTTATGGCTAGGCTTTGAATAATTTCCATTCAAAATACGAATTTGTTCTTTGTCCGCATTACCGGTGACATTTGAATGGTTTTTCGATAGATTTCGTGAAGCGTAATCATTTTTCGCATTGTAACTGGTAATTAAAATATTTCTCCATGGTTCGTCCGTTTTGGCAGTGTGATCTTTGTTATATTTACGACTGTAAACGGTAAATTCATCGTTGTATGGTGCATCTAAATCTAAGGGCAATGGTGGATCACGACTCTCAATCAACTGCAATGAGAAATATTCGGATGCATTGGTGTTAAGATGATGTGAATCAGCCAAATTTCAGAATTGTTTTGCATAAAAACCGAAAAGAACAAAAGAAAAACTCACCTCATCCGCCAACCATCTTTTGTTGCGCATCAAGTGTTTATTTGCATTCGGTTCGTTAATTGTATTTTTATCACTTAATTTTATGTCGAGTGCATCGTAGATTTGCTGTTTTTTGCGTATTTTCTTCATTTTCTCGTGAAGCCGTTGGCTTGCACAATAATGTTTCGTTGGATCATTGGATGATGTTGTTGGTTTTTGATGTGGTAACATCTGCACATCGCTTGTTTTATATACAATTGTGTGGATTCCATTGTTGGTCAATTCGCTGGAATATCGGGAAGCTGGTTCAATGTAATAATTTTCGGTTGGTGTTATAATCGATCCATCAAATAAATTATTCTCAGTCAAAATGCCATGAACAATGCTATCATCATGATCTACGAATTGAAAAATCGATTGGTTTTAATTATCAACGGAATGCCCTCTAGTCAATGCAATCGTCATTAAATTACCTTCCAATCTTCCTGAATATATACGCGATACATCGTAATGTATCGGTCCATCGGTATTTTCGATTTCAACATTTTGTGAAAATATCGAATTGGGATCTTCACGAACTACCACACGGAACTCTCTGAAAACATACACGAATTTTTTGTTTTATTTTAGAAAACCAAACAAATTTACATCACAATTCTTGTTTGTTCAAGCTTCTCTATCTTTCTATTTCTCTACTTCGCTTCACAGATCACAAAATTCAATGCGATAATTAATCGACGCAAATGGTTAAAATTACACACTTCTTTGTTTTTGATACATTAAGTGCTTGAATTTCACCATTCTTCTTTTACCATCGACGGTTGCTTACCTGTTATGGGCAAAGAATTGAAATTTTATGGTGTTTGCTGGTGGAGCGACGGCATCATTTGCTGTGCTGTTGCTGTTGGTATGTCGTTTGCGCCGTCTGATTTCATGTTGATGCCGTGCATCTGCGATTATTTTCGCATCGAAATGAGCCGCTTCCCAATGTTTAATGTACGGATTGATTGGTTTCAAGAATGGAACTGCAAATGATTTATTAAACGGATAAATAGGACGTGAAATAATCGAAAGAAAAATAACACACAATAAACGCACACACGTATTTTGTGAAAAGAAACTTAAATTTTGTTAAACATTTATATCGTTTCTATTTTGGTGAGTTAATTACCGTTTTGTGGAACTGGTGATGCTTCAACAGCTAATCCATTTGTGCTAATAATCCTATCAAATGTTGTTCTATGTCGACTTGTGTGCGCCAAGGTGAAAATCACCCCAATAAGTATCCAACTCATTATATTATTTAAATATCACATCACTATTTGAAACTGTGCAGATTTTTGTGACTTAAAAAGTTAAATTTTTTCGGTCCACTCAAACCATTTGGGAGTCGTTACTAACATAAATTTCGTTGTGATTTCCATTCAAACAGTGTTGGATTTTTTTTTTGTGTTACTCACTACATAATCAACAAAATCACACTAACCAAAAATCAAAATTGTTGCTTCGTTTTGTTATTGATATTAAATGCCAGATTGTTTGCACTGACTCATCGATTGAAAAATTGACTATTATGATTTTACTTCAGACCATGGCTAGAATGGATTTTTTTCTTCATTATTTCATTAAAAGAAAAAACCACAAAAAGCACAAACGATTTTAATCAACACATTATATTCATTTTTGCAAAAAAAAAAAAATAATGGAAAAAATGAACACACACGAAAAATTGGTTTGTAACAATCGAAAAATGAAGAGAAACCAAAACCACAAATATTTGTTTAAGATTCACAATTTTGAGACGAGAACAATAAACATTTTTTTCACTTTCTTTGTTATTCACATCGATTTCAGATCACTTTTTCTATTTTCGTTAATAAATTTGTTGTTTAATTATTATTGTTGTTGCTGCATGTGTATTGTGAATATTTATGCGTGAGATTTTTTTTTTATTCCACTAAACTAATTACATTTGAGGGGGTGAATTCTTGAATCACAGAAACATCAAATGGATCAGCAAGAAAAACTTTGAACTGAACATAAAAAAAAATATGTGTAGAAAAATGAAAAAACACACATAAAATCCAACGTTTGAAAATAAAAAAATGAAAATGAAAAAAAGAGTTTTGCGTGTGTTTGTGATTTTATTATTATTTTCGATATCGAGAGTAGCGATGAAAACAAAATCAGATTTCTATTACACTACGGAGAATGAGAAATCATTTATTTGACGTGGATCGACAAAATCTTACTTGTAAGACTATGTAGTTTTTTTTTTATGATTTGACATTCTCCTCAGATTGCCATTACCTTTGTTTCAATACAACACACAACACACAACACACCGTTTGACGTTTGTATGTTGAGGCATTTCTTCAGTGTTTGTGTTGTGCATGATGGTCATATCCTCTAGTCAGTTTTTCGTGCCTGCTCTCATGCATTGCAACAATACCAAGCCAGTGAATAGTGTTGTCTCCTCCACTTGTGTGCTAAACAACAACAACAACAATAACAACAGAGAATTAGCTACAGCAACAGCAACAGCTACATCAACAGCCAACCAAAGAGCTCTTGTGTTTACATACATACAACACTTAACACTTAACACAGAATTTCATGCCTTCCATACTGGAATGTGTGTATACAATAGACGTGTTGTGAACTTTTCACACACAACATTTTCGTAACATCGAATGCCAAATAAAGCAAAACAAAGTCATTCTCCCGTAAATACGTGCATAGATTTGGGGGAGAGAAAGAGAGATGAAAAAATGATGATGGAGAAGAGAAGAGAGAAAGAAGAGAAGAAAAAAATCGCGCATACTCGAAACCGGTTTTATAGTTTTTCGCCATTCATTGTAGACGGCGCTCTTTTTCGGCGAACAAATGACGGGTGAAAATAAATTATTATGGGCATTTTGAAATGAAATCTCATTTTAAACGAAACGATTGTGTGTGTGTGCACTGTGCACAAACAGAGGAAATAAAATAAAACGCATACCTAAATGGAACAAATTATTCGAATTTGTTAATCAATTTTCAACGAAAATGGGCATTTATTCGTTTAAAATTTCGTGAACACACAATGCACTTGTGCGCTGCTGCTATAAAACGTTGTGCAAATCACTCTTAATTTGGAATGTTTAAATGTTACGAAAAATTTTGTTGAAATTTAAAACAAAAATTGAGTTAATCCGCCACGCTTGATGGTGTAACATGGTAACAAATGCTGAAATAGAATTTCGAAAAAATAAACCGACTGACAGGAAGACTTTGAAAAAAAAAATGATCTATGTTTTCCATTTTTGAAATAATTTATTCCGTTTCTTTCTCTTTATTTAGTTTCTGTTCACTTTATTTCCCTGTCAAATATTTTAAGCAATAAAATAAATACATCAAGTAATTTATATATTAGAATTGTTCATCGACAACAAAGCATTCTTTGTTTTATTTATTCTAAGTATACGCGTATATGGATAGATTTCATCCATGCACAATAACAAAAATTTAAAATAATAATAAAAACAACAACAACAAAACAAATACAATATATGAGTAATTGTAAAAGCGCGATCTCTCTTTCAACAATAATCAAAGCTATCTTCCTTGAAAAATTACATTTAACAATTTGTAAACGATTGAAATGTTTTTTTTTTTGTTTTTTTTTTGCTTTGTTTTCTTGAAAACACACATATTTACACATTTATATGTACATATAGTAACAAGCACCGAAGGAAAAAAGGAACGAAAGCTATTATTATCATTATTATCATCATGGTTTATCATTATTATCAATAAAATTATTGTTCAATGTTTTCATGTTTTTCTTCTTCTTCTTCTTCTCTATTTAAAAACAAATATCAATTGGTTGGTGATCATGCTTGAAGTTTTTGAGTGGCCGGCAATGTTCCAAAATTTAAGCGTAACTGTTCAAGCAATAAAAATGTGATCACTGTGTGTGGACCAAGACGCACGAATGCTGGCACGAAACCTTTAAAGAAGCCCATCGGACCGAGTTTGGCCGTATGAGCAACAATTGCAAGAAGCCCATTAAATTCACCGGGTGCAGCATTCATGCTTCTTGTTTTAATCACATCCAATGGTTGTGTCAGAACAGTGGCAATAGCACCAGCTGCTAACGATGATAAGAAATGTAAACGTGGATCATCTTTGAAGTAACCCGTCGACAAAAGCATTTTCTTCACTTGATCGTAAAAGGCAATTTGTCCAACCGTCATTAATAGACCACGACCCGTTGCACTTGTCGCACCGGAGAATAAACGTCGAAATCCTTCTTCACGATGGACTCGCATCAAACCGTCGATGGCATGTTTATAGCTGGAAAACAACAAAAAAAATGAATGAAATGGTAATGACTTGGAGAAAAAATCAGTGTGTCCATAATATATAGAAATATCACTAAATAGTGTCGATATCTATACTATATCGGTCCACTATATATGAAAGATATTGCCGCACGGCACCGTATCGCACGATCGAAGTCAGTGTAGACGGAAAAAATCACAAATTTCCGTGCGGCAGTAGAATAAACTGTGTGTATGCGTCAACATGTTTGCTGTCCGCACTCACTTCGTTCGTGAGCTACGGTGTCTTGCGGAATATCTTACATATATAGTGCCCCGATATAGTATAGATATCGACACTATTTAGTGCTATTTCTATATGTTATGGACACACTGGAAATAATCGAATAAACTCACTTTCTTCTTTGTTCTGGTGGCAGCTTGACATCGTTTTGCATGCGGACGTTTATCATATCACCTGGTGTTCCGACAAAACCTATTCAAATTTATAGGGACAAAAAAACGCTTTATTTATTCGAATTCCTATATATATGAAATAAGCACAAATGGGAAGGGAAAAAAAGTTGCAAATGCCGTTAATCACTCAAATCAATATACATATTTTTTTTTTGTGGAATGCCAAAATGGTCTTTTTGTTTCAATTTTTTTCTAGGAGAAATTGAATTATTTATATATATCAAATAGAAAAATCGAATTAATGGGTACCCGTTTTTTGCATTGCAAACTATTTGTACGGTCAAGTCATTAAGTAAAACTCTAGAATATTAGGTTGAATGGATATAGCTGAGCAAATGGTTAATAGCACATATATTTAAATATATTGTAAAAAAGTGTAAATGCAAAAAAAAAAACAAGAAATCCATTTTCGATTTTGAAATTCGAAAGCATGCAAAGTTAAAGTGATTGATCTAACGACATACAATATCATATATATTTTCAAGTTTTGAAACGAAAATAAAAGGCAGACATTGTTGTTTAGTACGGGCATATAAAAACGATTTCAAATTGAGCGTATTAAAAAGTTTTCTCTTTCTGTGACTAATAAATGTTCTCACTCTCTCTCTCTCTATCTCTGTTTCGTGCGTTCGATAAAAATGATTAAATTCAGGCTAACTTGAAAACGATTCAAATGGTTATTCGTTTAATTATGTAAATTAAATTTTAAGTATGACATTAGTAATTCTCGTGATGAGACTATTTATCGACATATATACGTATACCAAATGTGCTGAACAAAAAAAAAACACATTATTTTTCCGAATCAATTTATATGGCACTCGGATAAATTGACACAAGCACTATCGATAGTCTATTCGCTTCATTCGCGCAATTTTGCTACAATGTAACATTTTATTATTTCACCAAATTCGAAATGAAGCGGAAAAGAATAAAAAAAAGTGCCAATGTCATTGTGAGTCATACCGAGTTGCATATTATTTTTTTTTATCGCATGCATTTTCGATTAATGAAAATGAAATTTAAAAAATTTCTGGACATAGAGTTCTCAAAAGAATATATCAAGTATATAGATTTTGCTCACTAGATAAACCGATTCACATCGAAATAAATCGATTGAATGGCAGATATGCTGTGTGGAATGTGAAGTTTCACAAGCGGTAGTATCGATAATATTTGAGCCATTTTCTCATCTCATTTTTCTTTTTATTTAGTGATTGATCCGTTGTCCGGCTATGAATTATATGAAATCAAGGCAACTAAATGTCAAAAACCAAAGAACCAAAGAAAAATAATATTCAAAATCGATTGAACGAATATTACCTCCAGCAGCGCCCGATGCTCCGGCCAACATCACTTTTCCCATGAAACCTTTTCCATAATCCTCTTTTCCGATTTCGTACAGACCAAATCGTGTTGTTGAATAGGTTAATTGACGCAACATCGATGCCGATAATCCATTATAGAGAGCAAATACACCACGTTCTCGGATTATTTTACCCGTTAATTGCAATATGGACAGTTTCCCCTCTTGTTGTGTTTGTAGTGTCACTTTCAATAAATCCAATGGATGTGTAAAACAAGCGGCTCCACCACTTGCCATACCACCGAAATACCATCGTGATACTTTGTTCTGTTTTAAGTCTGAAGACATGATGAAGCTAGTAGATTATCACCTATGAAATCAAATCACACAATACACGTTGTATCAAATGATTTTTTCGAGCGAATTGAGGAAGAGTAATACGTGTTATTTTTTTGTTAAATTCCACAATTAATTTTAAGACTTTCAACAAAGATTTCACATAAAATTGTTGCTATCAATAACAAATTATTAACGACGTTTTTATTATCTATCGGCGTGCTCATAAAACGATGTTTCTGTCTGATAAGGTAAAACAGGAACGAAATGATTGCCAAATCAGTTTAAATGCTAGGCATGACAAACAATTTTCCACTTAGATTAATTTATGATTGTTTGAGGCCGTGTTCAGTTTCCATAGCGTGCCAAATGGAAATATATTTTGATTGTGTGTCACTGCCTTCGCTGCTATTTCTAAACAGAGCACACCGATCAGATGAAATGAAATACTGAATACTAAAATTAATTGCGGACAAATGTGAAACAGACGTTGTCTTTGTTACTGATATTCCGTAAGACAAGCGCTTCCGTAATTACAAGATGTGTATATACAATTTCAGTTTGGAGTTTTTTTTCGGCGTTGACCTTTGAAAAATCGATTTTCTCCGAAAAACCAACCAAGAACAGTTTTATCACTTCTATCAATATCATAATTTTTTTGACCTTATTTTTTGTTTCGCATACTCACTATTTTTTTCCACTTTCTCCACCAAAACTCTCCTCAAAACTATTCTTAATACACTATACACCACTAGAAATTTGTGTGTTATTTGCTTATTCAATGATATGAAACTGGTATGTATTTGTTTGGTGATGGATGAAATGAATGAATGAACAAATACACACTAATTACGATTTGCAAACAATGCGAAAAATAAAATTACATAGACGTGGTTTTATGATTGTGAAAATGATCGAAATTATCTGGTTTTGGTTGATTTGAATTGGAGAATGAAAACAGGTTGCTGATGATATTCATGTTTTGAAAGCGATGAAAATTGCACGTGTGTACATCGGGACAAATGACAAGAAGAAATTATTCGAAAAAAATACGATACGATACGTGTATTTCATATAAACACACACATACATGCAGATAATGGGGAGGACATCAGCTTGACATTGATATTTTTTCAATTGCAATGTAAATGGCACCACATTTGAGCGATAAAATTGAAGGAAATTGGTGATGATAATGCATGAATGTGATTTTCAGCACGTGAAACACCAATCATTTCAATAAAAAAATCAGTCACATTTAAGTAGGGAGATTACAGCTGATTTTGACTTTTCCTCCCACTTATCGTGCATATGTTTGTCGTTCGTGTGTGTCGTTGACACTGACAGCTATATTGTAATCAACAATACACACGTACGTATACATTGACAGTGTGGCGCTGTGTGCTTTCGTTGTGTTGGTGACTATGCTTTTTTTTCTTCTTCTTCTTCATGGAATATGTGTGAATTCATTGCCGTCGGATTCAAAATACGCGAATTCATTCGTTCTTTTGCGTGCATATTTTCTCTTTCATTCATATTACAATGATTTTTCGTTTTAACTTCATTTTAATGGAAACAATGTACTTTAACTAACCGAAAAACCAACACATTTTTGTCAAACAAAAACAACTTATTTAATAATATCTTTAGATTTTGTTTTTTGGTTGTTTTTTTTTCCTTCAGTTATTGTCTTATTGATGTGAGACTATATTGCGTTCTGTGTGTCAATCTTCATTCATTCTTTTTTTCTCTCTCTATTTATTATAATAATGGCCAGACTGGAAATGAATGAATGAATGAGAACTGCGAATGGAATTTTCTGTGTTCAAATATGAAATAATTGTTATGATCGTTATTCACAAGAGAAGCACGACAATCAAGTCAGAAAAACAAAAAAAAAAACTGAATATTCATCATACAATATTTTCGTATTCAAATCGCAGTCGGCGTTTGCTGATGAAAGATTTGTATCATTGTTTATCCATCAGATTTTTTTTTCTCTGCCTCTCTGCCTCTCTCTCTCTTTCTGCCTTTATGTTTTTCGATAGTTCATGGAGAACATGATATCGGAACGCATTGAATGGTAATTGCACTCTCTGATACGACGACGGTGTCAATGATTTGTCCTTTCAAATGTTAACGCACCGTGCATTCACTATATGCTTGTTTTCCATTTAAAAACAAAAATCTTTTAATAAATGTATGAGTTTCGTTTTATGAGCGACGCTTGAATTTCACTTAAAACATCTGAAGTCATCATAGTTTTTTTTTTTTTGCAGATAAATTTGCCTTAATTCATAAACTTATTTGCATAATGGGAATTTATCGCAAATTTGTGCCGTTGATTTTTTGTTCGCCTCTATTTAGCTTAGTTTTGAATATTCAAATGACTTACTTTTTTTTCGAATGTAGCTTAAAGTTTGGAAACGAAAGCAAAAATTGCTGCTATTGAATATATCACCAAAATCGGTCGTTCGCTCTAATCGAATGAGTATTTTTTCACCAACTGAACAGTTCTTTGGACAAACGGTCACTTTGTTAAATGATTAAATAACGAATTGTAATCAATCGATACAGTCACTCTATCTTCTTAACCTTCAATGGCTTTCATAAGCCGTTCACGCAGCATTTAATGCACCATCCGTTTGAGACGAAATATCACATGTGACACACAAACGCAACAACATTTGATCAACTGTACGCATACTGTTCGACTTGACTGATTGACACCACTTAATTTGTTGTATACACTGTAGACCTTCTTGCCAACTAATTTAATCGCCTTTATATTACAATTACATAATCGAAACACTGATAATTCTCGTTCTACATTTGGTGAACACCAAGTGGTACAAATATACAACGCCCATGACTAATTCTTCCACACATTCGTGGAGCGAGAGAGAAAGATAGAGAGAGAGGGGGGGAGAGAAGGAGAGAAGGAGAAAGAGAGTAGCAACAGAGACTGCGTTTTCTAATTGATGCTAAGCAATAAATTAGCTTGAGATTCAATATATCGTTCGAAAGAGTAAAAAAATCATTACAAATGTATCGAACGAAGAAAAAAAAAAGATGTAAATACAAGCATGCTAATTGAATTGCTCTTCGAGGCGTCAAAAATAATCACTCTAAATGGTTATGATTGTTGTATTGTATTGAGATCATTGCACGAAATTATAAAAATAGACGTTAATTCGTCAAACGTGGTTTTAAAGTTGTTTTTTATTGGCTTTTTAAATAATAATGAAAGGAGCAAAAAAAAAGTGTTTGTTGAATATAATATTTGGAAAAACATCATATTATTTTGGTTTAACCATGAGGTTAAAATCTCGCGGTTTCCAAATCTGTTTGTTTGATTTTGATCAAGATGCGACTTTCAGCCTGCGACGACGACTCTCGGCAATAAAATAAAGCCTTTTAGCCACGTTTTTATGAATTTCTTGATACACGTCAATGGGATGGAATCCTTACATATTTGTCCACAAGATAGATCTAGTTAAGAAATCCACTTGTAATTCACATATATGTGTGTATTTTGCACGGAAATTCTTGAATCTATATTTTTTATTTTCATTTAGAAATGAAGCTACGTCATTTCGGCTACAAAAATAAATTACACGGAAGGACGATGAAAAATTAAAATGTTATTAAAATTACATTAAAATCGCGTACGCATTTCATCTACAATTCGAGAGAAAAAAAATGTGTGTTCCTATGTTCAATTCAGATAACACTTGTAAAACAACTGAGAGAAGATAAAAAAAAAAGAAAGAATATACCCATAAAAATTACGACTTTGTATATGAAAAAAGAAAAAACGGTTGGTTGTCATTTTATTCGAATCGACGAATCGTACTCGAACACGTGATGAATATTGTATTGTAATCAAAAACAGAGTCCCCCAAAATACCGTTTCATTACATATGTATAATGTACGTATGTATCTTAAATACAGTGATATGGCCTCTGCGAACAAAGTTGCAACATTTGACTTTGTTCCACAACATTTTCGTTGAACCATTTACAACTTTCGATCATCGAATTCACGTTGCAAAAATGGCAAATGATAAAAAACGAAATAGAAACGGTTCGATTCTATCGGTATTGGCACCGCACAATTTAACCGTTAAAAATCAAACTTTCGACGTTTTATTTTGGCAATACGTTTTTTGTTTTCGCTCTTTTTTGCATGTGCCAACGTGCATGTGTGTGTTGTGTGTGTGTGTTATGTGGTGTGTCAACGATTCCTATTGAAGTATTTTGTGAATGTAAATAACAAACAAAATAATTAAAATTTAAAATCACTCGGAGTGAGGTTCTTGGTTTTTTTTTTTTCGGAAAGCAGTATTATTCACAATGTAATTAAATAATTTTGATAATTTGCGATGTCATCCGATCGTTTCGATAATATACGACTTTTTCATAGTGTATTAAAATCACAAACCATTGAATTCCATGATATTTTATTATTACTATTTTTTTTTTGTAGTTAATGTTCTTATTTTTCGTTAATGTGCCTAGAAATTTCATTTAATAAGTGGTACCCATTAAAATTATGAGCCTTTGGCTAGCATTGATTTTCACATAAAATAGACACTGTGCCCCGTATTTATTTATGCGGATGAGCGTTCATTTCGCATATAAGAAATGTGGACAGAAAATGAAAAATAACCATTTTGATGACCAATGGTTTTGCAATGTAACGACAATTTACGAGCCGTTTGTTCGTTCTTCTTCAGACATCCGATGACACTGAATATTGTTGTATTATTGGCAATAGACATTTAACGATTGAACCACGACTTGATACGTACATTATATGATATAGAGAGATGTACGATTTCCACGTATTTAAATGAGTAACGATGATAAAATCGAGCATTTTCCTCTCTCCGACAATTTTACATATTTGGCGACATTCATAGATCTATTTCATTTATTTATTTATTTTTTCTTGTTGTGATATTCCATATGAAAAATCTATAAATTTTAATGAACACACGATCGATTCACCTAAAATATCTAAGTATGACTGGGATGATATACACAGCGACAGAGAGAGAGAGAGAATAGATTAACGATAACGATCCAATGTGGTTTCATTATCTGTCGTTGGAAATCTTATAAGTTGTAATAACAACATCAACTCTTTAAATATCGTCTTCATAAAAATGCTTTTTTTTTCGGTGCTCTGGCCACAAATCTCTCTTTTGTGTCTGCTACCAAAATCCAAAAGCTTATATTTTGGAATATTAAGAATCGAAAAGAAACGACGCGAAAATTGACGAAGTAAAAATTATGCTGTGTAATTGTGTTACAACTTAAAGAGATGTCCATATTTTGGACATTTAATTGGTGTCTTTGTATAAAAATAAAACAATATTTTGGCAAGGCGTAATTGATGTCAGTGACTTTGCATTCAGTATATAAAACAACAAACAAAACATGTGAAATGATTGAATGGGAATATTTTGAATAAATAAGAATCTACAATATAATCGTGCGCACATTTCTCTTAAACTCGTGTCGATCCTTGAAGCATGTCTTACACAAAATAATATATCTCTTTCATCAGCATTGTCATTGTTAAAGATAGAACATTATTTGTGCGGTGTATTGAGTGAAAAGTTTTTCGGCCGGATAAAATTGTTTACAAAAAGATTTAAATCGAACATGACATTTAAATTATGATGGTCAATGTGTGATTCGAATGTTTTCGAATTTGAAATGGGTTACGTTTTGAAAAACTAAACAGTTACTAGTTTATTGCAGCAGCCAAAACATCCTCAAAACATTTATTCTATTAATTTACATTTTTTGAATTGAGCAAATGGAATATGTTGTGTTTGGGTGTCGGTGTGTGCGTGTCATTCATTGCAAAATATATGGCTGGTTATTTTTTTATCGGCAAACATTACTTTGTTTACTCTGAATGCTTTTTGGTTATTTATTTTTTTCTCTTCTTTACGTTAGATTAACGCATTTCAATAATGAAATTGAATTCACAAATCGATTATCGTTTCGATTCTGCCGCTCAATTAAATCCAACGACAAAAAAATATACCAAAAAACCCAAAATATCCAGATCAATTTTTACCACTGAAAATCGCTTCAACGATATCGGTTTCGTGTTGTATGCGTCTGTGTGCCTTACTGTATGTTATCGGTTGGTGCTGTGAGCCAACGAGCCATTTTGATATATTCGTATCAAAGTGTTGCTGAAAATTAATTCAAATGAATCGCAACTCCAATACATGGTCGTCTTTCTCCCTCTGTATTGAGTGTATGTATTGGCTGCTGTTGGCTACTACAAAATAGCAACGTACATCAAGTCAAGTTGATTCACTGTATCACTGTCAACGGTGTGTTAGCACCATATTATGCGTGCTGCAGAGGAGTACTGTTGCTGCTGTTGCTGTTGTTGTTGTTTTATCAAAACGCTAGCGATTTGGTCGAAGGGCACGTATCATTGCACTACATCAACATCAACAATCACTTCCAATTCGAATTCGGCTTCGATTGGGCGCTATTCCGTGAACGGGTGCTGAATGTAGTGCGTGAAAAGTTACGATAGAAAATTCAATTGAACGGAAAAAATGAAAAAGGAAAATAGACAGAACCAAACCGTAAATTTGATTGGCGCCAAATAATCAAATTGGTCAATTAATCAATTAAATTGGTTTTATTCCGGTTACGTGGATCAAACGATTATTCTATAGCCCATTTGTTCATTGTAAATCTATAGTGAAGAAACAACGACTGTGCGTATTATAAAAGCAAACAGATAAAAACAAAATAAGCGAAATTCACGGAGCAAATTATCTCTCTGGGCGACAATAAAAACCAAAATGACAATACACACAAATTTCCGGATGAGTCAATGCAACTCTCGAAAGCAATGATATTTAAAAAAAACCAACAAAGTAATTAAGATATAGGATTCGGGTTAAAACAATTTTCATTTCGTTTTTTCGTTTTCTGTCTTCCGTTGTTTCTTTTCCATAACAGGTCCTGTTGATATGCGTGCCATCATCTGTCGTACATCGGTGTCGGTTGTGTTTTGTCACCACCATCGAGTGACTGTGTGTCAATCGTCGTTTGGGTAAACGGTCGACATTTTTATCCAGTCAGATATTTAATATAAAGTGCCACTATCAACGACTCTCAATAATAACAATAATAATAATAATAACAAAAAAATACGAATGGCGATTTTGTTTTAATATTTGCCAATACACACATTCATTATGAGCTTATAAAATTCAAAAACCAGAACCAAACCGAGAAAAAAAAAACATGTTTATCAGGTTATTGTAATACACGAAGATCTTTTTTTTTAAATGGAATATGATTAAAGTTTTGTGTTCAAAGCCTCAAAGTTTTCGGGTAAGCAGCATGTGTCTTGTCTATTTATGTTTTTATCACAAAAACAGAAAAATTAAATACTGAAGACAACGGCGAGTGCTGCGACACAGTCTCAGTCCAAGACAAAAGCGAATGAAGCAAAAACGACAAGCAGAGAGGAAAAAAAGAGATAAATAACAATAATAAACATTAGACAAAAATAAAGTGTAATCAAGGAAGCACTAAAAGCGACGAACAACGTTGACATGTTGAGATGTGTACAAGAAAATCCGTACTTATTTTGACTTTTGTAACACAAGAACGCTTGTAATCGTTGTTTGATTTTTTGTTTTCGTTTTGACATTGTTAACACTAGAGTGGTTGCGCTTTATTCTCGGTGGCCTCTGTTTGCAGTTGCAAGTTATAGTGAAAGTGTACAAGTGATCAATTTTTTTTTGGGTATGATCATCATTTTGTTGGTATTTTTTTTTTGTTTCAAATCAATACATAAGTGCAGCAGCAACTCACGATATCAAAATATATCTTCGTCAGAAAAAAAAAAAAAAAAAACAGAATAAATGATATATTCAAAATTTTCGTTAAATGAGACAAAAGAACTTTTCTCAGCGTCGTAAATTTGTTGAAAATCCGTGTCCGCGTTGAAGGTTAACAAAAGTAATCAATGATTTGTGGTTTTTTTTCCCACCTCCAATGGAATGAATTAAAAAAAACGAGAATAAGAATAATTATAATCTGGATTGGTTTGAGAATTTTTTGAGTCGATGACACCGAACGACTAAGTGCGCCAGTATATGTTCCAATGTTGGTTAGTGAAGTGATTGCAAAAATGACCTCCTTTTAGCATTTCCAGACGTGTTTTAGAACCGCCAGACACATAGGGGATAATAACATGGATAAACTTTCTGTGGTAACGACAAATGAACCTTTTGAAAAAAAAACGTGAACAAAAAACTGGTGGATTTGATCATATTGTTGAAATAGTCATTGCCACATTGTTTATGTTTATTTTTGACGTCGAACGAAAGAAGAAAGAGAGATAGATAGAGAGAGAGGAAGAACGTTATATATGCCCATTCATAAATAAAACATGAGGTGTAAAGCCAAATTCAATTTCAATTCAATTTTATTTGCATGGTGCCATTGACGATGTGTAAACACATTTTCAAACAGAACTATTTTTAATATGAAATAACCGAAAAACTTTGCACTTCCTTACCCATGTGAAATTCTGACCTATAAAAAACACACACACGAACTATTCACGAAACGAAAATACAGAGAGAAACTGTGAAAATTATTGTTGCCTATTGATTTCAATTTTAAAAGCAAACATACATTTATTCTGATGAATTTGTATCTAAAATTTTCAGATCGAATGCCACGAGATAGGAAGAAATCCACGTTAATTCAAATCACAAATAAATCGAACGAAAACTGAATTGATTGGCCGCAATCAATTGACTTGAAAGAAGAAAAAATAAGAGTTATATCGAAAGACGAATAAAATCCGGAACAAATGTTATTTAATCGAATAAATCACCTTTTCGATCAACTGAATGAAACGCTAAATGTGCAAACGCTACACAAATGGACAGAACAAATGTATGGTACGACAAACGACAGCCATTTATTCGGAAACATGATCAACGAAACATTGAACGATCTAATCCTGCAAAACGGTTCTGGAAATTCGACACCGTTAGATGCAAATAATGTGATACGGTTTAAACCAGAACCATTGGCTGTACTAATATTGGTTACAATATGCTATTCATTTATATTTATCGCTGGAATCTTGGGAAATGTGATCACGTGTGCAGTTATTTATCGAAATAAATCGATGCATACAGCAACCAATTACTATTTATTCAATTTGGCCATATCAGACTTAATACTTTTGCTATCAGGTAAGCGAAAATAAAACGATCGCGCGCATCCCGCACAATTTGTCTTACATGCATTTTGCCCATTTTAATATTTCCAATCACACACCTCTGCACATTTTTTTTTTATTTTATATGGTAATTGTGATTGTGTTTTTTTAGGAATGCCACAAGACACGTATAACATTTGGTTTCCTCATAACTATCGTTTTACACATACCATTTGCATATTGCAAGGACTATTATCAGAAACATCGACAAATGCTACTGTATTGACGATTACCTCCTTCACCATTGAGCGATATATTGCCATTTGCCATCCATTCAGGTTTGTTCATGCTATTTCTATCATCATCGCCGTCGTTGTCGTTGTCATCTTCTTAGTCGTCTTCGTCTTCTTCTTCTTCTTATTCTTCTTTTCTTTTATTGAATTTATTACTTTAATAGTCCATTTTCGATCGTGCGCATATTTTATGAACTATTTTGGCTCGCGCTCGTGTCTGTATAATCTGATAAAGTGTGGTAAACCGGATGAATAGTTGAGGACAAGTAACAAATTAAAAAAAATCAAGTTTTGATTCCGCTAACATGTAGCCGAAATTAGCAAGAATTAAAAATATCGAAAACAATAAAATAAATTTGATTAAAGATATTGAGTGAAAGAGAAAGACAGAGAGAAAGAGAGTGAGAGAAAAGAAGAAGAAGACTATCGCAAATATATATGATGCTATCATAGACACACCATACAATGTTTTCGTTCATAACGGCATGTTTTCTATTCAAATTTCAGACAGCATACCATGTCAAAATTATCACGTGCTGTTAAATTCGTTATGGGAGTATGGATTTTGGCTTTCGGTCTAGCTATTCCACAGGCCATTCAATTTGGTGTGGTTTCGCTACATGGAGGCCATTCATGCACAGTAAGTGGATTTTTATTACAACCCATATTTTGCTTAAAACCGAATCGCAACCAACGATAGATATCCTGTAATGAAAAAAAAACCAACTTTATAATAATTATCAACAAAATATCGCCAAAATACAACACATCGTTACCAGTGTGCCTGTGTGGTAGTTTAAATGCTACTGCAGCGATATAATCTTTTCAGATTGAATTTTATTGCTGCTTTCAATTATTATTCTAATTATTTTTTTTCTTCCCAGTTTTTTTAACGTTGTTGCTCGGTGTGATATGATTTTTAAACATGAATTTTTATGATGATGATTTTTTAATCCAATCGAATAGGTTCAAAATATACTGGTGGAGCATGCATTTGAAATATCATCGTTTCTATTTTTCGTTGGACCAATGACTTTAATTTGTGTCTTGTATGTTTTGATTGGAATTAAATTAAGAAATAGCAAGACATTGCACGGAATCACACGTGACAGCAGCGAGATCAACCGTAGTATTTCCGGTCAAACACGTATCATTCGTATGTTAAGTAAGTTTCCATATCAAAAATCGCAGTGATTTTTGTGTATATTTATTATTGTTGTTGTTGGTGTTTCGTCATTATTATTATTATTGTGGTATTTGGTTTTTCTGAATGCGAAAAGTTGACAAATAAAAAATAATAATACCAAATAAACAACAAAAATTCAACATCCAAAGAGAAAGAGACGTTCGGAGTTGACTCTGCGAAGACGACTGAAATGGTTTTTTGTTGTCATGCAAGCGAATTGGCGAATGTTTTGTCAAACATTTTTTATTTATATATGTTGAAAATGTAATAGATTTATTTGAAAATGTTCAACCTGGATTTCGTTGTTTTTGCTGCACACTGCGACCAGTGTAGATTTGCGTGTCATTTGTTTTTCATTTCGACACTTTTACGACTTTGATTTTTTTGTTACTCCTTCCACCGAAAAACGATGAGAATATCCGTTTTTAATTGGAAAAACCAGCTATGCAAAAGTGACATTTAAGAATTTAAATTTGCCAGACAATCATGTTGTAGCAATATAATTATTATTTTTGTGGCCCGCAATGAATGTACATTTTGCGCCATAAGGCAAATTAATCGACCGTTTATTTGGATTTTGGTATCATATTTTTGGTGAATGTCTACCGCATGGAAATGGATGAATACAGTGCATAACCCCTTTCTATCGATGTAATACCGAAACAAACACTCAATTTTATTGGTCATTGAATGAATTGAAGCAAATTAAGCGGCCGTCGATGGCCATAAATGCCATTTGAAATTGCATTGAGTTTTTTTTTTTTTTGGTTGTGAATCATTGCTCTTTCTCATCACCGCATCAAAAATATTGCGTCGTAATCTAAATTGTTTGCGTATGTTTGTTGCGGGCCATCATTTGACAATATTTCACTTCATTTTCAGTTGCTGTTGCTGTTGCATTCTTTTTATGTTGGGCACCATTTCATTCGCAACGATTGATGGCTGTTTATGGAAAAACGTTTCGTCCAACAAGTGAACTCTTTCGTGACATTTATACTGTACTCACATACGTCTCGGGCGTACTATATTTCATGTCAACGTGCATCAATCCATTACTTTACTCCATAATGAGTCATAAATTTCGCAATGCATTTAAGGTAATAAAATTAAAACTGACAATTATATTTATATTTATAGACATATTTATATCGCATGTAGTCTATCTTATCTTATCGCAACTTTGACCACAAACAAACAAAAACAACTGACGGAGATTCCTTTGTTTTTTTATCAAAACGAAAATCCGTCTATCATGTATGAAGACACCTATGTACGACCTCATTTGATCTCCGGTGATTTCAACTAAAACCGTTGACATTGAATTAAGTATCATAACGCTGTATGAAATCTCCGCTCAACGGCGACTCTTCAAAATTAATAACGAAAAATATTTCAACGGTCTTAGTTGAAGCAAATGATGGCGGCAACTTAATCATCTCATTCTTTAATTATCATGTTCGGCCACCCCAAAAATGTATATAGAATGTATGTTGTGAATGATAATAATAAATATGTTTTGATAATTTATTAACTAGATAACCATAATTCAACACTGCGGATTTGGAAGCGACTACATTCGACCGGATCATACATATTCGATGCTTTCACGATACAACGGTATCGGTTCACTGAAATTGGGCATTACCTCCACCCATAATCAACGTGCCAGCAATCCATGTATAAGCGAAGTAATGCGAACGACAGACATTGCAAATGGTCATCGGCATGAGAATACCGATTCAACATATGCCGAATTGTCCAGTGAATGTTCGCCGATGCAATTAAAAAATGTTGGCCATTCAATGCAAAATGTCGATGGACAAGTCAATCATCATCCAAATAATGAAAAAATCGATCTCAATGCAAATGCACGTTTCAATTTGCGACGAAAAAAAGCAACGAAAAATCAACAAAAAAATCAAAAACCGTTTGTTCATACAATCAAACTAAGTGCGACCGGCCATGGTCGAAAATCACCAAAATGCATCCCAAAAATAAAGAGCACAAATAGCATCTACAGCACCAGTACCATAAGCAATTCAAGTTTACAAGAATATGATGACAATGAACTTGATACCAATGAATTGGCCAAAAATTTGAGAAAAATCAACAATGACATTCACCATGACGTTAAATAAATCGCCCAACCCCCACGATTTACTAAACACACATATTTACTAATACATTTTATTCATAAATTAATTATATTATCATGTTAAGAATGTATTTTTGTTCATTTTTATTGTATAATATTAGAATATTCTGTGCATAAATTCTTGTCGTTAGTCATTACTGTAAAAATAATAATAATAAATATATACAATATTTTTGTCCATTGTCCATGAACTAATAGCGACGGTTACATTCTGAAAAAATTCAATTTCTAACACACACAAAAAAATCCATAGCAGTTCACAAAGTGTTCATTAGATGGCGTTGAACGAGAAAAGCTTTTAACATCGACCGAAACCGAAAAGTTTCAAAGCAACATTCAAATCTTCCAACTAAACGTAATATATAGAAAATTCGTTTTGCTGTTTGAAGAAAAAACGAAAAAAAAAAATTATGTCGAAAAAAAACCGTAGCGATGTGCTTTATCTCGAAAACATCTCGGTATATCTAAACTGGCTATCGTCATTGACGTTAGGGGATGTAGTACGAATGCCACATCATATACACAGCATATAAGCTGCACATGCGTGCGGCCCGTCACCATAAACAACAACACCACCACCACCACAATGTATTCTCTCCCTTTTTATGAGAGTGTGTATGCGAATGAAAAATGCCGAAACTGAAAATGAAATTTTCAACCCTCGTCTCCATATTTCCACATTTAGATAATCGATAAAGCGAATAGGGAACGGCTGTGTGCATCGACTGAATTTTTCTTATTCAGTTTTTAATTTGACGTTTGTACGACGACACATCTTTATCCAAAAAAAAAAAACTATTGCATACGCGAAATTCTCTTATCGTGTGGTGCATGTGAGTGAGAGTGAGAGAAAGTGCGTGTAAATATTGGAGTTTTTCTTCGATTTTTACGTTTTGTTTTCCATTATTATGATTTAAACTTTTATTCGATAAAACTAAAGAAAAATGGGAAGAAATCATAAACAAAACATTTGATTTCTTATCATATTCGTAGTGAATTACTTTGAATCTTGTCATTTTAGATCATTTTTTTTTCTTTTTTAGTTCAAATTAGAAAGAACAAAAATACAATTTTCGAATCGGAAAAAATAATAAAGCAGAATGTGTGTGAATGTGTGAGAAAGTGAGACAAAAATCAAATCTAGATTTACTACAGATATTCTAAATAGTTGACAATTTTTACGCAATACACAAAAAAACACACATCAGAGGAGAGAGAGAGAGTGAGTGTGTTGGCTTACCAAGTATTGGCGACATGTAAGTCTTCGAAAAACTAAAAAAAGAAAATTTCAGTTTTTGTTCTCGTTCATTCATCTGCGTATGTGAATCCCTCTCATTCGATGAAATAGTTCTCTCATTAAAAAAAAAAACAAAACCATTAGTGTTATTATTTTTTCGTTGTTGTTGTTGTTCTTGTTGTTATTTTGTTGGTTATGACATCGACCAGAATTACATTCGTAACACTCCAGATAAGCAGCACAGGAACTCTCAACGAAACAAATAGCCTGACAACAATGATACTGCAATGAATAAGAGGTATGTACGAGGGTTGCTCCATAATTTTTTTTAAAAACATATATAACACAGTTGTTTTTTGTCGAAAATGGTTTTATTGTTTTTCAAAATATTCCCCGAGATGATCGATACACTTTTGCATTCGATGAAACCATTTGTCATAGCATTCGTGCCACTCCGAAACTGATATCTCCAAAACGTGTGTTTTGAACGCTTCAACTGCTTCTTCTGGTGTCGAAAATCGTTGACCACGTAGTTTTTTCTTCACGCTTGGGAACAAAAAAAAGTCATTGGGTGCCAGGTCAGGACTGTACGGTGGATGACCCATCAGTTCGATGTTTTGACCGGTCAAAAATCGAGTAGTTTGAAAAGATGTGTGAGAGCTCGCATTATCGTGATGAAGAATTATTTTGCGACGGTGGTTGTTTTTTCTTATTTCACCAAACACTTCGGGCAAACAAATGGTGGTATACCAATCAGAATTGACGGTCTTACGATCCTCTAGTGGAACGGTTGCCACATGACCACTTCTCCCGAAAAAACAGGCGACCATTCGCTTCGAAGTGCTTCTTGCTCGAACAACTTTCGTTGGGTTATCTTCATTTTGGAAGACCCATACAGTCGACTGCTGTTTCGTTTCGGGCTCATAGGCATATATCCACGATTCGTCACCAGTGACGATTTTATTAACGTCTTTTGAAGCACCACGATTGAATTTCTTGAGCATTTCTTCACACCAACTCACACGAGCCATTTTTTGTTCATCGGTCAATTTATGTGGGATCCAACGAGAGCAAATCTTTTTTACGGCTAAATGTTCATGCAAAATTGTATGTATGCTGTGGGATGAAATGCCCAAAGATGCCTCAATCTCACGGTAGGTCACATGACGATCTTCCATAATCAGTTTTCTGACAGCATCGATGTTTTGTGGCACAACAGCCGATTTTGGACGACCTGTATGAAACTCGTCTTTGAGCGAACTACGACCGCAACGGAATTCTCGGTACCAGTTATAAATTGTCTGAAGGGTTGGTGCTTCATTGCCAAAGGCCAAATGAAGTCGATCGAAACACTGTTGTTGAGATAATTTACTTCGAAAATCGTAGTAAATCATTTTACGAAAATCTTCACGTGTAAAATTCATTTTTTTGTTGAGTCGCAGTTTACCAGTCACTGTAAACAATACAAATAGCGTTCGTACGACAAAAGGTTCAGGGCACGAATACATACCAAAACATCAAACTTTACGAATATGACAATGGTTTACATCGGGCAACACTATAAGTACCATTTTAAAAAAAATTATGGAGCAACCTACGTATGAATACATCATAACAATGCAATATCGTTTTACATAGATTCGGTAATGGGATTTGCTTGGCGAAGCTTATCTCTATCATGCTGTATCGTGTTGTTGCTACACACATTGCAATGGATTAATTATTCGAATTGTTATTATTGATGTTGATGTGTGGTTTGATTGGCAAATTTGTTCTGTTAGCCGCATCAACATAAGCCTGTGTCAATGTCGATATAGAGATTAAATTTTATTTAAGGTTAAGGCACTCGCATTGGCATCGGGCCGCAAATTTTAGTTTTGCACATTTCAAGTGAAATTTTTCACACTCGCACGCAAAATGTGCATTTTGAATGTAGCAAGCGCTAGAGATTGAGAGGATGAGGATTGAATAAGAGACACACACAGGGTCGAGATCCAACGCTTTTAAGTAATATGTGTTTGTATATATTGTATTCTCCTTGTTCAGATGAGCGTAAATACAAAAACCATATAAACGTTATGTATTCGGTTGCCATTCCTTTGGAGTCTGCACACATTTTTTTTTATTTGAGCTATTTGAATGTCGCAATCAAACGCATTCATTTCAAATTCATTGTCTTATTCGGACTGAAAATAATTCACGATGGAAAACAATTCAACGAATAAGAAACATTGGCTCGGGCAGCAGCTCGTAAGTAAATTATAACATTTAAAGTTATTTATGTACGAATGTAGAGCCAGCAAAAAATTCATTTCAGAAATATACCAGCGCCCAGAAAAAAGCACACACACCTGTTTGAAAAGAATGGCCATGTTGAGTGTTGTTGTTGTATTTTCAGTCTTCATTGTCTTTCGCTGGAGTCTGAAATAAGCTTATGTACATATATATTTTGAAGGCAAAAGAAAAAGAAAAAAAATGAGAGTCTTGAAATTCGAAGCTTACTTTTAATGAAAAATGAATTACAACTGCAATATGCCAAAGGCTATGTCCAGCCGTCTATTGAAACCATTCAATTTGTGTAGTATTTTCTTTCTGAACAGACATTGTCCATTCAATGATATTTTCTACCTCAGAATTGCACACACACACACAAAAACAAGTGAAACAAAGTTAAAATCGTTAATTCCTTATATTTCTTACCGCAAATGAACACTAATTTGCATAACATAAGCCAATGAAACTCCGACAGATTGCGAATTTGAAACGAAACAAATGGATTTACGTATATATTCCATAAATAAGCGGAGCGATGTGATTTACTTTAAGGATTTCATTCTTTTTTTCCAAAGCTTTTGTTTCCTTCTAACTGCCACGTTTAAATTCAAGGCAAAATGTCAATTTGTATGATATAACATTCAAGCAGGCACATGAAATCTTAAAGGTTTCACTTTTTCATCAACGGGCCGAAAAAGTGCAGAAACTAAATTTCACTGTCAAGCATACTTTTTCGTATTATCTTTTTATTGGTTCATGCGAAATAATGTAAACATAAAGAACACCAAAACAAGCCGCGTTACATTCAACTATATGGATTGAATTACGAGCAAGCGTCAATTAGTGACAGTGTTAATACGCAGTGTATTTACACAATGTCACACACAACGCACACAATAAATACATATGTATTCAAATTGTGTACGTGCACGTTGTAATGTCATACACAATGATATTTTACATAATTTTCGTCGTTTTATTCAAGCAAATGATGCGGTCGCGTAGATTACGATTGGACCTTCTGCATGTTCACATATTCAGTATGTACTTGATTGCAATTAAAACTGCAAACAATTAATTTATATATATATTGTCAGTAAATTAACCAAACATTTTTATACACTTTTAATATTTTATAACGCGAATAGATGTAGTGTTCACAAAATTAATAAGATTGAGTTTTTTGCATAATAATTACTTGGTTGCACATCGTATCAATCATCACCGTATTGAATGAACGGCTTAAAATATTGAATGCAGTGCGACATAAAGATTATAAGTATGCCATTGCCACACATACACTGAGTGTTTTGTGTTTTGCTTCGTGTTTTTTTCTGGTTTGATATAAACAAAGCGATTCACTTTGATAAACATTGTGCATTGTTTTTGATTTGAAAAAAACCGCCAAATTACGGTTTCGAGTAAGCTAACACATTTGTTTATTCATTTCTTTTCAGATAATCAACGTGTGGTTGGCTTAAACGATTTTCCGAGAACGTCAAACGATCACATCAACCAAATCCCATGGAACAAAAACCAAATTATGGAAAACATTTGGCGATTCTTGTGATTCCGAACAAAAAATAAGAGAAAAAGAAAATAACCAAAAATAAAACAATAACCAACCCAACGGAATCGTAGCATTATACATTACAAAACGATATAGCTAGAGAGCGTATAGTGCAAAATTGCTCATCAGTGTGCACGCGGCAGTTAGTCTATTTTACAATATAGTTTAGGTAGAAAAAATGCATTTACACTTTGAAAAAAGTACGAATGCAAAATGTGATTGCTCAATAGTTTCGCTATCGTGGATGGGAAAAGTTCCTGACAATGTACCGGAGGTAAGTGCAAAGAATTTTTTTGTATTTGTGTGTTTTTTGCGAGTGAATTGTTGTTGCCAGACTGAATTGTATTCGTTGGACAAAAGTTATTGAAATTGAATTGACGACGTCATTCATTTCCATAGAATTGATTGGTATTGTCCCTTTCGATGACATTCAATGCAAACATAACAATGAAAACTAAATATAATTATCATTATTGATTCATCATTGATTTTTATTTGCAATTCTTGAAAGAGTTTTCTTTTCCTTCGAATTCGATTTGAACGTAAATAAAGAGTGGACGTTTCAACGTTTTATGTAGCGAACAGCGATTAAATATTGTTTTCGATTTGTCTGGGCCATTAATTGAATGTAGGCCAACCCAAATAATTACGAAGGAAACACTCTTTAAAAGGAAAGTTCCATTAAATGTGGACATTTTTGTTTATATAAGATTGCGAATCGGCGCAAAATTATCGAAATTACTGAAAGAAGCAAACAAAAGCAATTTTTTATCGAGCAGAGAATACCGTCAGATGGATCTATTAGCTATAGATGTATCAGATATAAAGCGATAAATAAAGAACCGATAAGAAGCGTATAAATCTATTTGACAGTATGCTCTGTTGTTGAGCAATTATTCTTGCTTCGGTCAATTATGTTCGTTTGCTTTCAACAAACATGTTTTCTTTTGAAGACGGAATGCGCTTCGACATCAAAAATAGAAGAAACGAATCTTATTTTTAAATCAACGTTTGTTTATTACATTTTATTCGAAATTCATGTTGTGTTTTTCTTCGGACCAAATGTTGATAGCATGAAAAAAAAAATGATATATTTACAGAAACTCAACATTCTGTGAGTATCGTTCGTTCCGACGAAATCCCAATTCGCGCGAAAGAAATGGATCGTGTGGTTAACGAGTATCAAACAATTCATAAACTGTCCAAAACTGATTGGTCTGAGCGTTTGATTGAAAAAACGCGCTAATATGATTAAGCGCTCCTCAAAACCACCAGACGCATGAATTATTTAATACTCATATATCGATCGCATATTCATGTCTACTACATTTTGTTTGCGCGTAAAATTTCCAAATTTCCATATATACAGTGTGAATGAGTTTGTTTATTGATTGTAAATTGTAACGACTTTGTTGGTTAGCATTGGCATCGATATTCTATGCATGAGGTGGACACCGAATGGTGAACACGAATAAGATTATGAGAAATAGCTGAACAAAAGCATTTATTATCTGTGAATCACTTGCGTTCTTTTCTTTCTTTCAAATTTTCACAAAATTTCTTGATGGCCAACCAATTTTCACTTGAAGTTAATATCAAATCACATTTTTTTTTACTTAAATCAATCTATCTATTTTTTTTGCTATGGCGAAGCGAACACATACTGCGATGTGATGACATCGCAAATTGCAATTCATTTTTAATGGTATTTCATTCGTTCTAGATTGTCGTAATTAGACGCTGAAATAATTTTTTTATAAATGAACAACAAACCTGCCTGATTAAATTTCATTTTTGTTCAGATTTTATCTGGAGCATGCAATTGTTGGCTATCTTGTGAGCGCTCTACCATTAAGTGAACACGTAGATTGTGTAATCATTTACACTCGACATTTATATATAAATGTAAAAAAAACGTGTCATAAAAACGTCAATGCATGTCACATTGCATGGCAAATCAGACAGGAAAGGAATGAAAAATCAGTTTCTGTGAAGTGAAAAATGGTTTGCCATTTGAATGTTAAATAATAACATTAAAAATGATTTTTCATTCGAAACAACAGAAAAAAAAACATGAAAGGCCATGATTCTCCAAAACCATGAGTTTTTTTCCACGGATCATCAGATCTGTGCATCGTTTACGCATTATGTATCAAGTCTATTTATAAACGGCGAGTGATTTGGTGCTATAAAAGTGTCGAATAGACTTAAGTCTATATTTACACAATTATTGAAATTCTAGCTATTGAATTCATACATTCCACAGTCGTCGGCGCCTTATCTCCGATTCTCTTGGTTCGTTCTCATCCCAATTGTCTTGCAGAGCATGAAATCACACTTGTGTCGATTCTTTAAGCTTCGTCAATGACAATTTCATGCTCTGATGTCTTGGAATAAAAAGAAATTCTCAACCCAAAAGAGGAAATTGATACTTACGTACGTTTTTTCCTGGCTTTTTTTTTATGGCTCAGCACTTGTTCAAGTGGTGCACTTGCATATTATGTCACTTAAAAGTGAAGTTGCAACCATTAATTCGAATCACTTGAAAATTCTATCGACATTTTGCCCTGGATTATTTATAAATACTGTACGCATAGTTGGTGTTAAGCGCTTGCAAATAATAATGTCTAATGGTTTTCAATTATTTTCACACACTGTCGAACGTCAAAATTTTGTTATGTGCAAAATATTGAATCGTTCAATGACATTGATGATTTGCAGGCAGGATATAATTTAATTCACACTTACGTCGCTGCTACATGACCGATTCACCGTTCTACCCGATAGGCGTGGAAAATTGGATAAACAAAAAGCGTTCAATATACTCTAATGCGACCATAACATACGTGCGTACAATTTGCGCAAAATACTGCCGTGATTTTTTTTATTAAGTGAATCGAGACGAACCATTTCCCATTTCAGATTTTTCTATAATTTCAAATCATGACTGTTGGCTGGCATACCAAATTGGCTGGATAAAATGTCTTGACGCTGTATTCGGTATCTCTCTCTCTCTTTCTAGTTTTTGTGGGTACGATATGTTTGTTTTTTGCAAATGGAGGGTGGATGTTTTATTCAATTTTCATTGAACCAACCCGCTTGGTATATTTGCATGCAGCTCTCATATTAAAATAAATTGTACAGGTGTTACCATAATGGTGTCGGAATCATTTTATATGACACAGCACTTGATGACATAAAAAAAATGAGAATGAAGAAGACGAAAGTGGAAAAAAAAATTAAAATGCAAATCGAAATTGGATTATTTTGCGGAAATGTATATAATCCGCACCGAATCAACTGAATTTCTTGGCCAAATGAAAATGCTTGATTGCAACTGCTTCACAGCACGTTTTCTCATTGCAACGAGCCAATAGAACACATAATAATAATTGACGTCAAATGCCTTTGAAAATAGTTTTCGTTTGCATGTCTGTGTGTGTGAGAGAGAGAGAGAGCTCTATGACGATGAAGATCGTACCAGGCCATGCCATGCCAACCATCATTCATAATAGAATGATGAACGGAATTGTGCAATCTCTTTATTTTACTTGAATTTATTTATAGAATTGAATACATTTTGCACATTCGACCAGCGGAAACGAAGAGGGTCAGGCGCAATGGTAGACAGGAATGAATGCTGATTTGTATAGATTTCTTTCGTTTTGTATTTTCAGCGTTCAAGCTTTTATAATCAATACTTCTTTTTTTGTTGTATATGAGAAAATTCAAGCTACATAACATAAAATGAAGGTTACCGTAGTCGAGTTATTGCCATGTTTGTTTGTTTGTTGCTTCAGTTTATTTATTTTAAGGTGACCCAGGATCATTTAAATTAAAATAATCGTGTGTATAGGTCAATCATATAAATGCAATAAATGTATTGTTAGTTTTTTTTTTTAATCTCCTTCGGTCAATCGAAAGTTTATGTTTTTTTTTTTTGCTACGATTCAACCAGTGAGAACGTTCATCGCTTTATTAAGCCATTTTCCCCGGTGCATCATAAAACACAAATTATCATTGTTCGAGAGAGAAAAAAAAACGAGAAAAACGGACAGAGAACGAGAGGTGGAGTTCCAATCGTATTTTACTTGCCGTTTTTTTCTTTGCTGAGTTAGCACTTTTTGTACTACTATGTATACATAAATTTAATATTCAATTAAATTGGCCAATTCTAATAGATTATGGATGTATTGAAGCATTTAACGCTATAAACTTTTTGCACTTTTGATGAAATGAAAAAAGTTACGCAGTTTGGTTTTGTTCTTTTGGATCGCAACTTTTCCAATGATTTCGATTTTAGTGCAATTTGCAGTAGTAGGAAGTAATTTTAAGATTTAAAAATAAGTTACATTCATACAAGGCTAACTACACTTATTTTTAAATCTTAAAATTAATTACCTTGCTAATTTTATTTCGCGGTAGAGCGTGATTATTTGTTTGCTGATTGTGATCCCACTTGGGATTTCCACATAGTCTATTCTTAACTGTCATTATAGTGACAAGGGCATTGGTTTTGATTGGTCTGAATGGAAACAAACTCTCCTTTTACACTAGATAAAGACTGTATGGAGGCTCAGTTTTGACAGCCCCATCCAAAGCCCTTCAACACCTATGACAAGGAGGCGATTGATTTTGAAACTTAAAAAAAATGTGAAAGAAAAAATACGAAATTTTGATGTGCTCATTTATTCTCAAACTGATTATGTTGAATTTTCTGAGTAATTTAAAGCCGATTCAGTCTCTGTTTTGAATTACGGCATTAAAAATGGTTAATAAATGAATATTCGTGCTGTACAAAAACTGGCAAACATTTTTGTGCAATAAATGTTTTGTCGAAGTTTGACATCGGTCGGAAATTGACTTCTCATCCAGATTTTGCTCTATCGAATGTAAGATCAACTTTTCGCCATTCTTTCCGTAGTTGAAAGCTTATTTTTGCTTGTTGTTCCATCCATCGAGGGCATTTATCGATTTTTAAAGTGTTTTCCCGAGCGCACCATAAAAAGAAATTAACAGCAAAAGTCAACAATTTTCTTGCCTTTGTTTGTTTGTTTGTTGTACCGTATATGTGTGTGTGTGTATGTCTGTGCATTTTTGTTGCCATCGTATATACATTGTACAATGAATAATCAATTAAATTGGATATATATTTCAGGAGGATGGTTGGAAGCTGACGAGAAGTAATTACTATCAGGAGGGATGGTTGGCAACGGGAAATATTCGTGGTATTGTTGGCGTTACATTTACAACATCCACGAGCAAAAAGAATATGGACTATCCGTTGCGAACTAATTACAATTTACGAGGCCATAGATCAGATGTAAGCACTTTGTTCTCCTTTTATTCTCATTTGTGTACTAAACCAAAGAATAAAACTGAAAATTGTTTGTTTCTATTTCTATTTTAAGCTTTTATCGAAATGATAATAATTTGCTTCGTGTATATTTTTTTTCTTCATTTTTACATAGGTAACATTAGTGAAATGGAATGAACCATACCAAAAGCTAGCATCTTGTGATAGCACTGGTATCATATTCGTATGGATAAAATACGAGGGTAGATGGTCGATTGAATTGATAAATGATCGAAATACGCCTGTTACTCACTTTTCATGGTCTCACGATGGCCGTATGGCACTCATATGCTATCAAGTTAGTGCCGAAGCTAAAATGAAACTAAATCGATAAAAACTAAAAAAAAAAAACAAATTCTTAATTTGATTATAGGATGGATTTGTATTGGTTGGTTCTGTGGCTGGTCAACGGTATTGGTCATCTATGTTGAACCTGGATTCGATAATAACGTGCGGCATTTGGACGCCCGACGATCAGCAAGTGTATTTTGGCACGGCGCATGGTCAAATTATCGTAATGGATGTACACGGTGCCATGGTATCACAAGTTCAATTGTATGCTGATATGAAAATAACATCGATGGCATGGTCTTGTGAAAAATTCAAAATGGAAGAAGGTGAAGATGATCCCGGTGTCACCAATGCAGGTAAAATAATTGTTTTGAGGCTGAAAACCTTGAAATTTTCACCAATATTGGAATTTAATGCAAATGCTTTATCGAAATCAGGCAAACGAAATTTTGTGCTAGCGGTTAGTTTTGAAAATGGATTCATTTATTTGCTCAAATCATACGATGATGTATCACCTGTTCACATAAACACTGAGATGAATGGATCAATTGGTTTCGTAATGGAATGGAGTAATGCACAAGAATTATTGGCCGTTGCCGGCACACTTAGCCAGTCTGTACAGCCATTAGATTCACAAGGAGCCCTTGTTTTCCATAATGTTGTTAAATTTTATACTGAAACCGGATATCATTTGTATACGGCACGTATTCCAAGTACAAGCAGTCCAGTATCGGCGCTCACATGGGGACACAGTGATAAACGACTATTCATTGCAACGGGTAACCAAGTGCATATTGCTTGGGTGAGCCGAAAAGTGGCAACATTACAACTATTATGCCGATTACAAGTACAAAATTGTATTGGATCCGAATTAATGGTACCGAAATTACCGCTGCCATCGAGAATAAAATCTCTCATCACAAATATGTACTCACAAACAATACGGGTAATTTAATAAATCGCAAAGAAAAAATGCAATATTTCTCATGTAATTGATTGTTGATTTTGGTGGATTTCAGTGTTGTGTACCAAATATGAAGTCATTAAGAGAATTTGTATCGCGCCCACCATCGTGTTCAACTCGGCTACATTGCACCATGATTCGTCACGACGAAGAAAACAATGTTGGATCGGGCGTATGTTATACACTGTATTTAGAGTACTTGGGTGGATTGGTGCCGTTGTTGAAAGGCAAAAAGACATCAAAAATTCGTCCCGAATTCGTAATTTTCGATCCACAAGTATCAAGTAAGGAAGAGAAAACAAAAATATGATGAATAAAAGAATTTCAAATGTCGTGCATTTTATTTTTGTTCCATTTGCAGCAAATAACGTTTTCCATCAATACTCCGAAAATGGATTTGAAGCAAAAAGTTCTTCGGATTCGAGTGGCTCAACTATAAACTGTGATCATAGCGATTCTTCCGATAGTGAAATTGAAAACCGAGACCGAAATTCACCGCGGTTGCGTCGCAAATCACCATTCCAATCGAAACAATCAAATCCAAATAATGAACGAACCGCAACCACAAACGCAAATGCCACAAATGACACAAACGATCCAAATGATGATTTAGCGTATGTAGATACATTGCCAGAAGAAGTGAAATTGGTGGAAGTGACATCAAATTTATGGGGTACAAAATTCAAAATTCATGGTTTGGCCAAAACTGTACCAGCCAATCTCGGTCAAGTCACGTACAAAACATCATTTTTACATTTACAACCGCGTCAAATGACACTGGTTATAACCGAATTGCGCGACGATTTCCCATCACATTACAAAAGTATGTATTAAATTACAAAAAAAGTGAACTATTTCAGCATGAATTTATGATGACGTCTTTTTGTTTTGTTTTGTTTTCATTTTTTATTTTTCGCATGATTTAGATGATGAAATGGAGTCGGATCAAAATTTCAATCCAAATGTTTTCTCAGAAGATGAAGATGAGCAATCGGCTATGAATCAAAAACGTTTGAATGCAAACGATACAGCACCGATGATAGCTCCAATGTCACCGCGACCAAATCGTTTTCCATCCCGTTCGAAAAATGGTAATTTAACGAAAATGGAAAAGAAAAACTTACTCGGTCCACTCGCAAAGGCTGAAATGTACGAAGAGGATGGCATTACAAATGAACAAAATGTAGAAAATCAACAATTACAGTCCAAACCAATTCGTCCAAAGCATATAGAAACATCAATTACATCGAGCTGCCGACCAGGTCCTAGTTATAGTAGTTTTGTAGCTCAGTATAGTCGATCATCGTCAAATGGTAGCGGGCAATCACGACATGCCATTTCACCATTGTGTTGTGAAGGTTCGGTGCCAACATTGCAATCGCCGAAAAATGCGGTTGGGCCAAGTGATACAATTTTCGAGCGCCCACCAGCCCTTCAAACTACAGCTATTATTAATTATCCAAATAATAATGACTACACAACCAGCATTGTTCACACAAAAAACAGCATTCCGAATGACATTCAATCGAAATCGAACGCACAAAATTCACATTTATCCAATAATGGGTGTGCTCCGATAACTAGAGATAATGGAAGATATGGTCGCACAATATCATCATCATCAAATTCGTCTTCGTCGTCGTCATCAACAGCAGCAGCAGATCGATTGCAATCAAAGAAAAAAGAGTTACAGTACATTGACGATGAATTACCGCCGATACCACTGTGCACACCACCACTGCCACCATCAGCAGCATCAACATCAGCAACAGCATCATCGTCGTCAGCAAACGAAACGAATATGCACCGAACAACAACGGTGGTTTCCATTTCGCCGGCATGCATAAATATGTCGATGACGCGCAGTTGCAGTGTTGGTTATCTCGATTCGGTTGATACACCATCCGATGAAGCATTGTCAATTCTTCGAAAAGAAACACCCAACAAACGGCTTGTGCTCGTTGATCGAAAACCAAATAAGAAAACCAAACAAACGGAAAATCAAACGAAAAAAATGAAATTGATTAAGTGTGGCAAATCAAAAAGCTTAGATTCATGCGATCTTAAAGAGATTCCAATGAAAGCAAATGTAAATGATGGTGCAAATGTAATGCCAAAACTATGCGAAGGTCATGAATCGGAAACCGATTCACCAATTCATGTGAAAAAAGTTCCACCAAAATTAATCGAAACTTCAATTATTGGCTCATTATCCAATGCCACTGAGCAGCTGTGTCTAAACTGTAACAATGCTGCAAAATTGATGCAGTGTGAACAATGTCGAAAAACGTCCACAAACGTAATCGTTGATCAAATTAAGACTGTTTCGAATTCATCAAGTAGCAAGTCATCAATCTCCTCATTCACCGAAAACACACCAAAAACACCATCCAAATTGGATCACATGCTCACCGATGCGATTAAAGCGGGTAGCAGCAGTAACGGAAACAACAACCAAACTGGCGGCACTAGTAGCAGCAGCAGCAGCAGCAGCAGTAGCACCCGAAATAAAATCGAACGCAAACCAAAACCACAAAAGAAAAATACGGAAGTTATAACGAGTTACACGGATAGCCCATTATTTTCAAAGAAACATCGATTTGGCGAAGAGGCCAGCAATTCACGCTATTCTAGTTCAGACACCCGATCATCGCCATTGTTATGTCGTAAATTTGAAAGTGGTATCAGCTTATTGAAGCAATTTTCCGAAGCACGGAAGCGTAAAAAAGAAGAAAATCTGCAATTGATTAAGGCCGATTCACAAAGTGATTTGCAACAAAGTTCGTCAAATGAAACAAAAACAGCACCTGTGGCACTTCATACACAAGCTTTAACCACATTAGAAAATATTATAAGTCGGTTACGTGACCTAGACGATAATCATAGCCGAATGAATGCGCCAAATTCACCACAGCACAGTCGATATCCTCGCAGTTCGCCCGCATCACCGGCAATGAGCAAAAAGAGTAAACGGAATTCAAGCACATCGCCCATTCGTCATCTACTCAATTCGCCATTATTGAATCGAAAGAATCGCAAAAAACAACATGCCGAAAGTTCGGACGATGAATCACATAACAATTCAAATGAAGATAGCCCGGGTAAATATAACAGCTACCGTGACTTGGAAACATTTCAAAAAGCACAACTCCGTCAAAAGGTACGATTTTGGTTTTTGTTCTCTTCTATCTTACATTTAAAAGAGAGCGCGCACAACAAAAACCATAATATAATAGAGTTATTGTTCTCTGTCGCTCTCTCTCTCTCTCTCTCACACACACACTCTTACTTTCATATATATATATGAATAAATCGATTTAAATTCCTTCTTCATACTTTTTATTTTTGAAACTTAAATTTTCCAACAGTTAAAACGCGGAAAAATTGAACCGAATGGAACGCCAACCGTGACACAACCGGCCCCATTGCGTCGCGAATTTGTAATGCACAACAAGGCACCCATGTGGAATGAAAACAGTCAAGTGTACCAATTAGACTTTGGGGGTCGTGTTACACAAGAATCGGCAAAAAACTTTCAAATCGAATTTCGTGGCAAACAAGTATGCAAATCCATTTTTCACTTTATCTAATCGCATTCTCTCGATCAAAAATGAAAATTTATTTTACCAAATTCGTCCAAGTGCAGCCACTCTGCAAAAATGAAATGACTATGTATAATTTACTTGCTAACTATTTTTTCTTTAAATTCCTTTTTTTCCTATCTTTTCTTTAAAACTAGGTCATGCAATTTGGAAGAATCGATGGAAATGCTTATACGCTTGATTTTCAATATCCATTCTCAGCATTGCAAGCGTTCTCCGTTGCGTTGGCAAATGTAACTCAACGTTTGAAATAGATTCAACCATTTTACATTACGTATTTATATATATACACTGAACAAATTAAAGAACTAGCTGACTAATGCAAAAGACACACAGATAGAATGAAAAACAAGAGAAAAATCAATGGAAGAATATATATTTTTTATACAATCAACAGAACAGACTGTATGTGCGTGTATTTGTAGCACTTGTGAATCGTTATTTGTTTCATTTTTAAAGAACACAAAAGAAAACTATATACACTATAAAATGTGACTGCTCGGCGTGCATCAATTCAAACTCTGTGTTCACATTTGACACAGAAATCGAAAATGGATAAGAAACTTTCTTTTCCCCGTTAATTAATCACAATTTTTTTTTTGCATTTCAACTATAGATTCTATTACGATAACAAATTCTTTGAGGCGAGACGCATTCTCTCGACATCGATAACATAAATCATGTGTGTGTGTGTCATGTCATGACACATTGACATAAAAAGGGCCATGCAATTTGTATGCATAAAATGTTTTATTCGTTTTTTTTTGCTTATGAGCTATTCGATTTGGTGTTGCGAAATCAAGAGCAAGGAATTGCGAAATCAAAATACAAAAAAAGTATATATGTATTTGTAATGATTCTTGGAATTTAATTTTAAATTCAATGTTATGTAAGAGATTCGATATTCAATGTTTGCCGAACGCTCTTTGACAAAGAACAAACAAACCTTTATCTTGAGCTTATTTTCAGTGGAACGCCCACATTAAAAGTGGTTCTACGACCTTCCTTTGATTCATTTTCTTTCAAGAAGCACGATTTCTTCTTTATGTCGTGCCTTTTAAACGCTTTTACTGTTTTGTTTGTAAAGTAAATCGCAGAGAAGAAAAAAAAACGCAAATGAGAATAATTTGCAGCTGATTATTATGCATTTAAAATATGAAATTTATAAAATGTGTGTGCAATGACGTCAAAAGTGAAATCAAAGATTTCATAATGTATGCATGATGATATGCATTAGATTGAAATGAGCCGTCGAATATGGATGATCAACGAATAAGTTTCATATGCCGTTAATTAATCTGTATTCTTTCAATTCTCAATTTCTCATAAATTTTGGATTATGTTTTTTATTGGGTCGGAGACATTTTTCACGAAATTCTTCTAAAACCAATAATTTTTTGATGACGAAAGAAGCAAATAGAAGTCGTGCTTTATTTCATATAAGCATTTAACAAGTCAAGCGAAATCGCAAATGTGTTATTTCACGAAAAAGAAGTTAGTCTTTCGAAGTACGTATGTTTTTTTTTCTTCGCCTATTTATGCTTATATTTATGTTTGTTTCAAATTGACACAAAAAAATGAAAACATACCATTTTGTGAGAATAGGGACCGAGTTTATATAAAATTGCTTCGATTTTTCATGGGATTTTATTCCAAATAAAAAAATGTCCATTTTTAGTGTCTGTTAATGAACCTATTAAACTTTTTTAAAACAAATATTATAGTGTGATTATAAAAACTTAACCAAAAAAAAATTAAATTATTATAAAAAAAAATTGCTAAAAAATAATCTTCATGCCATGCAATGATTTTTGCATTAAAAATTCGAAATTTTAAAATTTCCGTAAAATATGTGCATTAAATGTTTGCTTTTTGTTTGCATTAAATTAAAACAAAACAAAAAACACACCGAATCGATTTAATTATTAATGTTAATGTTTTCATTTTATTTTGTAGTTGTTGTATTAAGTGTTGAGCATACTGCGTCTCAAAGCGATTTAAAATCATTCGATAAACTGAACAAAAAAAAATCGTAACAAAAGAGTATATTTGTATTGTGTAATACATATACAAAACCTAGCGAAATTTCATTAAAAAAATGCGTTTTGTTCATAGGCTAAGTACAAAAACATTGCTCATTAATTCAATTAATTTGATACCAAAAGACAAAAAGAGAAAATGATGAAAACGTCGCATTCTTATTTACTGACTAAGGCGAATATGGTTTTTAAATATTTATGTACGATTGGCCAATTGTTTAATAATAACTCTTTCAATTCGATGATTCAGTTCACAATAATGTGGAATAATTATATTAATTGAATCTCTTGACTAGGATTTTGCACATGTATGTTTTTTATTTTCGCACCAAATAGTTAGTCATTATCATTTGTGAAATAAAGAACAAAATGAATATTCAAAGTATATACAATACAAGATAATCAGAATAATTTTAACCATCCAGGAGGATTTAAAAAAAAATCATATGTGTTTGTTCAATTTAGCAGCAAAAAAATGACTAAAAAAATTTAAAGAAAAAATCTCTCATTTAAAATTGGATTGAAACAATAATTCACCTATGGAATTGATAAAATATTATTTTTTCTAACGTTTTTTTTTTAACCCGAAACTATGCAAACGTTCCTTAAAACCAATAGTAAATCAATCTGATGATAGTTTTACATTGTTTGCTTAGAGCAAAAACTTGTGGTACACAACTCACTAAATGACCACAATCATATGACAGAGAGCCTGAAGTAAATCTAGTTTTTTTTTAATTGAACGCCGGAGTTATGAACCACCAAATTAAAGTAACAGAAACTGATTTCAACACATGACACTATACGGGTATAGTTTTTAAAAATTAGACGGTCATTCACTGAATTAAAAAAAAAAAAACAAAACAAAAAAAATTCAATACACAAAAAAATAAGCAATTTTCTTCATGCTATTCAAATGAAATAAAGAAGGGAAAGCCATGCAATAGAACTGGATACATAAGTATCTCAAATATTTCACAAAATGTTTGATTTTGTAACAACAAAAAATGGGGACTCCGGAGGCGGACTTCAATTTTAGTATTTTAGATGGAAATATCTGAGAAATCTTTCGATCGAGTTCTATTGTATGATGAGAATCGCTTAAATGTATAAATAACCACAGTCCTTGTGAGAGACTCTGAAGAAAACTACCATTCAAACTATTCTTGATTCAAACGTCTTCGCTGGTCTTAAAAAACAAATGAATAAGTCAAGTAAACAAAATAAAAACGAATTTGAGTCTTTTGCTTCACTCACTTTTAATCCTATCAAGCTGCTGTATAAATTGAATTTAATGTTTGTCAAGCGCGCGCGTTGTTTATTATATTACATGTATGAAATTTCCAATCTTCTACAAGAAGGTACACCTATTAAGATCTTTTTCCAGCATCAACATTTGCACTATAATATACTAATATAATCGCATTAAACTTGAACATTTTGCTGTTGAAAAATTTCTTAGAAATAACCCATTATGTTTGATATAGTTTATTAACTTCTTTTGATTTTTTTGTTTTCCATTTTTATGGTACTATCATTATATAAAATGTAGCACACAATTGATACAACATTTTTTTTAAGTTCCATTGAGAGTCTGCGATTTGTCATTTTAAATTGATAAAAAAAATCTCTTTTTTTACCCCTAAAGTCTTCAAAAATCAAATTCAGCACAAAACAAAACAAGTGTCAAAATTGAATTAGATGGTAATAATTGTAACATTCGTTGAACAAAAAAAGAAACCAAATATAAATGATATAAATCAATATTTAATATAATTATTTTTAAATAAAAACTGAGAATCGGTCTGAATCAACAAAATTAACGCACGCCCATTGTTTTTTTTAGCATTCACGATTTTTGCACGATTCAGGCACGAAGACTAACGTTATTTTTAGCCAATAATTATTATTATTGAATAAATTTTTTTGTTCGTCTTTTCTTTTGCTTTCAATTAGTAAATTGAATAAATTTAAATTAAATTGTGAAGCCATTTTTAATTATATTAAAAAGAAACACTCAAATTAAAAAAAAAATACGTTGTTTTATTTTTCCATTGTCCATCTACTATATTTTTTTGGTGATTTTTGAACTTAATATAGATCTCGGACATAGCTTCTGACGTGAAGAGGAAAAAAAATAAAAGAAACGGAAAAACTCCGGGATTTGGATAGAATGGTGAAGCTGAAAAATGGAACCTTTACAATTTTGGAACGCGACCGTCAGAAGCTAGGGGCAGACACGTGGAATAGGATTAGACTTTTAGTGTAAAGATTCGAGAAATTGCAATGAAATAGCAACGCCTGTGAATAGCGAAACAGTGCATGGAAATTTCGCGTGGAATAGCGAAACAGTGCATGGAATAGCAAAAATGACTTCGATTTCACATTTGTGTTTTTCGATTATTGGAATAGCTGGATTAGTAATTTATATAGTGGATTCGGAATTTATTCTTGGTGTCTCCCCCCTAGGTCAGAAGCTATGATCTCGGATTAAAGTAAAATATAACCCTAACCATTGTATCCTTCGTTTTCGATGGACTTTTACATATATCTCCTCAAAATCTTAAGAAACAATATTTTTTGCAGGTTAAGAAATCAATTTTCCATAAAATGAATGTCAAGCTTTTCAAAGTATGAAAGTTTTCAATCGTTTAACTTTAAGCTTGTCAAACAAAAACTTACCAAACCATTCTTCATTCCCAAACCTCTGTTCCATTGGATGTATGGAAAGCATGAAAGATAAGTCTCTAGCATGAAAGGCAAGCGTTCAGGATCGCATACATTTATGCGATACATTGAATGATGCATGCATCATTTCATGCGCATCAAATAACGCTAACGCTGTCGTTGTACGTGCGGATCTAGTAGCACACGACGGTCTTGCTTTATTCAATGTATCGCATAAATGTATGCGATCCTGAACGCTTGATGAAAGGTGTCCTTTATTCTTTCCGCATTTTCTTTTTCAGCAAAAACCGTTTTGAAATCTTCAATAAAAACACAATGTTTATCCGTTTTAAAATTTTTATTCAAGTCATTTCGAAAGCGTGTCTACAAATTTGTGTCTGTTTTTGAACATTTTTTTTTGTTGTTGTTTATTTCGTTTGATTTAAATAATAATTCACTTTAAATATAATACACGACTCTTTTACGTTTGCACATAGATGAAATCCATCTACGTGCAAATCTATAGGTACCTTGTTTTTTATGTCATTGTTGTCTCTTGTTGGTGTGTGTTTGATAGCGTGATATTCCATTTTTTGTGTGGTTTCAATATAATTACAACCAAATTTTGCTAGAGTTCGTCGACTTTCATGCCGATGAGTTGGAGTTACTGGAGTTTAGTTTGCAGACGAAATTTTTTTTTAAATAATTTTATTCATGATTTTTTTTTGTTCAATATTTGTTGGGATTTTTTGTTTAATTTTTATTTTCACATTTAAATTCAGAACTTACATATTTATGTTTTTTTTTGGATAATAATTTTTCTATAATAAGTTTCAAGAATTTTTTTTTTGCGTTTCATTTTCATGGAACCATAAACACATCTCTTTAATATATTAATCATTGACCTTTTTTGTACATTAAGATTCGCTAATGGTCACGAATATGACTACGTCGTGAAAATGTATTTAGCTATTGCCTACATTCATACATGTGAAATTGATTTATAATTGTTTTGTTTGCTGAACTATTTTTTATATCTTGTTTTTAGGGGGGTGGGGGGACATTCAATTTGTTTTCCTGTATGCCTCTCTTTTTTCTTGCCTGTCTGTGTTTTTTTTGCTGCTGCTGCTGTGGTTGCGGTTTAATTCATCGAATTATTATGTATAATATGACTAAATCGCTTTCTTTGGTTTGTGTGCTTTTTATGTAGGTTTCTTTGTTTATTATTCATCTAAGTTATTTGAATACACGAAAGCGTATTAAAGTAGTTGTGTAAGTAAATCCAAATGAAATTTATTTTAAATGAATTGAATTGCCTATATGTAAATAATGTTTGTTAGCGTAAATTGTATAGTTTCATCACTGTCGAATAATATCTCATCGAATAAATGACTCATTTTTTTTCTCTGCTTTTCTAAACACACACTACTTATGCGACTGCATTACATCTGAATGAAAATATCAATAAATTTTTTGTTACTCTAGCTTTTCGCTTGGATCTTGGTGTGAAAAAAATCATCTTGGGCTTTTATCTTCATATCCACTTCCCACGTATATTTGTCAAATATAATTTATACACTAGAAAAATGATTAAGCTCATTTCATTATGTATGATTTGTTGTTGTTTAAATGCATCTCTTCTAAATGTCCATTGTTTCTTCTTTTTCTTCATTATTTTCATCATCTATTTGTAATTGGTTGCTTTATACTTGAAAAAATCAGTTTTGCAGCGTTTGATTATTCATTTTGACAAAAATTGAATAAACATAATTAGAAGAAATGTGAATTTGCACGTGTACAACATCAAATGGAGATGATTTGTGTGTGTGTTTTTTTTGTTCCTTTCTCGTAAAGAAGAGGTTTTTGTAATGAATTGTAAAAAAAAACAAGATTTGCTTTTAAAAAGGACGAGTAAAATGTGTGAAAGGACGATTTTGGAAGCAGCCCATTACAGGACAAACTCAATTTTCACGATTATAAATGAGATACAATCCACTGTGTGTATGTACAATTGCACATTTATTGTTCAGTTTCAATATTCCTGACTGAATTGAGTAACTGCCGATGGATTGTATGTCAATGCCAATGCCCAAACGCATTTGCAAACTCTAGTTGCTTCCATAATTTCATTTCTTAAACTATAGAATTGTAAATGTAAAGGTGCAACGACTGTATACACGGAAAGAGAAAATCTTTCAAAGTTTGTTGGTTTTTGTTTGTTATCTCTTGTTGAAATGGTTTCGTTTTTTGAGATAAAATTGAGATTGTTCGGTTTGAAATAAGATCAGTTTTTGTGTATGTGTGTGTGTGTCTGTGCCATTAACAGGGAACGTAGTAGATAGTTCGTTGTTTTTGTTTGTTCTTGAATAGATCTGATTGAAAACGGCAAGTATCTGAAAAAATGTCCGGTCGCCAATGGCAATGGTTGGGGGGCATGATCGACACTCTCCCCTATTAGACTACGCAACAAGAAGAAATATGTCATTGATAATTTAAATGCGTTTGCCTTTTAAATTATCATATAGATTAGGGTGTTTCTCATATCTGGATAATATGGAAAGGAGCTGATGATATCAATTTTAAGTACAAATGATTCGATGTTATTTGGTCACCAATTATTGGTTGCATTCACACAACAAAGCCTCCGTGAAGTTGTTTAGAATTGAAATGTTACCTGGCTGCATTCTTCGTAAGTATTCATAAGTATTCATGAATAATAATAATAATATGTAATTCATTGCAGTGTGTCCATAACATATAGAAATAGCACTAAATAGTGTCGATATTTATACTATATCGGTGCACAATATATGGAAGATATTTCCGCAAGACACCGTAACTCACAATCGAAGTGAGTGCGGACGGAAAAAATGTTGACGCATACACACAGTTCTTTCTACTGCCGCACGGCAACTTGTGATTTTTCCCGTCTACACTCACTTCGATCGTGGGATACGGTGCCGTGCGGCAATATCTTCCATATATAGTGGACCGATATAGTATAGATATCGACACTATTTAGTGCTATTTCTATATATAATGGACACACTGATTCATTGTTTAAAAAAATCGCGAAGCCATCGTTCTCTCTCTCTCTCTCTCTCTCTCTCTCTCGGAAAGTCTTAGTATTCATCGCTGTTTGAATGCAACCACTTCGTATTTAAATTGAATTTTTTATAACTTTAATTTGATACTAAGCACATTTTTTTTTTATCGTCACAGGTATGTGCAACACCCTATTGTAGATACGACTGAGTTATTCCTATGTGGTTGCTTAACAATTTTGCAACTTAAAAATTAAAGATTCATAATTGTTATATATCTAAATTGTTTGTTGGTGTTTACTTTGAATAATATATAATAATAATTCTCATAATACACATATATATATTATTCTTATCACAGATCTTACGTCGTGTTCTGTGATTGATTCTCATTTTCACTGTTTTTTTTTTTTTGTCTTACATAGTATGATGATGTTAATAAAAATGTGCTTATTGCATTCATATAGCATTAAATCATCAATGCAGCAGTTTCTATGTCTTCTTCCCTTCCTCGCTCTCTCTCTCTCTCTCTCTCCCTCCATCTCTCTACCTCTCTGTGTATCGCTGTTGATTTGACTGGTTTTATCAATAAGTTCATTGTATGTGTGTTTGTTTTCATTTTCCTTAATTTTTTTTTTAAGTAGAAGTTAAAAGTTGAGAGTGTTTAAAACCGATCGAAGCATTAGATGTAGTCGTTTGTTTTTATCCATTAAAAAGATATAAATTAAGTTCTACGCGAAATTAGTCATTTACATGTATAACACCGACGTCACTTTATATATGTTGTTGTTGTTTTTGTAGTTTAAACTAACAGTTAGGCGAATGCGAGCGTACAAGTAGTAAATAGACATTAAACATTGTGTGAGTGTGTGTGTTTAAAAATACTTTAGATAGTAATACATTGATATAAATTAGCGAATAAATTTTGTTGTTGTTGCTTTGTTGCAATATTGATTTCAATTATGTGCATCAAATGTGACGGCTGATTGTTGAATGTTCTGATTTCACACGAAGAATTCGGTTCCTGTCTTGTCACCGATGACGTTCATAACAAAATCAATTTGAACAATCTTTACTGCATAAGTTTAGTTGAAAATAGATAATGCAATGACTTGTTAGTTTAATTTTTTGTAATTTTCTCACTATCATTTATAATCATTTGAATTTTTTTTTTTGTTTTGTTTTGTTAGTGATAAAACGAAGAATTTTCTCGAGAAAAAAATTTATCATATTAGAGATTCCATTTGAACACCAAAATTGATACTATTTATTGCATTCGGTTGATAAATGTTTGAACATTCGATTGATTATCATGGAAAAATAGAATTATAGTGTTTGAAATTGATACACATTGTTTTTTTTAAATGTTCACTTATAATCGAAATCATCATCATCACATTCAAATCTAAAAACTACCTTACTCTTAGAAAAGTTATAATTTTTTTTATTTATTTTAATTTTTTTCTTATTCTCTTCGTTTATTTGTTCTACATTAAATATGTTTTCCGTATTTCTCAATCAATCAAGAAATACTGAAATGAGTGAAGATTTGAATTATATCGATTTTAGACTGAACCAAAATGAAATCGAAATATTTATAATAACCATATTGCGAATGGTTCATCATAGCGAAACATTATGTTGTGATGTTGGATTTATGATTTGTGTGTGTAGGTTAGGGTGTTTCTCATATCAGGAAACCGAAAAGTGCCGTGTATCGTTTTCAAACGTATGGAAAATGCTGTTTCAATTGATGGCAGTTCGACAAAGCGATATTCAGACCACATTCATTTTTTTTTTCACTTCAAGAAGTCACTTGCTTCATTTTGTCGAATGTCATCAATTGAGAGGGAATTTTTTTCACTTTTCTATTTTTCACATATGAGAAACACCATTGTAGGCCCTGTGGAAACTTCACATAATTATACAATTTAATTATTGACACGCATTTTTTTATCCTATGTTCATAAAATTATGTCTTTTTATTGTATATTTTGCGTTCATTGTGTAATTCACCCTGCTTATTTACATGCAGAAGCAGACTTAATTATTTGTTTTGTATCAGTGATGTGTTTCGAATAGTATTTACGTTGATTTTTCTTCAAATGGAATGCAAATAAACATCATAAGTCGTGACTAATTAGCGTTTCCAAGCGGAATGAAGAATGAAAGAAAGTAAATACCATCGTTCCTGCATATATTTTTTTTTGCAAGAAAATCAAAAGAAAGCATTCATGTGCAAAAATAAAAATAAATAGGAGATACTTGAGCATAATAAGGAATAAAAAAACACAAGCAGATTCATTTACATGCACACGCATTTTTATAACACACCTATTTGGCGCCAGAGAATTTCATTGACCTATGAAAGTAATCGTGAATTTTCATATATACTCTCTCTTTCTCTCTGGTGTAATTGACCATGAAAATATAATCCACGACTACATTCAAAATTATTGGTGGTAAATTCTTCTCAATCATATATAATTTATTATTATTTCACCATCTAAGCATAGTGTGCTATATTTCAAGTAAACTGGTTTTTATGCCTAAAACGCCACATTTCTGGCCAATGTTATTGAAGTAATTTGTTCTAATAATTCTGATTTACACTTTTGAAATTCAATTCTCACATCGAACCATTTTTTTGAAATTCTCATCTTCACGTAAAATTGAATGTGTTTTTGATGTATGGTAACTATTGTGTTGATGTAAATGGTGAAGAGCTACATCATCATGTCGGCGTATTAATAGGTACAAAAAAAAGAACAACAAATCGCAGAGAAAATAAAATCGATAGTTTTTTTCTTCTATTGAATTCGTATATATTGAATATGATGTTTGGTAAAAAAAGCCTTCTCATACATCAATGAAAAATTGAAGAATAAATACGGTTGCGTGTTCGAGGTATAATATAACCAATGTACGCTTTGTTTTCGCTTTCTTCTAATTTATTGCAATTTTACGTAAAAGATCTTGAACATAGAACATGTGTGTTTCCTATTCCCATTTGCATAGGAACAGAAAATTGAGGCGCCCATGAACAAAAAATATACATAAAATATGCCAATCAAGCGTAACAATAATCAACATACACTCAATTAAAATGCCTTGAAATTGACGCATTGAATTCATTGTGGTTACGTCATTTAAGTTTTTAACTAGCAGAACCCTGCCACCATTATAGTCATGTCCGTGATTGTCAATCGTCTCTCCCTTATTTTCAACGCTCAGCAATACTTTAAAGTTCCTTTTTATGTACTCTCATTTCTGAATTTCTATTCAGAATGCCATTTCTAATTGTTTTAATTTATTCGCATTACGACAATGATTGGTTGCTTCTTCTCTTATGTCACGTATCGTTTTTCAAATTTTATTTTATTTTTTTCAATTTATAGAATTGAGCGCCGTTTTTTTCTCCGAATTCGATATAAATATGGCGTAATTGGTGATTTCGCGAAAAGTTTCACAACATACAAGGGGATATTCGTGAGAAAACCAGTATGTAATCGGAAAAATTTCAAATAATAAAAACTAAAAATTAAATCACTGAAGCTTTTTTTGAAGCTTTGAAGTGCGTGCACTTATCGTTTTGTAATTATTAAAGATTCATTTAACTAGGTAAGTGTACATCTATGGACTGTTGTTGAATTTTAAAATGAAAATGAACACAAGTGAAAATAAAAAAAAATAGTGTGCAATATGTAGAAGCCCCTTATAATTTGTGATGCGTGACTCACTGGTCGCACTTAACTTAACAGTTGTTGCTTTTTGTCATGTCGACTCTACCTATATTTTTAATGTGTGTGTGTGTTTTTTTAATTACTAATTTCATTTGGTTTTAAATTGGTATTTTGTCCATTTGTAATTTAAAGTAGCACAATAAATGATTTCCTTTTTTTAAGTCTTTTGGCTTTTGCTTGTCACGATAATGAATAAAAAAGAACTATTACAAATATTTGTTTATTTTTTGTTGTTGTTGTTGTTATGCTAAATGCATTATTGTGTAAAACTTATACAATTGGTTTTACTTTAAAATCAGTACAATGCATAATTAATTTTGTTATAAATTCTAGCTCCACGCGAGACAAACAATTCGAGATTGTAAATTTCGAAAAATTATTCGAAAATGCAATTGGAATTCGGAATATTTTTCATACAAAAATACATGTATATGATCTTCTCGACGTCTGAATATATTTTTCAACAATTTCAAACTCTTTTCCATATCTTTCCATATAAGAAATATTGGGAATTCCAGTTAAATTAAAATCGCCCCGGATCAAAAAAAAATCAAAGCTTCCGAACTAGATGTGGCCCTGTGTTAAGCGACTGAATATTCAACAATGTTCTCCAGTGTCATGATTCATTGATACAACTCACAATTCGGAATTATCAATTTGAACTTGGGATAAGTTCAATCTTTCCAACTTATTCAAGATCGTATTCGAGTGTCAGAAAATTATTCTGAATTGTAATCAAAGAATGCCTTGCACGAATCATTCTCACGCCAATAACCACCAAATATGCAAAATAATAAGTAATACCAACGATTTACGATAAATTCGAATGTCTGTCATATGTTCCATTTCAATGATATAACACCCGCCAGTAAGATCAATACTTCACCAAATGCAATAATTATAATTAATATATAGTAGTGTGTGCATAAGTTTTCGTTCAATTTTGCGTATTAATTTTGTGATTTTGCGCTTCACAAAATTATAAATGCTGTTGGTTTGTTTTATTTAAATATAACGTCGTGGTTTTTGTCAGCTGTTTTCGTTGGATCTCTTAAATTGTTCTTAATGTGTTTTAATGTATGTTTGTTTTTTTGTTGTTGTTAGGATTAGATTTTTTTTTATTGACTACTATCTCACTCTTGATGGAGGTTTTCTTTTACATAATTTAATTTAATTTTTTATTTAAGATTACACATTTTCAAGTGAAATTCATTGTTTGTAATTCTCATAGTGTTTTGTTTTTATTCAATAAGATTTGTTCTTCTTCTCTTCATTTTGTTGGGTCGATGTTTCGTTTTTTATTATAAGTTTTCATCGGGATACATTATTTGTATTATTAATATTATAATGTTGCTATTGACGAAAAAAATACACGCAAGTAATTTTCGAATTTCGCAAGCTCTGTTCATATCTCTTTTCATCATCTCCCTGTCTCTCGGTCCAACCATTTCGAAAAATTATTCAGTCCCAATAAAACGAGCTCATTCAATAGTATTTGAAATTCAAATTGATTTCAATTCGTTTACGCTCATTTTACTGCAGTTAGTCTCTTTTTTATCCGTAAATGGCTGTGTGTGTCTCTTTGGTACTATGTTTGAGGCATACTATAGTCTATCTTCTTGAAGCCACTGTTTGCATTCCAATTCGACGAAAGATACTAAAAACTGGAGAGAAATGAAGAAGAAGAAGAAGAAGAAGACGATGTCGATAAAAGCCAACTGAACTGAATATTTGCCCAGATTCACATACTCTTAGAATGGTTTTTAAAATTCGGGCAATATAAGTGAAAGAAAAAAGTTTGTGCCGAGTGAAAAAAAAGAGACACCAGATAGAAAGAATGAAGTGAATTTGTTTGCATTAAGCATTCAGCATAGCAAACTATCTAGAGATTTCGATGAAGCGAAAAAAGAAACGGAACGAGGAAAAGTATGTGACAAAGTTTGTATATACCGACGATTTTTCTGCCTTAATAAGTTTTCTGAAATTGTACTTTTGAAATCGGTATCAATGTGTTGCTTGAAATCTGCCCAGCTTTTCTGTAATTGGCCGTTTTCGTGTTGTTATTTGGTTTTAAGTTTAAAAGTAAGAAAATAATCGTCGGATCCACTAGAACTTTAAATTTTGAGCATAAATTGATGTAAATAATGGAGTTCAATAGAGATCTTTTAAACTTTTAAATCTTTTTTCTTTTTTCGAGACGAAACAGTCCGTTGGTTGTTAAATGTGTATACGAACCACGCTGTTCAACGTTAATCTGTATCATTTTTCGGCATAGCTATTTTTTGTGTCTGAGTTTACGTTTCGATTACTCTCATTGTTCATTTTAGATTTAATTACATCCTAATTAGTTTGCATCGGTGTCAGTCTTTTATTAACATAATCAGAAAGCGACAAAATAAACAAACACAAACATAAAATGTAAACGAAAAGTGTGTGTTTTGTTTTGAGTTTTGGTTAACTGAATTGAAATTAATCGCACATTCTTATCATGTACATTTAACCGATTCCGTTATAGATACATTTTGCGATGGCTACATTTTTATTGATCTTATTTACGTTTTGCAAACAATTTGTTCGTTGTTGGGTGTGTGAAGCTTTATGTTTTGTTTGCAAATTGTTGTTTGAGTCTTGTGTTTGTATGTGATTTTATTTTCATGTATATTTTAAATACGATGCCGAAGTGCGTGATGTGACATAAACAAAAAATAAATCGAACAGCAAATAGTAGAATTGAAGTTTGAAACGTTTATTAGAACTTTTATCGTACTACATACACGTCACAATTAGACAACTATTCCTGTATTTTGCTGTTTCGCTATAGAAATCAATAGCATTTCATTGATATAATATAGTAATTTTTTTGTTTGTTTGTTCTGTTTCTGCAACAACATTTAATTATATGTATAATCGATTTTTTTTTTTAATTTTAAATATCATTTAGAATATGTATTTAACTTAGCTTCATTTAATCGCAAAGCCTAAAAATATATTCTAATTCGAAAGATTCAGTCAAAAATGCTTGATTGATTACATACACAAAAACCAAAAAGTGAAAACACAAAAATAAAACACTAAATTAATACTAGCCTTAATCATTTTGCTATATGACATGTTATTTTGTTGGTTTGTTTTTGTATATCCGAGCCGGCGTCTCTCGTGCTCTTTGTGACTGAAGAGAAAACAATTTTCTGTGAAAAGTGTTTGACCAGCTGGCCTATTTGTGTACGACAGTTCATTTTCTCTTTATTCTTTTCGTTTCAAAGCAATGCATTTGTTTATGCATATGGTCGAAATTTCATTTAACCGCTCATTTGCTTTTGATACCGTGTTCGAGCCTTTTGTTCGTTCTCTTTCATTTTCTTCGTTTTTCTTTTTGGTTTTATTGATGTGTTATTCTCAACATATATATAATATGTTGCATAATTGGTTTCGATTTTAGTTTACGTCTTTTGTTTGTGTATTTTGTTGTTGTTGTTGTTTTTTTTTGTTTTTTTTTTTCGCTTCGGTAAATTGTTCGAAATGATTTTTTATTCAGGCAAACGCATACGTACATTGTGTGTTTAGCAACAATTAGTCATCCGGATCGAGTCCAATTAGCTCAGCCTGCAGTCGTCCCTTCGTCTTACAACAAATTGTTAGGCAAAATACACGTAAATGTAGACGAAATTGCGGCGACATGCTCATCATAATTAGAATTTTCCAGAACGAATTCATTACGCCGAGCCAAACAATGGCAAAGTGCAACATTGGAATATCGATCAGTGTGTCAAATATGAGCTCGTACAGACGAACGATGATGAACGGTGCCCAGGATACCCAAAATGAGAATACCAACGCAAATGACATTAAATGACTTGGATTTGCTAAATTTTCGGCCAATGCAGTTGCATATTCTTTGTCATGTATCGGAGCGCCAGATTTTAAACGTCGCATCATAATGAATATGTAACCATAATTATGAACGATTGATATAACACTGGGTCCCAGCACAAGGATGGCCAATGTTGCACTGTACGCCGCCATATTTCCCCAGTCAAGTTTACAAATGTAGGCTTCTTCATCGAAAATGGGTTTACTATAGCCGAGCAATGGTGGACAGCATAACATCATCGATGAAATCCATGTGAATACCATCCAACATTGACATCTTTTTTTTGTTGTTGTTGGTTCGTTTGTTTGGTTTAACACAAAAAAAAATAGCGAAAATGGAAGAAAAGGTAAATTTGATACGATTTCATCACTGTTATCTAATTGTGTGTTCGTATATACACCCTTTTTTGTGCTAATAAGAACTCAACAAATGACAATCATAACTTACCGTGTTTTCGTTTGAACTGTTTCATAACGTAACGGCTTCCGTACAGCGAGATAACGATCAACTGATATCCACATAAATGTGTATACCGTTATTGACCATAAGGTCACTTCGAGATATCCAACAAATCTGCATACTAAATCGCCATAGAGCCAGTTACCAGTTAGAGCCGGATAAACTGATAACGGCACTATCACCAATCCACATAGTAAATCGACGCAAGCGAGCGACAGCAGATAACAGTTGATCACTTCTGTTGGACCTAGATTTTTGATAATATTTTATAGATATATGAAAAGCATGGACAACAAATTGTGAATGTAAAACGTGAGCTTAGGAAAGGTAAGCTTAGCATAAAAAAAGCGCATGCGAAAAATCGTATTATTTTACGTTGAACCATGTCGCCAATCAAATTGCTACCAATACAAATGTTGAAAGAATGTTATGGAATGTTTGCTGAAAATGAATCTTATTTATTGATCAAATAATCAAATGAGCTCAATTGGAAATCCCGTCGCCGAAATGAAAACTTAATGAAAATGAAATGAAAGCACGTTGAAGTGAAGCGATTTTCGTCAAACGGTATTTGGCATTGATATTGAAGCAAAACAACTTTTATTGACCAAACATTTTCTTAATGCCATATTTGACGTGGTTTCCTCCCCCCGTATATCCATTATTCTACCTTCATCGTACAAGAGAACCGAAAGTTATGTATAGCTCCGTCGATTTCTATCATAACGTTAAACGTTTATATTTTCCAGCTTTTGCAAGAATCCATGCACACACACACACGGTAACGGTAGTGAAACGATATGACGCGCCAAAATATTGTCAAAACATATATCACACTCATGGGAATTGTATGTTCTGTTGTTTTTTTCTGTTGGGTATGTCCCATATAAATATACAGACTTTTCACACATGTCAACTATTTTATATTTAACGAGCTTCCTAATATCCTAATTGTCGATTGATTAATTTTTATTGGAACATAAACATCAAAGCATTTATTGTTGTGGGAATCATGAAAAGTATCCGGAGAAAATTAAATCGAAAACCTCATTGACAACGAGAAATGAATTGCGGATAGTTGAAGACACATGAGATGATTTGTGGCGAAGGGCTATATTCTCAACTGACGTATCAATCGTGCATGCATATGTTTACACCCGAACTGATGTGCGATATGATGAACTAAAATACATGAATTCGAAAACGAAATACTAATGAAGATTCAAACGAAATTTTGTCGCGTCCTGTTTTATTATTGATTTTGATTGATTTTGATTTATTTGAGTATCAAACAAGTCGAACAAAAATGACGCATGCACAACCTCATGTCTAATATATCAACAGCGCACGGCAACAGCGCTCTATAAATTTTATACAAAAAAAGCAACAACAACATGAACATGAAAATTGGAACTGAAAATCTTGTTGAAACGAGCGCCGCGCAACTTTTGAGTGGATTTGAAGAGCTCCACTGCCTAATGTATCAACATATTTCTGAACGAAATAGCATTCTGATTTATTGGGAAAATCATTACTGCATTTTTTTTCTTAAAATATATATACACAGTGCATTCGATACGATTACTTTTTGTGCTCGACCGTTCAGTTTTTTTTCCCTAAATTCGTACCAACAAGTTCTAGGACGTACGTAGTGTGTTTTTTGTTGTTGTTGGTAATTTTGTCTTTTTCTGCACAAAAATCAAAAGTATTCGTATCAGAAATCATAAAAGCGGAAAAGTACATCAACTGCACGCCTTAAAATAGTCCTTGGCTATGTATGTCAACGTAAACATGTGTGTTGACAATCATTGCATCATACAATACACCGTTTTTGTTTCGATCAATTTTCTACCTCTCTATCTCTTTCTCTCACTCTATCATTCACACAAACACAGAAACAAACACACAAACATACACAGAGACATGTATAGTTTTTTTTGCCTTTTCATTTCCAGTAGATTTATCGAAATCATTAAAAATGCATAATTAAATGGATCAACAATGGAAAAACCGATGAAACATACAAACCAAAAGGAATTATACATATCTATATATATATTTTTTATTTACAGCGCTACTTGCGCTGCCAAAGATCCACCATGTCGGTTTATGATTTTTCCAATATTTGAATATATACAGCACATTGGGCCAAAACAAAAGTGAGTGGATTATGAAAATGTTGCGGATGCGTGTCGAACATATGATTCGTGCAAGTGAAATATCAAACATACACATAAATATTATTCCGGTATTGAGTCGAAATAAGATTCGAGATTCTTTATGGTTGTTATTTGAATTCGCATAGAAACAAATGCTCACATTGAAATTAGAAAGAACACAATAACTATAAAGGCCGCTTTAATTTTGCATAAAAAATTCACAATGACACACACACACAACCGGCATATTCTCTCAAAGCTCGACACCAATTCGGTCGACACATACACAATCAAAGCAACTTGTCTATTCCTTATGACAATGTTGTTTTTTTTCCACTTCACCTTGTTTTTGTTGCTACTGATGTATTTTTTAAAAATACTTCTCCATTTGGCCTATTCCATTGAGAATATTGGCGATTTGAATAAATCTATATGTTTAAATGGTGAACGTGAATCAAAACAAATTGCGCTGCATGCATGTTTCATTCAATTGATATCAAATGCTTTGAATTGATTTTCACATGAAAGTGTCTTATGTAATCAGCGAATAATTTTCTATGTAATTTCCTCTATACAACATCATAATCATAAAAATTTTCCCGATCAATGATTTCAACAATTCGGTTCGATGAAAACAAGCGTTGATTGTAAAGAGTGCGCGCTCACGCGACCCACCAAAAACAAAATAAGAGCGAAAAATTTCGCACATGCACAAAAATAATAAAATTGCTTGAATGTAAAATGATTGCATTATTCAAATTGAATAGAGAGAATATACTACTCACCTCGGAAATTAATTATCGTCGCTATAATAAGTGCATTAGATGTGATGATTGCGACTCCCAAAAATAAAATTAGTGCTGCCTGCGTAAAAGCCTCCAGGTTTGATGTGTATTCTTGCTGGATACTCAGCCTTTGCAGGTGCATTTTTGCACCTAAAAAATCCGGTCGAATGAATTATTATTATTATTTATTGCTTTTTACGTCTACTTAAATAAGCCGACGGTTGAGATTATTACAATTTTTATACAAATAAATTTTTGGAAAGTAGTTTTAAAACTCTAGCTAGTTTAAATGAAAGTGAGTATAAGATAAATAAAGAAAAACAACAACGAAAATAAATCACAGAGAAAATTGACCATTTAATTTTTATATGCGCATTATCACTATTAAAAATACATTTAATGCACCGAAACAGAAAAAAAAGTGTGCGTGCCACTGTGTGTATGCAATGATAACCCAACCAACTCTGAGACAAATAATCTCATTTCACCGAACTTTATCAGCAACATCATAGACAGAATTTATTATGATTATCATGTTGTCGACACAGTGCAGTAAAATTTATATATTTAGCCCAAGCTGCGATATGGAACACAGCCGCACAGCTTTTTTTTGTGCTTCGTCAACATTTAATCTCTTTTTGGCTTACCTCACACTTGGTCATGACGTAGTTAATTGTTGCGATTCATAAATATTGCATATTACATCACATTCAACAGCACATTTTTCTAAACTGTACATTTATTGCTAGCCCTGGACAGATTTATTTTTTTTTTTAACTGCTGCGTTCTGTATTTTTTTTATTTATTTTGATGTTTGCTTATTTGGATTAGAAGTTTCGATAGTGCCTGTTTGAAAAAAAAATATAGAAAATATGGTAAAAATTTAGTTTGTCTGTAATTCGATTTAGTTTGAATACTTTGAATCGTTCACGCGATCAAAAAAAAAAAAGAATTCTATACGTAATGCAATTATTTATATGTGCGTTAAAAAAAATCAATGAAATATTGCAACGTTCCGAATAACAAAATGAAATTCATAAATGTGAAAGTTTGTTTCGCTTTCCTCACACCATCAAATCTCTGCACACAAAATGCATTTTCAATTCCAATAAAAACATGTTACATAAAATTTTATCTATTTTCATTCCATATTAGCACTTTGTTTTCTATTAGGACTGTTCCCGTTTTTTGGGTTTTCACGTTTTCTTCTGCTTGCCTACGTGTTTGCACTTTTATCAATTGGGCTAACGAGTTTTGAGTGAAAGAAATAAAGGAGCATAAAAGACTATTTTTTTTATTGTTCACCTTTTGTTTTCAAGTTGTTTGGTTATTCAGTTTGTTCGAAAGTTAGGCAAGTAGAAAAAAAATTAGTTTGATATTGAGTTTGCATTATTTGTTCATAGAATATCGATTGCGCCATAATTTGTCACTCTATCGGCTTGATTATAGCTTAAATTACATATTTATCTAATTATATGTCGGTTAAGTCTTACACTTTCACCAGCAATTCAGCGTGCTAATTTTTGAATTCCGAGTTAAAAATCACTTCGGCTCTTGCATTCTCTCTCTCTCTCTATCATTCTTTCATCAAAAATGGTTCATCCATATTCGTAAAGATCAACTATTTTTGGGGCGATTTTGCGCTTGTGTACTTAAACGATGCAAAAGTTTTTTTTTTTCGTTTGTTTGTTCGTTCATTCGCTTTTGTGTTTTGTTCTTTACTTTTTTGTATGATTTTTGCTATTGTTTTGTCGCATGAACACAATTCAGTTTAATGTTTCACCATCCACATCACATTTAATATTTGTTCTTTCCGCCGTTCGTTGGGGTTTTCTATCTCTTTTGCTCTCATTTGAACATTTCTTTTGTTCTATTTCACTGAATCGAAATGGTTTATTTGTTCATCGCCAGCATGTAGTGAAGGAGCATTTAACGTCGTTCTTTTTTTGTTGTGGAATTCTGGTAGTGGCAATTTTATAGCCTGTCACATCGATTTTGCCTGTTAAACAGAACAGAAAATTCACATTAGCAATTGCTCAGTTTTGTGTTGTCAAAACCAATGAGCTTAACTTAGCTAACACACACACGAGAGAAAAAAAATCCAACGTCTAAACGATAAACGAACGAGAGAAAAACAATGGACCAAAATATAAAGAGCACCACCCATATGGCTTGAAAATAATCGCAAATTTATTATTGAAATATTGATGGTGTGATAATAGTTGCATCGAACATTAAAACTATTAAAATAAATTAGATGCGATCGACGGGAGAAAAGCCAAAGCTTTCATTGAAACCGAATTTTGGTTTATGTTTAAATTGTATGCCAGACCTTGTGCTGCACTGTCATTTTGTTCGACGAGAGGAATACGTTCAAACCACCATGTACGTATTATGAATATTATATTGTTATTTAAAAAAAAATTTAAAGAAGGGATGAGTACACTGCGTCAAATCAATATTTTTCAGCTCTTGTGCCAAATTCGGCTTTGCTTCTATTAATTATTTTGCAATAACGACGATTTAATCATTATTTCCGATGTGTATTTTCCTCAATTTTGCTCGAACATGCCACAATCATTTACTTATAATGGGTTTTTTTCTATGGTGGACAACAGAAAACTATTTGACTAAAAAAAATACATACACATTTTAAGAAAATCATGAAACGATTATTCCGAAGTGTAGTGAATGCCACATTTTGCTCCATTTTCTGCTTAAAATGAACTTTTATTTTCAAATTGCAATTCTTTTGCATGCCGATGGAATCGGGAGCAAGGTAACATTGAAATCGCTTTTATGCATTTTTATTCTTTCACCCGCAAAAGTGGCCAATTGATTGTTTGCCAATACGAATTACCTGATATGGATTCGATCAAATGTCTTTATTTCCCATCGCATAGTTCTCATATAAATATATTTTATGGAAATTGAAGAAAATGTCTTCCGAATATAAGTGTCGTTTGCAATTCAGAACTGAGAATGATTTTTCATACACATTTTCTCGCTCTCTCTCGTGCATTCCTGCAATTCATTGCATTTTATCATAGCTGGTTGCATTTTTTTTATTATGTGGCGCTTCTGTATATAATGAAAATCGCCACCAGGCAGACAAAGTGCAAGAATAAAACAGAACGACTCTTCTAGATATATGTAGATAATGTGAAAAGGAAAATGAAAAAACCAATTCCCATTCTTCTTTTTTTTATTTTTTTTATTTAAACTTGATTTATGCAAATTGTTGTTATTATTGTGCTTAATAGGCAAAATATGATGTTGTTGTTTTTTCGCTGCTCGCTTTTGCTTGGTGAATTGTTGATTCACGCCAGTCAAATAAGCTCGTGCAGGAAATGGATTTGGCAAATAAAGAGCAAATCGCATGGAAAAAACAACACTGGATAAAACAGAGGAAGAAATACGTTTTTTTTGTTGCACAATTGTTTTCCGAAAGAATCTCTGAGTTTGCACGCCTTTGTGCATTATAAACACATAATAAATTGTTGTGGCGCTCATGTGTGTATGTATGTGTGATAGCACTCATTTGCATTCAAATTTATAGACGTGTGCAGGTGTATATGTTTCTTCTCTTCGTATGTATGCATAATTCTGGATCTAAAAAGCACACCACGTAATAATAAGAACGGAGCGAGTAATGAAAAAGAAACGGAAAGTGCATTGAATATGGCAGAAGAACGGCACAAATTATTATACATCTATATATATTCGCGAAAATTGTATGAAATTTTATTCTCTTTTATGCACTGTCGCTATATGAAAGCAAGCGCAGCGCCTTCAGTGGTGATTGCTTCATTTCATTCATTTGCCAGCAATACAAGAAGCATCCGTGAGCGCACATTTTGTTGTTCACCTACCTCTTTGTTGTCGTTTCTTTGCCGAAAGAAAGAATCACGTATATATGTATTGTTCGCCGTTATTGCTCAATGCTAAACAATGGCTATATTGTGGCTCTAGGATTGTTAATTAAAAATTAATTTTTCTTTCTCTTTATTTTCCTATCTGGTAGTTTTTTTTTTCTTTGTCGGACGTCTATTCATTCATTTGGTGATAGTTTGTCGCTCAAACTTACGTCACCTGTTAAATTCCCACCACACAACTATGCGCTTGGATAATATTTTTCGCTTAATTAAATGAAGGAAGTATGATTTCCTCGCCTATTGACGAAGCTATCAAAACAACATTTATGTAAATGGAAACCATTCGTGTTCACTCCCTGATTTATGATCCAAAAACTATGAATATTGGCGATGTTGTGTGTCAAAAATGTGATGGAGTCGAAATGCGTATGTATGTTGTGTATTACGACAATACATCGACAATTCCCCTGAGCATTTTGCGAAACTTTCGGGGTGAGCCGTTTAATGATGTGTTTACGTAATCGGTTTGAGTTTCGTTCGTGTTGATGTTTGAATTGTGTTAGTATACGTCGATAAATGATTCTTTTTCAATACAACAAAATAAAATAAGCCTCTAAAAAAATCATTGTTTCTTTTTGTTCCAAAATGCACCGAGAAGTGTTCAATTTTACCTGTTGACCATTTCGACAAACCTTTGCGCTTTCTGTTATTCCCGAATTACATGATACAAAGCGAAAAATACACCGTATTTGAGCATTTCATGTACATCACACTTTTTATACTTTCTATACTATATAATCTGTTCTGTGGTGTTTTTTTTTTTAAATAAGAGCATATTTCAAATGAAACGAGCCATTCAAGTGCAAATGGAACACAATTTGTAAATAAATTTCCATTATTTCCACTGTCAAGCAAAGTTGGATCCCGTTACTATTATTATTATTTTTTGTGTGTGTTTGAAACACTTGCGCATCTATTGTACACACAGATTTTTGTTTACGTAAAAAACCTTCTTTGATGTTAAAATCTGCTTCATTTTATAAGTACTACGATACTCAGAGCATCTTGAATTCAAGAACACTCATTGGGTTTCATTTTGTGGTCAGTTTTCAGTATCAATGTATGTTAACATTGTTGAGCAAAAACCCTAGGCAAAAACCCCAAGTTTTTCCACATTGCAGTCAAAAGCATGCTCGATGTTGACAATTCCATATTACACGATACACAGAAAATTCGTCTGAAAATTCGTAAAACTCAGAAACAGAAGTTGACATTCATCCAAAAACTATGACAGTTGAAAAGGTTGGAGAATTTTAAAGTTAAACAACTCTTAAAGCTCAAGAAAATCATTTAGATGGTTATGACTGTGATGCCTGTGTTTATTCGCTCTGAAAATGAATTGGCACACTCAACTTTCAAGTGTGAATGGAAAGCAACATTGGGAGGTAACATTGTTTGTGTATGCTAACAATTCAGAATAGATGTGAGATATCAACAATATTTGCGCCATCTATAACAAGTGCAAATTGATGTGTTCCGAATTATTAGTGTGCCGTAAAGGGTCTATTTAGATTCGACTGTGATATTCACATTGTGAATGACGCTCGAACTGAATGGCCATTGCTTTTACTTGACCAATCTCATGACAATTCTATCTTCAATATGATCAGTTTCAAAAGTAAGTTTTTTTTTCTTAAAAAAAAAAATTAACCGTGAAACTAGAACGTATTTGATTTTGAATGAATATTAGTGTATATTATATTGATATGTTACCATCATTTCAATTCAATTTAAAAAAGAAGATGAGTCAAACATAGATTGCAATATCTGCAATGGACTAGCAATTTTTGACTTCTTTTGTGTGTTGGTCAATTTAAACCATTGAAAATGAAACCATTTTGACTCTGGCAAACAATGTCGTTAATCAGTTTGGTTAAATTACAAACCATAGAGAAAACCATGTTTGCCATACAGATTCTTTGGGGTCGCTCAACAATGCATCGAAATGATGATAACAATAGCAAGCGGAAGCCTTTACAATAAAATCTCAAAAAAACTGAGAACGAGAAAGAGAGAATATGATTGTACAAATGAGACACTTTTTTCGAATGTTGAGCACGAGTGGAATGCGTCGAATATATGCCATATGAAAATCCATAATATCGAAACAAAGAGGGAAAAGCCTCACAATTCAACCGTCCACAAAACTACTTTTGCACACACTATTAGGTCTGAAATGATGACGAACTACGAAAATGCCACTCCCTGAATTGTTGTTTCGCATAGAATATGTGTGTCTTCATTTTCATTGAGAGGATTTTATAGATAGTTTTCCATCCACAACAGGGAACGACAGATAAATAAAGAGTCTTAAAGTCGATGCGATTCATCATGAGACGAATGAGAAACAGACAAACTGCCTTTGTTGCTCGTATATAAGAAATGTTCACTCATTCAATATAGACGAATTCGATTAAAAAAGTTTTGTCAAGTTCTTACTATTTTCCACAGCGGACTCAAAAGCTCATGATGAAAATATGATCATATATTCGTCGGAAAGTACATTTTCTTATGCTGTAAATGTTTTCTTGTCTGAGTCTACATTTGAATCTTCATTTTATTGATGTATTTTATTATCGACATTTTCATCGTTTTGCTCACAAAATATGTTGATTTTGGATGATGATGCCAAAGGCATTTCTATTTTTAGTTATGTTTCCAATAGATGTTAATCATTGATTCAAATAAACTCATCGGCTACAAATATGCGTGACTAAAATCATTTTTCACGGGGCCACCGCTTTTCTACTTATTTTTTTTCCTTCACTTTTGTATGTGTGCTTACACACAGTGTTTACAAGGCCTGCTTACATTTTACAGGTTTTATTTTATATTATGATGTAAATAAATTTCAATGTAACATGTTGCCTTTTTGAAATCCGTTGTGTTTTCTCTGCTTTGCCACCATAAATTTTTTTTTCCTGAATGTAATAACTGGAAAATAATTTCCAGCTATTATGATATAATTGGTCATATTATTCGCTTAATGAATAGAATGTGTGAAATGCAGGGTTTCGAACTTATTTTCATCTGGGTTTCATGTGTTTGTGCGAGAAAGAGAGTTTGCATTCCCGTGTGCCATTTGGGATTTCTTTATACCGAGTAATTAATGGCAATAAAAATTAAATTAAAGATTTTCATAGCAATTAACTAGGATTTGGCGTTCACAAGATCGATGCACTGTTGGAAATCATGTTGGTGGGAATGAAAAACGTGACTACATTGCATCGTGCTTCCGAATAGAGATAGAGACGGAGAACGAGACGAAGTGAAACAGAGTAACCACAATATATGTGTGCAAAATTGCATTAGGAAACGAAAATCGAGCAGAAATTTCCACTTGAGATTAATTGATTAACATGAGTAGATGGATTTGAAAGTGCACGTAAGCCGACTAATGCGATACACTAAAATTGATTGTTTTTTATCGTGCACATTTTTTTTATGCAAATCGCGTAAATCAAAAGTGGTAACACGTATGACCAACTAACACAGTTATTTGGTATGCGTTTGGCTTTGAATTGTTAATATATTGAATTTTCATTGGCTGGTATGGTCAAATACAAAATATCTCAATTCTCATTTGTTGAGCATATTTTATTACAACGGCAAAACAAATATTTCGCAAGACATTTTAATGTCGATATTTTCGGTGGTGGACTGCTGTTTGCACTTATAATTGATAAATTGAAATGAAACCTTGAGCACTTTCCATGTTTTTCTTCATCTGAATTGGGAGAAACGGAGACGCACACACACATGTACATAGACAATATACGTCATTCGTGGCAGAGTCAATTCGTAATTATGGAATTATTGGTGAAGTCGCACATTCATTCACAAATACTGATTGATTCTCTCGCATTTTAAGCTTTCACACTATTATTTATGAATAGACATTTCGTTCGGTGTGGCAGCGGTGACGGTGGTAATGATTTGTATACACTCTATTGTGTACCCAGGTGTGAAATGTAGATGAACTTTAAAAACTGCTTAACATAGAACAACAATTACAATTCGTAACGTGCAATTGAATTGGGCGGAGGAACGCCTTCCAATAAATTATCTTCTTATTTCGAAACCAGTTTATAGAAAGAAGTGTAACATTTATCATGGCTATAATTTTGGTTGAATTAAAATATAAGAAAATTTACATATAGCAACAACGGACATTTTCCGGATCATACAAAAGAAAATGATTGTCATTTTTTTTCGTCTCCGATTTTTTGGTTTGTAGATTAAGATTGTATGAAATAGAAGACTCATTTTCAACGGGGGGGCGGGAAAAAATGTGAGAGTGGAATTTATATCGAAATATAGAGCAATATCAAGAGAAAGAAGAGAACGAAAATCGCATTGCTGGAATAACAAAAAGTGCAATTACTGATGTGGAAGACAAACGGAAAATGGAATATGAGAAAAAAAGGTAGCTTGGATGCTTAGTAAGAAAACTTGAAGAACTCATACAAGCACCAAGCCCACACATATACACAAACACACCACACACCGTGTAGACATATAATATACAGACAACACACCGCGACAAGTACGCACGGCATCATCTGCAAAGTAGCCTCTCACACATTTCTTTTCCTTTAAATGGTTATGTATGAATCCTTCAACAAAAAAAAAAAAAAAAAAAAAAAAAACGAAAGAAAGAGAATTCGAACTCTGTTGTAGATTCCAAATGCTGTTGATGCCACTGCCAGTTAGAGATGTACAATTGCTTTGAAAGCACACACATACACACGGCATTAAATTCACATGGAATGTCAACCAAATGTAAGAACGCTGTTCTTTGGCACACTCAATTTGATTTTTTTTTTTTCATGTTTCCAAAAGGAAAGTCTCTCGATTTGTTTATTTGGTTTTTTTTTATCATTTTGCCTTGAAATATGAATTGGCAATATAATCACTGTTGACCTAATCAGATTGTCGTCGTTTTCCTTCTAATTCGCAAATCAATTGAAAATAGCTGGCGTCTATCGACACACGAAGAACAAATAATAACAACAACAACAATGAGCAAAAAAAATAATAAGAAAAAAGAAATTCAACTTCATTCACTTACATCGTTACGCGTTTACATTATATATAGAGAGAGATTGATTGTTTGTTAATCTTCTTTTTTTTGCTGATGAGTAGCAGATTTCTTTTGATTTATTTTTACGATTTCAGTTCAATTTGGAATCCACTTTTTTCGATTTGTGTCGTTTTTATTTTATGTCACTGCCTCTGTTCGCTGCCGCGATGATTATCAATTATGTTGTAATTGTTTTACGTTTTCTCGTATATCGAGGGTTAGGAATCAATGTAACTAAATAACAAAATTAACCAATCGTTAATGTGAACAACAACTGATAAATATTTTATAACTGCATATTCATTCGTTTTCCTTTTGGCCTGGCACACAATTCACGTGATTTGCGTGAATTTTCAACCAAATTACAACAAAACCGATTCAAAATGATTGCATGGAATTGTTTTATTTTTAGCCTTTCTCTTTCGGATAATGATGATGTTTTTTAAGCTAAAATACATCAATATAAGTCAAAATGAACGTTGATTGCATGTAGCGAAAGCGTACACAGGTGCGTTTCTCAACGTTTTTGACTTCTTTCTTATTTCGTGCTCTTTTTTTTATTGTTTATTCTATTGAATATCTATATATATACTATTGTAGGTGTCACGCATTATACAATTCACATTCATTTTGTATAATGATTGTGATGAGCCGAATGCGACCGAATTCTATTCAGCAAATTCTAATCAAGAAAATTAGCACACACAAACTGAACGACAGAATATAATGATTGGGTCGTCCTGGGAACAGCGCACTATCAAAATCAACAAAAAAAAAAACAAAATTCAAAATTACCGCAACCAAAATGACACTTGAAATTCAGTCGCGAAATTTAATAAGAAGAATAATGATTTTGAAACCAACGAAAAAAAAAAATTGTTTAAAGTGAAAACTGAATGGCAGTAGAAATATGAACGGTACTTGGGTTATATTTTTGGTGTTCGCGTCGCGCGCACAAAAACAATGACGATGTATTGTAAAACGATGTTGCACACAGAAAATCTCAATAACGACTACCGTTTGTTGAATTGGTTGGTTAATAAGCTTGAGTCGAGTGCTAGGATGATTTGGATGGATCGCATGCTGCCAAAATAATTCGTCGTTGTGTGCGTACGTCAATGTGTCGGTGCAGCCAGCACCAGCGATTCAGTAGCAGCCGCAGCAGCAGCTGTGAATTTTTGGTGAAGGTGAGCGTGTGCCTGTGTTGTCAATGTGTATGTGAGTCGATTCGTTCTTCTCTTCTTTTTTTTTTTTGTTCGGTGGGTTTGTTTGATAATGTGTGAGCTTATCGTCATGTATATGATGACATATGAGATGCACAAGGGAAAAACTGTCTATGCTTTCACAGTTCTAAGCTTCATGGCATAAAATATCGCGCTTCTCCTGTTTCTGTATTTGGGAAAATTACACGCATACATTCAATCGCTGGCTGAGCGCACACATACTCTCACACATAAACACATCGCACACACAGCAAGCTATGTGTAAGAAATGAAATGGTATGGAATTTTTAGGGCAACATCGTACATTATTATTTTCCATTGGAGCTGCGTCTGTGATCGACACTTGAATCCAGAAATGGGTTTGTTAAATGTTCGTGTCGAATGACTTGGTCGTCGTAAAGATTTTTCTTTATTTCGTTCGTGTGTTTTTTTTATTATTCCGCTTTCTCTCGTTTTTCCATTTTGCTGACGGGGACCATTCGCACAGCGAACACATATAGCAGTGAGAAAGACCAGTGAAAATAGTAAAATAGAAGCGAACGTTGGTACTTACAGCCAAATGGAAAATGTGCTCGAACCGAATGGTTCCTTTGTATTTACTGATACGAATGGCTGGCGTATGTATTGCTAAACGAAGCTCTGCCAAAATGAATGTTATGTGTTGTAATATGGACTGAATTTGTACGCTTTTTTTTTATTTTCATGTCATGTTAAAAATTGTATTTTATTTTTTCTTATTCGCGTACTCTTTTTCATCATCGACGTTGTTAGCTGTCAAACCCCAATCTGCAACACGAAACAGAAGCCTTAGTTGATTCACTCACATGATTGAAAAAATAATAATAACAATAATAATCAAAAGGAGAAGAAAAAGAGTGAAGACGAAAAAAAAGTTGAACGAGTAAAAAAAAACACAAGGCTCCGGTAAAAACTTTCGATTTACAATTGATATTGACCTGGAACTTTTCGTATTTGAGCAGAACATTTTTTTTTCATTGTGAACGCATCAGCTTATGCCAAACTGTATGTATTGTTTTGCAAGGAGAAACGTGCATCAGTTACCATACGACCTGCCACACGCACTATCACCAAAAAAAAACCTCCACGTATTTACAGCGATACTCGTAGATAGTAATAATGTGTGCGCATTTCATGTATACATATGAAACGCGAATTGATATATTCCAAAAGCGAAAGATATGTTATAATATTATTCACTGGGGGCTGCCTGTCCCAAATCTCATCCATTCAACCTCAATCTTTTCAATCAGTCATAAATATAACAGCAACAACAAAAAATGTTCTATAAAAATGTTAACATTTTCATCAATTAATGTGACGAAATGTTGAAATGTCAGATTGATTTGAAAATTACCGAATTTCGGTACCATCTGTAAAATGCCGATCGATAAGAAAATTCAAATCACGAAGTTGTGTTCGAATGATTACATCTCTCTCATTCATATCAAATTGAAATGTGAGTCATTTGCATGTCAAGTCTTCTACCGAAAAAAAAAATGTGACTTAAGGGAAGAAAAGTTTGTCACCTTCTTGAAACGATAATAAATCGGAAAGACTTTTCCTATGATATTCCCGACTACTTATCTTCGACTATTTTAAAAGTAAATTTTCCCACGCAAAATCCAAAGAATTTCAGCATCGCATTGCTAAATATACAAGTAAGCATATCCATATACGATGCGATGTTATTATTATTTTTATTATTATTATAGTGGGATATAGGATGCGAACGAGAGTTTCTTTTGTGTACCTTCTTAAGATTAAATAAAACATCCAAGCACCATACACACGCTACTCGAAATGATAAGATAAAACAAGTACATGTTGTGGAAAATCGTTTATGTTTGCACTACATGTCTTCGACTGTGTACGGTTCAAAGCGCGAATCAATCCGCGCATACCATTTTGGGAAACCCCTCGAAATTGTTGAATATTTGCATCAAAAAATTAGAAAAGTTTCGCTTGCTCGATCTCTCACACTCTGGCCCGCATCCACGTTTTATCTATGGAAAGAAAACTTGACAAATTTCATATTATCTTTCTTGTTTTTTATTTTTTTTTCTTGTAGAAAATATGAAGTAACTGCATATTTTTCGGCAAAAACTTCCTGGACACTTGAAACCATTTGGTTCATCAAGAGAAGCAGAAGAAGTTAAAAAGAATGAAAAAAAAAAGCGAGAGTAACAAAATGACGTGAACGAGATGAATCGTATTTTGACGACGCCTTCAATCATATATACCCGCTCATGCGATGAGGCAAATTGCGTAGAGTTACCATTTTACATATTAATTTGACTTAATTTAGACAACGTCGCGCAATGATGAGACACACACTGTGTGAGTTCAATTGAGGCGACAAAGTGAAATAATGGCCTCTTTATGGACATATATACACATACATTACCGTCTCCAGTTTTTCGCAAAACAAATCAGACGGGAGTTGTGTTCGAGCTTTGAATTGAAATGATTTCATTTAAGAGCTGTGTAATACGCATTGCATCATAAACACAACCGTCAAATGAACACAAAAAAGGACCATTTTTATGGTAATCTTATCGCAATGGATGGTGTACGTTTGTGTGTGCATACGTGTGTTTGTTTGTGATTCGAATTGTTTTTTTTTTAAATAATAAAATGCCAAAAATGTTAAAGCGAAACGATTTTGTTGGCGAAGAGATGCGTATGTATTTTGGAAACGAATCAACACCATTCCAGCAACAACAGAGAAGACGATTTCGTTTTCTATTTTGTTATGTAATGGCATTGAATGTGTAATATCGGTTGTTGTTTTTTTTCGTAAGCGCCGTTGGACGCATGCTTTACACATATACGGGTTCTTTACCGATATCTAATTGTGCGATGATAATTAAATGAATGCGAGATAGTATAATGGTGCTTTGCGTACACCGTACATGTATACTCATTTGAAATTTAATAAAAACTTAAATTAATCCAGAGAATACAAGAAAAAAACGACACGCACCCACGTTTATTCATTAAATGATTAATAAATTTGGAAGTGATGGCCGAAATTGTCTTCGATGACGATCGATAGGCACCTTGAATTTGATTTCGAATTCGGATTAGTTTTATTGTATTGACATATTCAAGATCTGATATGAATCTCATAAAGTTCACATTTAAACATTTCAATGAATCTACATAGATGCCAAAACAAAGGTACATAAAACGGTAATGGCAATAATGTCACAGAAATGTGCTCGTTTCATAAAATAACACAAACTTAATCAATGTGTCTGTGCTGATTTGGTAACAAAATGACAATTGCAACAACAGAGAATAGGGCGCCGCTGTAATGAGTCTGCACTTGATGATTAAAACGAAATTCAATCTGTATTTCATGCATCATGTTCGTAAAATCCAATTCGTTGTTGTGACTTTTTCTATTTACCAAAATACATGCTATATATTTTGTTGAAGACGTAGACGTTTTATTAAACATATATACAATTAGATCGAATATCAGTTTTTCCACACATTCACACTTACATTTGTCTGTATTATCGAGATTTATGCTCAATTTAATTACGACCTTCTAAATACAACCAAAATTGAAATTGAACGTATTTCGACACCTTGTTTTGGTGTCGCCGAAAATAATGTGGTTCGCCGTTTGTTTGAATGCGATAATTCCAAGCTTTCTCTCTCTCTCTCTCTCTCTCTTCTTTTTTTATTTGATGAACACTTCAATGGTGGATGGTACTAATAAAACCGAAAGCCAATTGAACACAAATCGCTCCCGTTTGCAGCTAAAATAAACAAGTTGAAAATCGGTTGTATTACAGTGCAAATGGTACAACTGTAGTTATTGTCGTTCACAGATATTGAGTAAAAGATGTGCGCTTCTGTTGAACTAATAAAATGAACGAATATGAGAAAAAAATGAATGTATGAATTGGTTTGCGTGTATGTCAAAAGGCGACAGACTCAAAACGGCGAAAATGTTGTGTGAAAATAAAATGCCGAAAAATTATGCGTATAATGGTGTAAGCACACCGTACTTCAAAAATGTGCCCATCCGGATGATATGTGTGTAAAAAAAAAGCTCAAATAGATAGCGCGAAAGTGAGAACTCTCGAAAAATCATGCCACACATATACACATGTCTTTTCTGAATTTAGCATATAAAGAAAATAAAAAAAAGGTACGATGGGGCTCAAGCAAGTAAAGCTATCTCATTGCTGTACTTACTACTATTTGGTGGTGTAATACGTATTGATGGTGTAATACACGTTGTGACGTATATAAATTGTGTGCGCGACGCCTGCTGCATGGAATGCTGCTGCTGCTGCTGTGTTTACCGTTTTGTTAACAAGTGTAGCGTTTAAAGCACATTGGACAGACAAACGTAAGCATTCCCATTAAACGAGTAAAAAGAGAGGTCGATAGGTCATGGAAAATGATGATGATGACGTCAGTGTATATTTAAGGGATAGAAAGTAAAATCGTACCAAACGATATAGTTTTCCCTCCATGATAGTTATTTCAATGGATTTTGTACTAAATTTGCACACATGGGTGTGTGTGTGGTTTTTTTTTTAAATTCAAAATTCATCGTCATCATAAGGATAGTTACATACAACTTGTGTATTGCCCAACTTTAACTTTTTCTTTTGTTGTTATTTAAGTTTTGAGCATATCCCGCCCATTTTATTATTCTTCTAAGCGAATTGACATTTTTGCACTTTCTTGTGTTTTGCGATTTTCTTCTCAATTCGGAAAATATGAATTTATGATTATTTCCATAGCATCTGTTGGTTTTGAAAACTACATTTTTACCATAGATCAAGCAAATTGTTCATTTCCAACAAACTTCTATGTATGACGATTTCAATCGATGCTTGGCACAACATATTTCTGGCACATATTCACATGATGATGGCAGCAAAATTCATTATTTTGACTGAAATGGATTAAGAAAATCTTGTGCAACATTTTTGAGCAAAATGTGTTCAAGTAACTATAAATTATATTAAATTTATTATATTATTCAATTCATCATCCGAACTTTTCGCAATGATCATCAACACACACACTTCAGCATCAAGCGATTGTATTCGGTACCACGAAGCAATGAATAAATAAACGTACATACGGAACGTTATTCAATAATAGTAATAATCAGCAATGATCTTTTGTTTTTAGTATGAATATATTGTTGTCCTCATGCGAACGCATCATCAACACACGGACAACAGTGAAGCCTTTGTGTTCTTTATGTGTGCTCGTTGCACTCTCGACACTGTGTGTCGTTGAAATACAAACGTGTGTGCTGTTGATGTTGTTGTTGGTGTTGCTGCTGCTGCTGCTGCAACAGCAAAATATCTCCATCAATTATTATTGAACGCGGTGCGGTGGTCTGGTCCGCTTTCCGCGAAGTATTTTGTTATAGTTTTTTTTTTTGTGCCGTTCCAAGATATGATCACAATGCCGATTTTTAAGTCAGTCGTTACAAAGCCGTGAGGCAGTGAGTTTGCGCATATCGTTTTGGCTTATTTCTTGGCACTTTGAGAAGATTTACACAAAAAATTGGACGCGATCATAGTAAATTCAAGGAATTTCAAAAGGTTTATTGCTTTTTTTAAAATTATTTTCGATTGATTTTTCTGTATAAAAAGTGGTTATAATTTGAAAAAAAAAGTGAAATTATTCCGAATTTTGGTTGCTGTTGGTTTGTTTTATTCAAAAGTTGAGAATGTTTGCTCCGATCTACATCTATGTAACATTTTGACATTATTCGTTGTGTCGATGTCAATGTTTTTGAGTCACATCGCATTTGATAGAGGATCACCCATTCAACATTGAAAATAATTCAATAAGACAACCATAATAATAAGTTTAATTCACATTTTTGTCGGCATAAAATGCCAAATTAAATTACGTGTCATATTTATTATCGTTTCGATTCAATGATTCATTGATTGATGAGCACTAAAAATGTTAACGAATTAGCTCGTTGTTCGTGCAACCATCAATTTCAACATTCCAAATTAATGTGGATGTTATATGTGACTAATTTATATATCCTTAATGAATAATAACAACACATGAGAGTTTGGTGAAATCATTTTGATGTCTCATGTGTTAATTTTTATATCAACAATTTTATTAATTGATAAAAAAACCGAATAGATTTCAAAAGTAATTAATTTCTCTTTGCATTCAACAAAGATGAGTAAGCAACAGATGAGTCTGTCTTACATGACATTTTTTTTAAAATTCAATCTTACCGAAAAAAAGTAATCATATTTCAATTGATCGGTAATTGAGAACTGACAAAGTGGAAAAAGTCACGCAGACAGCATAAATTAGATAGGCAAATGAACACGATTAAATGAAGTGAAGAACGGTAATTGATGACATTTGTCAATTTTGTAAATGTATGGAACGTGGAACACACGCTCATCGTTGATCATCAAAAAGATATTTTATGAACCGTTTTTTTTTTGCAATTGTTTCATCGGAAGAAAGAAAAAAACAACGATGCTGAATATGACAATGGCAGATGAACAAAAAAAAGGCAAATAATCCTTGCAGCGATATTTTCGCGCAACAATCAATGCAAAACATAAACAAAGAATACTCATGGGAGAGAGAGCATCGATGTTTTATTCATTGTTGTTTGCGTTTCTTTCTCTTTCTCTCTCTGTTTCGTCATTCTTTTTTGCCGGGCTCGGCTTTTTTCTTTCACATTCAGTTCGCGTTATTTATTTTAATATTTTCTCGACATTTACAACTATTTACATTTATTTCAAATGTATGGAGGATATGCTGTTCTATTAAAGAGAAAAAAAAAGAATATTCTAGTGAATAGACGAGTTTCGATTTGTGTTTCGAGTTTTCTCTCTTTGATTCTGTTTTGTTGTGATGCTCTCGAAACTATTTTTCTGTGTTTCGCAAAGAGCGTATCCAAAAACGACGAGACATTATACGAAAAGGGTTAATGCTTTCGAGCATGTTGCTTCTTTTTATTTTCTCTCTCAATCTATCTCGCTCGTCGTTTTTCATTCTTTGGCCGTTCACTGTGTGTCCAACGAAAACAAAACCGAATTCAATTGATTCGCAAAACACACACACACAGAGAAAGAGAGAGAAAGAAAGAAAAATAGGGAAAGAGAGAGAAAGAGAAAGAGAGAGAGTCAGGTTTAAGAAAAACATGACCAGACAAACAGTGACACAGCGAAAAACTGTCTATTACATTGTGCACATTTTGTGTGCAAATATTCAATTTATTCGTAAAATTTGCTACTTGCGTCTTTTTCGCGATATATACTTTGCACGCAAAAAACGCTCAAACCATCCAAACTCTAAATGAAGAAGTAACACTGCATAAAAGGCACCACAACAAAGACGTAATGCGACATTTTTTTCTCTCTCTCTTCTCTGTTGAATTCTAGAAATATATTTATTATCGCGACTTGACTTCATTCCGCAATTTATTTTCTTCATTTTTCTTTCTTCATTATACGATCGCAAATCTCGTGCGCTGCTTAAATGCTACAATTCCTTTTATAGTCCCTTTAATATATTGCTGCTATTTTAGAACACGGAACCAAATCATTGTTCATGTTCGTTGTTCTCTCTCTATCTCGTTTTCTTGCTGTGCTCTGCTTTCGACACACCACAACGTTTCATTCTACAGATCATATGCAAATCGAAATTGATAAATTTTTATTTTATTTGTCTCTGCGTTCGGCTTATTTTCTCTCAACACACTATACATTCGAAACGATTGCACATACTTGATTGGAATTGCAGCTGTGATACATAGAAAAAATAGAATGACAATATTGTTGTTAGAAACTCTGTGAAATAAAACGAACTAAAAAATAATAAAAGAAAACAAAATAAAATAAAACCGGCTGAAAGTTTTATAACAATAAATATTTACGTTCCTCTTATATTTCAGTGACGATCGGCCTACACAATCGCATAATAATCAAGATCACGCTGGTAATTTGTTGAAGTGGTGCAATAACAAACAACGGAAAAAGTAGCTTCATAATGTAAAATCGCATAAACAAAGTGAAAACCAATTGCTAAAACTCTGTTCAAGTGAATTACAAAATTTTGTAAAAGAAAAACAAAAAAGCAACGAGTCCGAAGTTGTAGAGAAGAGAACGAAAAGAGTCAACAAAAAAAAAACTTGCCGATATGTTCGTCTATTTTGTGTTTGCACTTTGTTTTCATTTAGTATGTACGACTGCCACAACGACACCAACACCGAACGGCACACGGACGAATTTCGAGCATTCGGTCATTCGACACAACGCACATTTACAACATCACAATCGTCAATTGATGTCGCATCGCTATAACCCAAACAGTAAGTTCAATGATTTGGATCCGATTCTAAACATATTCAAACCGATGAAACTGAGAGCGGAGCGTGAATTTCACACTAGATTTGCATATTTCGTAATAAAATCCAATTGGCTTTCAGTTTCATGTTGGAAAAAGACATTGATTCGAAAACATTTGATGCCTTTTTTTATTATTATTAACTAAACTTATTATTGTTTTTCTTTTTCAAAAATCATGCTGAAATTAACACAACACAAAAAAATGGCTTTTCAATATGACAAAAATTAATAAAATCGCAATAATCGTAAAAAAATAAAAAAAAGCACATACAAAAAATCACATCGATTTTTATTCAGGATCCGAATCACGGACACGAAATTCACACCATAATGCACACCATAATATTAACTATGGCAACAGCAACGGCATTCGTAATCGAAATCAAAATAAAACAACGATGCACAGAGAACGACAGCCAAGTGTGAATACAAAATTGCTGGCGATAACATCGAAATCGCCAACTAAATCGGTTAGCAATCCATTGAAATTGACGCTGATCCAAACGAATGGTCATTCGTTTGTGGCAAATAATTATGCAGATGCGATTAATACGCATTTTTATCGTTGGCCCATTGCACCCCAATCACCGTCAACTGACTACGACATTAAATGGCGAACAGCCAATAATCCATTTGCATCGAATTTTAATCCAGCTATCGAAACAGTTCCAATTTCAACCGCATTACCAATTGCAACAACAACTGTTACCAGCCACACAACAACAACAACGATGCCATTGTCGTCGTCATCATTTGCATCATTGTCGTCGACGACGATGCCAACGGCCAAAGTGTATCGAACATTTACTGAACACAGGCTGCTGCATACAAAGCATCAACATTCTGGCCTCGGGTATGTCAAAAACAAAAACCAAATAAATCCTTTGGTAGATTCGATTTTTTTCGGGGGGGAGCGGAGTATATTTCGTATTTGCACGATATATCGCAGTGAAACATTTGAATTCTTACACTATAATTTGATTAAATTGACAAATTGATCCTCTTATATAATCGCATTCTCTTCGTGCATGCACCATATGATTTAGTTTTTTTTAATTATGTGCATTAATGGCAGTTCATTTATCAAAATAAGTGTTTGTGTTCGAATATCTCTTGGCTGGCTTAAATCAATGAATAAGCAGTTCATATTTTTTTTGTTATCAGTTTGCTTGCCATTAAATCGATTCCCGTAGAAGCTAATAATAATGTGGTTTCATTTGAAAATTGCCCACCAAAATGAAATCGCAACCTTGATATGCCAAATCCAATGGAGGGTTTTTTATGTCAATAATTAGCGTATTTTATGGGATTTTCGCTGCAAATGCGCGTATCACATAAAAGAAGCAAAAAGGAAACGAAATGCGCGTGAACACACACAGAGATATTGGTGTTGTTACAGTAGTCAATTTTCATGGCATGGAATAAATTTGTTGTAAACAAAACAATTTCAAAGATAAAATTATATATACACTTACCTTTACGTACATTGACATTGACGCCGTATTGGTGGCATAATGGTTTCAAGAGATAAGAAAATTGATGAACCCTAAACACAACAGAGATCAATATGCTTCCAGACGTTTCCATCCAAAGTGCTAAATATAGATAAATATCAGTGTACAACCGAAGGGAAACGACATACGAAAGAACCATAGCAAGTATACGGATATACGGTTATCCAATCTACCGAAACATGCACGGATTGAAACTAAAGTATTTAAGTTATTCTACGATACAATTTGAACACTTTAACAATCGATCCATGTACGTTCAGCACGCGCGTCCATCATTTCCTGTGTTTATTAAAGTAATTTAAGTTGATCTAAGTGAAAGTTCACATGCTATAACCAAAAACCAATTACAACCAACAACCAGATCATCAGTGTTAAAATTGGAAATATATATGTTGTATCGGAAGAATACGATGACTTATTGACAAGCTGAAAATGGATGCGTGCGGCATGAATGCGCATCTTTTGTCTTCCGAAATGCCTTCGAGTCAATCGAGTCGTTATTTCAATACATTTACACTTTGGATCTCGCAGTCAATTATCAAATTATTGGCATTCGATACGTTCAATTGGTTTCAACGCGTTGCCCGTTAACCTATTGTGATGTGGAGAGAAGAGCATGTCTTTGTAATGGCGAATAAAAACTTAAAAACAAAAACGATAAAATCGTCTATCGTACATGGTTGTGCCTCGTACACTTTAAAAAAATGAATCGTTTTTTTTTTTTTTGTTCTTTCTGTTGTTCGTACTTGATTCTTGGCGAATGTTTTGTTTTCGCCATAATTATGAAGAAAGCCTTATACACAGAATCAGAAAGAACAAAACGAGTATAGAACAACAATAGCAATATTTACCAAAAGAATTCAACAAAGTTACCAAGCCGAGTCGAGGCGAATCGAAAAGCCATTCCATATAAAAATGCTTTGCATAATTTCAGTCCTCAAGCACTACTTCGAGTGAATTTGCTATAAAGGCGTTGCATGCTATTTTAAATGAACCATTATCGACTTCAATAAATAGCTAAATTGTTTGAAGAAAAAAATGAGCACAGCAAAATGTAATGATGTGTTATACCGACAACGCTGATAGTGTCGCTTTTGTGTGAATAAATATGTTTTCGTTGAGCGAATGAAAGAGCGACAATCAATGTCTCACTCATGATCCATAGTACAGACACACACACACACACACACACACACACACACACACACACACAATACACAAGTTCATACTCTTCAGTTCACACAAGAGCCGATCAGTCTCATCGATTGATACTTCCATCCATCTCTTGAAATAATTGCTTTTCTGCTAGATCAAACGGAATACACTTCGAAAAGTTCAAGTGCATATGCAGGAAGAGCATGCATGCAAAAATAGAATATATTAAACGAATTCAAAAAATCCTCTTCAATTTATTGTTTGTACTGTATCTGATGGTGTTTTTCTTTGTAGTGATTGAAAATTTACTTAATTTTCGACGGATATTTTATATTGTAAAGCCAAAGGACGAATTATTCAAATTTATTCGACGAAAATGGTCACAAAGTTAAAATTAAGATGAAAAGTTCCAAACTTTTTTAGGAAATGGAAAAATCTCGTGAAGATTTAATTTCACATTTTGTTCATCATCATTTCGATTTCATGATTGAATGAATGGCAACAATGCCTGCATTCGTGCTAAATATAATTTCATCGTTCATAGAATTGTCCAAGTGCAATGAAACTGAGCGAAACGACACACAAATAAAAGCAAAATAAAAAAACATTTAAATTCATTACAAATAAAAAGCGAATGGGAAAAAAAACAAAGACCATCCACTGATGAACACAAAAAAAAAATGTCGCACACATAAATGATTTCGCTTGATTCATCTCTTCTGTATTATAAAATGCGCGAATTATATGCCTTTTTGATTTTCAAGCTCATTCGGAGTTTTTTTCCAGCGTCGTCGTGCAAAATTCAAACCGAAAAAAAGAAAGAAACGAAAATGAAACAAAAACAATTGATGGCAAAGGCAAACAGACACAGAGAATGAAAATAAAAACACAACTCATAAAAAATCAAACATTTGGAATCCGCCACAGGAATGTGTATTTATCTTATATTGAATATAAAAAAAACTGTGCATTTGACATACATAAAATATGTAATGAATAAATTTGAAATGTCAAGACAAAATGAACTGCATGCAATAGCCAAATGAGAATGTGAGCGGGAATGAGAGGAAAATCTTTACACATAATCTCACAAATGGTTTACACATTTTTTTTGCATCGACACACACACGTATGCACGTATAAAAAGAATTTTCGGCAACATTCACTGAAATTGGGAGGAAAAGACGGACATGAAACGGATGGCAACGTCACGGATGAAAACGACATTAAGCTGTTATTTTATTTAATAAATTATACGGCAAAAGATGAAAACCTCACAAATACACATAAAAAATAATAACGAGACACACAAATAAGCCAGCAAGACGATACACATTGTTTTATGCAACAACAAAAAATGTGTTTTGAGATAATTGCTTTGTACATCGGCCAAATGATAATGAAAGTTTTGCTCTTACTCATTCAACCTATCAAATATTTATAATATATAGTTTTAACCACACACATACACGGTAATAATACCATCGAAAATGCAAAAACGCAACCAGACTCTCGATGAATTAAAGCAAATGAAGAAAAAGATGATGATGATAATGATGATGAAGAAGAAGAAGAAGAATTGAAAATAAAATATGTGTATTCAAAACAGGAATTTGTTCATTCAAATGGAAACCATCAAATATAAATAAAATTTATTTTCATTGAGTTTTGTTTACATTGGTGTGATTCATTGTCGGTGCATGCGATTATTATCAACACCAGCTGGGTCCTGTAGGAGTTCAATGCTCGTAAGTGGCCCATATCGAAAACGTATATATATCTTTCTTGTTCCCAAACCGACATCATAATATATTGATGTTTTTTTTTCTACTACAATTCTCGATAGAATGACACATGCTAATTGAAATCTCAGAATAAATGAATTTATTGATTGAGTGGCGTTTTGTATGGTTTCATTGTGTGCATGCGGTTCATTGAATGCAATAATACACAAATCAAATCGTGTGCAACATTTTTGATTCATCATCACAAATTTAGTGCATTTTAAAATGGTCATTTTTCAATGAATGAGTGTAGCTTTTCTTCGGAATGACAGAACAATACATTTTTTGCCAGCGATAATAATCGACATGTTCAATTCGACACATTTAGTTCTCTTTCATTTTATGTCGTTGGTTTTTGTTTTCGTTCACAAAACTCAATTTCAATGCTCTTCCCATCTCCCATAATTTTTAATAAAGTGCCATTGAAGTGTGTTTCTTTTCGTTCGTTCATCGAAAGTGAAATGTTTCGGATAGTATTTTTGTAGATTGCTTTTTACAAGGCTTATAATCGGAACACTATTTAATATGTAATGAAACTTTTTTTTTTATTTTCGGCTAACATGTGCTGGATAGTGTCGTTGATTTGGTGTGTGTGTGGTGAAGCATGCAATAATTTAATCATTTCAATTTATCCATCTTTAGCAGTTGGGTCATTTGAAATGTATGTTATTGTTATTTTATACGTTGTAAGCTGGAGCCTGAACAATAAAATGCCACTCCTCAAATTCCATCTATTTTGATTATAATCAGCATTTCGTTTTTAGTTCAGGCGCGAAAGTCACACACATACATATACCGAATAAAAAAAAACACCTAAATCAAAAAGAGAATGATCTAGAAACATGAATTATGACCATTCATTTTCACTCCTGATTAATATTCTAAACGAACCAAAATGTTCCGAACCACGGACGGGAGCATTGCTGGGCTAACTGGAACCTATGCAAAGTATATGCAAAGGCAAACAAGCGTCACTGTATGACTACGACGACGATGATGATACAGATAAATCCATATAATGAAGTGTCGCTGGTACAATGTGTGAGCCATGGGACTTTGTGTGCCTTAGGTGTGAATACTGGCAAATATGAGATAACCAAATGGCCCGAAATAAAGCAGTGAATTAGTTGAAAGATAGCATTTAGATCGAAAGGACAGTTGTGCTTGATTTAATTCATGACCATATACTAAAAAAAAGCCCACAAAAACCGCATGATACCGAAATATTTTAAGGAAACGTTCATACACACATATTTTATGCTAACAATAAATAGACAAAGACCTCGATTACCTTTAAGTACAGATTTGCTGTGGAAATTTGTTGCATTTCAGAGCCGTATTTTAATATTTTGTATTATTTCCGAATTGCATTAGATGCTTATTTCTATGTGACCGGCAAACAGTTTGTGTGTGTATGTTTTTTTTTGGTTGCGGAAAGGAGGGAAGAGAATTGAAAATGACAGAAAATACCACAAAAATTCCTTCGAGTTTGATAAAATAACACACAAATATGTGCACTATATCTACAATTTGAAGGTTTTGTCATTTGTTCTGCCATGTCAAAATTCAAAACAAAATGAATATATTGTCATAAATATCAAGAATATGTATATATTTGCGTCGAATGAAAATGGGAGCCCGTTATCGCTTTCGGTTTTATCTATTTAATAAAGAATATTTATGATTGTGTTACCTATTGTTGCTATAATATCGCAATGGGGTATTGCTGTTATGTCCATGTTCCGGTGTCACATATCTACACCGAGCAAAAGAAAACACGAATGACAGTGAAATGAAAGAAACTTTTCAATTTGCTTCACAACCACACTATTACACTAATATATGATGCCATTCAATTTTCACTCAAGCTTTCGGTGCGCTAATTTATTCGCGTCTCGTTTCATCGTTTGAATGATTGTGTCGGACGGGCGCTGATGGATTGTTGTTACACGGAAAGGCAATCAAATTGTGTAAACTGTTGTTGAATACAAGCAAATTCACTCATATGGGAACGGTTGTAATTTTGAATCTCAAAAACTCAAACTTTCCATCCAAATTCGGACACTTTTTCATGTGTCATAGACATTAATGTGGAACATGACTTAGTGTTCGCATTAAATCCATGCCATACACGTGATACGGTATCATTGTAGCCGTTAATTTTTTTGTGTGTTTTCGTCATGTGCGTCAACTGAATCTCGTTCTCTGTTGCAACTTCCGTTCAAGTCACAAATACCATAAAAATTGGAGCATTGCATAAAAAACCATCAAGTCGTTGACTCTCACAAAAACGAAAGCGAAACAGAAAAAGTGGCAACAGTAGCAATAGCAAAAACGGCATATTGTGTTTATTCTCAGGTTGTTTGCTGTGCAAAAACATCGTATTGCATCATTCTTTACTCGCTTTTTTTCTCTCTCTCTCCTGCACTCTCCTATTTATGTTTTAAACACAAGTATGCATCTTTTTCAGGATGTACATTTAGAGCAGTCGAAGAAAAAAAGAAAAAAAAACGAAAGAATGATAAGCTTTTCTGTAGAAGCAGATTACATAATAGAAAGAAAGCGAAAAAAAGAGCAATCACAAAAATGTAATCAACATATAAGAGGAGAACGAAATAAAAAAATTAAAATAAAAAAAAGCGAATAAAAAAGAGTCACATCTCGATTTGTTCAGGTCTGAATGCAAAGTACTTCATTTCCTTTTGCAAACGCGTATACTACATGTACAAATAAGGATAGAAGCATGTCAGGATGAAAGCGCATGAATTATCTATCTCTCTCGCTTGCATTTCAGTTGAAGACATTTAATAAAATGTCATAATTTAAATCATTTAATGTTTCCTTAAACCTTGCCCCCGTTTGAAATCTATTTGTTACATGAATGTTTTAGCCATAATTCTCGTTCTCCCTCTCATTTTAAATTGGGAAACGATGAAAGCCACTCATATATCTCTCACATTTAAAATCGCCGTAACTAGCGCTGTGCCTGATGTGAGAATATGTGCTTTTGTGTCTGTAACAGTGCCGTTATAATACGATCACACGATTTTTGATTTTTTATCCAATAGGGGATATCATCTTCAGTCAATTATATGTAATTCACTTAATTTCAGTTATCATCAATCATAGAGCTGTCTCACTTACTCAAAGGACAAAATGGCACCTTTGTGTGGTTAGAAATTGCATTCTATTTTACAATCATATGCGATAAATACATGTATTGAAAGCAATTATAACACTTTTATCGCTAGCAAAATCTAAATATTAATCCAGATGCGATGACGATAAAAAATGATTAGAGAAAAATGCACAGTAATTAGTTCAATGAATGGTATGCGAGCGATGCGACCACCATCACCGTCACAGTCACTGATTTTGCCGAAAAACATACAATGCAACACAAAAACAAACCAAAAGACTGACGCAAACACAACGAAAATAAAAATAAAAGTTTAAACACGTTTTAAAGGTTTAGATTTAACAGAAAAGAGGTGTCTCTGTGTATGTGCACACGGCAATTACTGTGCCAAATATGGAAGTTCAATGCCATTTTCTCAATAAATAAACTAGTTCTGGTTCTGGGCATTTTTTTGGCGTTATTCTTTTTGTGTTTACTTGCTGATGATGTTATTTTCTTTGCATCGCTATTCGCTTTGTGTATCTCATGTGCATCGTACGCAGTGCACCGTGCAACGTAATTCGATTTCCATTGTTTGCAAAAAAAATTACCTTCCACGTTGATCTTGCCGTTTACATTCTATGTAGCAACGAGATAATATAATGTTCGACATCCAGTCAAAATACAGAAAAGAAGCAGCCAAAGAGTTTACAAACATCGCAAACACACACGATTAACAGCATCCATACCAATTCGCTGCGATGCAATAATGATCATATGGGAGAGAAAAAGAAGAGATAAAAAACAACAACAACACGCAACCTTACCATGTGAGATACTCAGCACTTATATTTTGATATATGAATGGGATGTGTGAGTACCGCGTCGATTTACATACCTTCAGTGTGTAGAATGCGATATATTTTATAAGGTATATGAGAATCCGTAATTATTTATGAAGTTTCTATATTTAAGGTGGAGAGAGAGATAGTAGGTAAAATATAATTGAAGGAAAACTACACCGATGTATATGTGTGTTCTTCAGAAAAACTTTTTTTTTTGCGCATGGTGAATGTTATGTTTCTTTTTTTATTATTTCTTTGCCAGCTAACACCCAATCGAAAAAGGATGGCAAAAGCAACCGGTCACGGTCTGCAAATCATAAAAATTAATCATAACGATTGTGCACATTGGTAGTTGAATTTCCCTTCGATGAATATGAAAAACCTCAGTTATATCAATTATTATAAATTAAAAGCTTTTTATGAGCGATATAATTTACATCGAAGTCATTCCGTTTTCTGTTCACGATATATCTCTGCTTTTTTTTTTTTCAAAAAAAGTTCTCTTGATTTATTCACATCTGCATTGGTTCATGACTTGACAACTACTATCAAAGTTCGAATTTCGAACGTGCGATGGAACAAAAAGAAATACGTACGTCAGCATGCATTTTAATTTGCACACTCACATAACGTAACCCGTGTGTCGACCAAAGTGTATCTCAATGTTTTCTTACAATGAAATTTATAGCCTATACCCGTGGACGACGTTTTTTTTATTGCTGCATTTCTTTGTTGTTGTTTCATTCAATCGTTCTTTCTCCACATAAAATTGTAGTTCAGTCATATGGAGCCAAATGCAACTCAAAAGCATATGATTTTGCAAAAGCAACGACGGGCGTACATATCGTTAAAAAAAATAAGTTTCATTTCCAAGTCTCGGCACTTAAATTATGATTGAAGGCAGGCAATCAGGTAGTACTAGTTAAATTTTAACAACTTACCACCTTACCCCATCACGAGAACTACATCTAAAGAATTGAAATAGATCCACGCCTATTATTCTGTTTCATATTACACTCAATTCGATGTAGTCAATGCTTAAATCTATATATATATCACCGTACAAATTGACGATGATTCACTTACAATTTTCATCAACAGGCGACATGTATGCGTTGATTATAAATCAATTCAAACGCCAACAACACAGGAACATCGACTACCTTGTAAATTCGGCATTGGTGATGGTGATTGCGATAATTCACGGTAAAAATTATATTCTACTTGACCATTGTTTATTTCTCTCTATAATTAGCTCGATTCGATTTCTTATTCTTTCAGATTGACTTATGATGGTTTCAATTCAATTGCACCGCGACGAACTGGTCATACGATTTATAGTTGTTGCCCAGGATGGACAAAAGTAAGCAAACACTCGCATGGTTGCACAAAACGTAAGACCGAAAAATTGAAATAAAACTACTGCCATAAACAGCCAAAAAGAAAAGTTTAATTTACACATTCAAAATTGTTTATTGTCGTCTTAATTTAGTGAATTTTTTTGTTGTTGGTTTGTTTGTTTTTATTTGACAGCAATTTGTAAAACTGCTTGCAAAAATAATGGGAAATGTGTTAAGCCTGAGCAATGTTCTTGCCCCGGTAAATGTATTTCATTTATCATATTTTTGTCGAATTTTTATTGACGGTGAAATTTCTTTGTTCCAGTTGGATATACGGGGCGACATTGTGAGTTTGATGTAAACGAATGCGAAACGGATAAACCATGTGATCAAATGTGTTATAACACCGTTGGATCATTTTTTTGCACTTGCCGTTTGGGTTTCATTTTACATTCGGATCGTCAAAGTTGCAAAAAAATCGATTCATCGTTTGGCAACGATGATACGGGCACCGCATTTGAGGCCAGAGATTTGGAAAATGATGTAGATAATGATGATATGGCGGCACGTATCAATAACATTGAAAAGGTTGGTTTGCACACGCGTGCATATTTGCGCTGAAATTGCTCATCAAATAATAAATAATATTGTTCATTAAATATTCATTTGCAGCTTGTGATTACAGAGAAAGAGCGAAATCTCGAAACAAATAAATTAATGCATCATACATTGGCGATAGTTAATAATTTAAAACAACGCTTAGATGGTTTGGTTAGTATTCCGAAAGGAGACGAAACAGCAATCATCATTCTTCTTTTCATTTTATTTGCATTGGGAATGTTTCCAACTTGTTTTTATATTGGACGTGCATATTTATACGTGTTTTTTTGTGTGTGTGTTTCACAGGAGAATCGACAACTAGAACTAAATCTGATACGCGAAAGACTGAAAACGTTCGAGATGCAGGCAAATAAACTTCAGTATACCGTTGATCTGCTGTACAAATGCCATCATAAACCATTAATTTATTGCACTCAATAGCATTTAAATCTCATTTATAATTTTATATAACACACGTTAAAATATCTTAGCCATTTTTTGTAGTTCCTGCATGTCAATAAATAAATAAAACTTATACATATAAGCAATGGTCAAGTAATTTTTATTTTGGTTTCTTTTTGGTATTTTCTTCTATGTATGCATGGCACCATATGAATAACTTGAATGAAATTAACGGATCGACCAACCAAAATAGGTGCCAATAAGTGTTTTGTGAATTTGAATGAGGAAATTTTCGCAACTTCAGTTCAATCGAATGATAAGACACGCAACCAACTTCACACATAACCGAAATGACATTCCCTTTATTATTATTATATTCTTGAAAACATATGTAGATTGTAGGCGCTCAACATTTTTTTTTCCAGAAATTCGTCTTTGTTTTGTATTGCTCTGTCATTCGTACCCATACATACACATACACACGTCGCCTGAGTACACATAAACAATGTGAGTCAATGATGATCAATATTTTCAAAGTTAAACGTCATTAACACTGCATACGAATTCTGCGTATTCGAAATTCAGATAAATTTTAATATAAACCATCTAAATTGTTATATGCGAAAAAAAGTTTTTTGCTTTTGACTGCTGAGTCAATAGAAATGAACGCAATTTTCAATTTAAATGGTGAATATTTTAAATGATTTTCAAGTGATACAATCAGGAAGTGAACATAAGAAAGAAAATAATGAACAAATGACATTGTTTGCATTCTACTAGAAGTGATTAGAAGTTTAGAACAAAAAAAAAACAAAGATTCATTAATGTTCAGAGTTGATTGTGTAGCTGTTCACTTATAAATTTCTTCGAAGTAAAAAGAAAAGAAAAGAAAGTCACAATGGATTCCTACATATCAATTAAGCAAGCTGAAATTTCAATTAAAAAATTCAATGACGTTGGCCTTCCGCATCATTTGGGCTTGTTGAAAAATCACAAGTCAAATATTGAAAAAAGTTTGGGGCTCGGCGATTGGGACAAAGTGAAAAAGGAAGAAATCAATGCAACACGTGTTATAAAACAATTGAAAAATCTAATGCTCGAAATGGACATACTACGCGGGAGTGTTCGAGAAATAGACCTGGATAAATTCGATGAACTGACAATGCCCGGACGACAAAAAGCCAAAGACGCCATTCAAGAATATCTTGGTTCGTATATCAATTAGTTCAAGGTCATATTGTTTCAATGACAATTATAATCGTCTTCTTCTTCTTCTTCTTCTTTTGTTCAACATAGATTTACAATTAAAAAAGTCGATACCAAAACCAATTGGTCAAAATACCAATTACAATTATTCGGATGACAACAATGACAACAATCGTGAATTGGAGCTTGAACATTTACCACAAATTCAAACCGAATTTCAATTGAATGAACATCAATTACGTTCGCGTGAAGCATGTCTAACCGAATTTGAGAATTTACAACGGGAAATTGAGGATATTCAAGAATTATTTGTTAAATTGAATGGTAGTGTGGTCGAACAAAAAGCAGATGTTCAAATTGTTGAAGATAATGTTGTCGAAGCACAAGTGCATGTTGAAGAGGCGGAAAAATCACTGCGACAAGCGTTAACATACAAAAAAGCAATGTATCCATTGTGCGGTGCAATTCTTGGCTTTTGTGTGGCCGGTCCAGTTGGTATGGTTGCGTTTGGTTTGAAAGCTGGAGGTTTGGCGGCCGTTGGTTGTGGTGTTTTGGGTGCAACTGGTGGCACCGTACTCAAAAATAAACAAGAACCGGAACTTAATTTAAACATTGAACCAACCGAACATGAAACCACAATCGATTGATATCCGTTGAGATGCACAATCAATTAAATATTGTCTCCTAATCAAATTAGACTTATTTCGAAGAAATCTATCGTTCCCGACCAAAACATTCATTTTTGTACAAAGCCACTATACTATCATCATTTACCAAACACAATGCTGGCAACCTAAGCATAACTCAACGCAATCAATCGCAATTTTTTTTTTTTTTTTTTAAATAAATACATAGAAATAGTAGAAGCACATAAGCTTAATTATTAAATCAGAATTATTTTTGTGATTTTTTTCTATGGCTTTGAAAATATCAATGTTAATTGGTTGAGTTATCTTTGTGACGAAAGAAAAATGGCAACAAAAACAAATGAATTAAATAAAAAAAATGATATAATGTGATTATTGAATAGAAATCGTTGATAATCAACGATTTAAGTTGGCTTCTAGAGATATTTTATACAAAAATTAAAAATAAACGTCGAAATGTTATTAAATGTTTGTCAAATGGTCTCTCATTTGTCATGGTGTTTTTTTTGGGCCAGTGAAAAATACATTGTGCTAAGACATTAGATTTTCCTATGTAGTTGTTCGCACAGAGTCGAAGAGCAGCTCAGTATTCACTGTTTTTTTTTGCGCATATTTGTTAAATAATCGAAAATAAAAACAAACAAGTTTTTCTGTCGCCTTAATTCAAATATATTTTCTTCATCTTCTTAAAATACGGCCGAATAAATGATGGTAAATTGAAAAATAAAATGACATCAAATCTAAACGGGAACGAATTTATTCAACCAAGCTTGATTGAATTGCTTTTTCTGGGCATGCACTTTTTTGCGCATTTTTCGTTCTGTATTTCGTGGCTTCTTCCATACGGGCAGCGAACCAAATTGATCACGCATCGTTTTTGTGTTATATCGATGTATTACTCCGGTTTTTTCATTTGTCACTTCAACAATTTCACCTTCAGCCCTCTCTTCTGCAAGCTCTTCGAGAATTTCTTTTTCTTCCTTCGCTTGTTTCTCCTACACAAATACAGTCATTTATTAGCCACTATTTTATTCCACATACCATATCACGTAAATGCGATTCGCTTACCTTTTTCAATTGTTCGGGTGTTTTGTATTCAATGACTTCTTCCATTTTCTGAATTAATTCGTTTCCATGTTCATCGATCAGGCCAAGTGTTTTCTTTAACCTCAAAAGTTCCTTCTTCGAATTTCGCTCTTTTTTAATGCGATCCATTTGCGCCTTTCGTTTACGTGAACGATTTGTTCGGCCCATTTTAAAATGTTCTATGAAAATTTACTCAAAATGACAGAAATTCTTCACTATTTCCAATGGAAATTGAATGAAATGTGTAATTGCGTGGTACAGAGGTTTTCAAAATAACAACAGTCCACAAGCAAAACACATGTGAGAAAGGAATAATGTATATCTTTGACACATGCATGGAACGTTTATCGACAATACAGTCGATGTGTAACCAGTGGCATGAAGTTGACCGACCATTTGCAATCGGTGCACACCATTAATAATCGGACAACCCCAAATGGGACATTTCTGTAATTGTTTTATTTCTCTCTCTTTTCCTCTTCATTCTAATAGAGTATATAATTCATTTTAAAAAACGATTCAAAAACCGAAACAATTGAAAAAATGAAAGCCCACGAAAAAGAAATGAATAAATAAAAAAATGGAATAAAAACCCGCGTCAAATCAATCAGAGCCGTCAAATTGATGGCTTTCTAACTGTCGTCATTCCAAATGCCAAGCCACTCAACATTTCGATAAGCAAACAAACCGTAGGTGAAACTAGTGCAGTGCGATTGAGTGAGCGGGATATAGTAAGTAAAGCAAAAAAAAAAAAAATAATGAATACAAACATATGAAAGAGAAAAAAATTTCCCAGGCTCAAACAGAAGCGTATCACACAGCGTATTTGGTGTTGTTTATGTGAATGGTTTTCAAATCTGTCAAACACAAACACATAGTACAAAATAAAAACGCAAGTTTTCAAAATGGCTTCGACAGCTGTTTTTAATACAACTTTTTTTGTTTTATTTTGCTACTCGATCCGATAAGAACAATTACAAGTCGAAAATTTTGAGTGAGACTCATTTCTTTTAAATGAAAAACAATTGTTAAATACCAATAAAATAATTATAGAAATCGAACTGTTGTGTTGCTTGTGATTTTACAAAGTGTAGCTCTCATCTCATCAGTGATGTTAAATTAAATGCAAGAGATAGAGAATACTCTGTGTGTGTGTTTCATTTCATTTGATCTAAGCTTTCTAAGCCATATCCAAAAAATTGTGAAGATTGTGTACTTACCACCCGGGGGAGAAAAGAGAAGAGAAAAGAGAATAATGCAAACTTTTGTTGTGATGATATATATGATAGCATCCGAACAGCAGACAAAAATAAATTAAATAAATAAAGAAAATAAAAAATAAGAGAGAGAAGAGAAGCCATGCGAATTTATTACAGATGAAATTCAAATCAAACGATATGATGATGATGCTCACTCCGTGACAAAACACTTTTTTCTTTCTTTTCGTTTTTTTAAATGATACAATCGTGCATGCGTGTGAATGTGAACAATTGTTGCAAACATATATATTTGAATATTAGACGAGCGATATGGATATTGAAAGCGCACAAATTCAGAAAACAAATACAAATCCGGGTAATAAAATTAAAATCAATCGCACGAATCGAAGTAATTAGCCGACCAACAAAATTTGCAGTTTATTCTAAAAGAAACCACACACACCAAATCAATCAACCAAACAACAAAACAGGTGAAATTTTGCTCAAACATAAGAAAAATCATTAAGTTAATTCGAGAGTCGTTTGACATCGTCGAATCATTTTTTTGTGACAATTTGAAGGTGACGAGTGGTTGTATCATTTACTACATGTGTATTACATTTGTTCTTGGCATTATTAATAGCAGCCAATTTTCAAAATAAAAAAAGAGGAAGCAATAGTAAGACCCCGCATAACTCTCGGTACGAATGTATGTTCTTTTGTAAACAACAACAAACAACCAGAAGATAATAATACGTTAAGAAAGGTGACAAGACGTGACTACTTGTAGCTTTGTTTTGTGGCCTCCCCCCAAAATTGAACAGTGAATTGGAAAGTTTAATAAAAAATTTCGAAAAGAATATATCAACCTGACTGAAGCTGAAGGAAAATCAGTGCACCCAGCTTGAAATTATTTACCATCTAGCTTTGGTAAATACACATTTTAAATGAGAAGGACTCTGAGAAGAAAAAGAAAGAAAGAAGAAGTAGAGAGTGTGTATATGTGTGCGAGTGTTTGAAAAAAATAGAGTGAGAGAGTGAGAGAGAGAGAGAGCGCAAAAGACGGGGGTACGGTGGTGTAATACAAATTCATGCTGATCATTCAAAGCCTGAATTCATAAATGGGGGAGAGAAAATTGCCAATTGGGACACAATGTTTTTCGATAAAAAATTTCAACAAACAGGTAAATATTATGAATGATAATCAACTGGTGATGTGAGTGAATGAATGAGTGATTTGAATGGATACGTGCGTCCGGACACAGAGAGACAAAGAGTGCGCTTGGCTATTTTTGATACAACACAAAATGATATGAAAATTCTTACATCATTCTATTTGATTAACACAATTTTTATATTTTACACACATAAATAGATAAAAAATGAAACGTTAACAAAACGCAACTCACACAACGTTGTTGTTATTATTTAGCGCCAAACAATCTGTCGTTCATACATTAATACAGTCACACACACACACGTATTTACAAATACATTTTCTCTTCGAATCGGAAGCAATTTGTGTGACCTTGTTGTTTCGATGGAAAATCGAGTTGAATACGTATAAAGTTAAAAAAAGCTCACACTCTCATTCCCTATCTCACTCTATCCCACTTTGTTTTTTAAAGCCAAATGGTTGTTTTCTACCTTTGATTGCGTTTTTAGAAAGAAAATACAACAACAACAAATACAAATACAATTATCATGGGCATGCATTTCATTTGATAATGCACACAGTCAATTGGTGGATGTGAGAAAGAAACAAAAACAATGGCACATCGAAATAGCAGCCAAACGTTGAATAAAGTTTAAGGGCAAATGGTTCATAAACGCGCGTTTACATATGACGTTTATTTGCGACGCACTAATGACTCGATGTATAACACAGCGCATAGCATACATCGAAATCGAATACTATTCAGCGGCATGAATGTAGTTTTTTTTTCTACGTAGTACAGTAAACGAACTGAGATCATTTTAAAATCGTGCACATGCCAAACACACACTATGTGGCCAAATTGTCTTCGTTTCGAAAAATGACCGAAATCAAATACAGTGAAAATAAATTGAAAAAAAAAAGTGTTACAAACGTTCTCATATGATTTTCAATACAAACAAACAAATTTACACCATATTCAGTACGAATAGTGAAAATAAATGATAAAAGTAAGTGCGTACGGTCGCCTGATTACTTTGCACCAATTCTCTTTGAATTGGGGCGCACAAATGAATAAAAAAAAACCATGACATCCAAAAATGCATCTATGAAATGAAATATCGTATTTTGCACCATTCACACAACAGCGTTTGGCATTCGTCTACTTGGCACACACGCACTCATGTATGAATGAGTTCCTTTTATGCATCATTAACATGCGGCGCATCTCTTGAATGCAACTATGCATTCGAGAGTCATGATCGTGCGGATAATATGCAAGTGAACCGAACTACGGGGCAGCAAAAACAAACGAACGAACACAAATAGAACGCACATGCTCAACATTTTGAGATTTGATGCCGGATTCACATTGTGTTGTGTGTGCGGTTTGTTGTTGTTATATTACAGCCATGCTTCTGTCAATGCAAGTGTTTTTCAAACCGAATATCGATGCATTCAAAACAAAATTTATTCATAGTCAATTGTTTTAAAAGTTTTTTTCTTTTCTTCTTCTGAATGTGGTTGAGCATGTTTATTTCTTTACATGTGATATGCAAGAGCAAATAAAATCATATCACGCGGTTAATATAATATTATATCACTTCGGTACAAGTTCGGTGATGCAATGAACAAAATTAAATCAAAGCAACCATTTTTTTCGTGCTATAATCGGAATTTTTTATCAATGACGCCACACCGTTCATTGTAAAATCAACATGATCGGTAATTGCAAAATGCTCATTAAAATGCCGAATGGATCAATGTTTACAAAATTATTTAAAACGGCAAAGAAATTAAATATTGCGAAAAAAAATGCCGAAATTGACCCATCCGATGTGCAATAAGTAAATGTAAAAATGATTGTGATCTGTTTATTTTACAAACTGGAATGAAAAAAAAATGATTTTCAAGTGACCTTTTGAGAGAATTCCATTTCATTTTCATTTGAAAAGAATAAAAATTGAAAAAAAAAAGCAGTGACGCATAAATGAATAAAACGAGCGGTATTTTCGTAAAACTAAACTAGATAATAAGAGATATTCCGATATTATGCAAAGTTTTCATTCTATTTTTGTTTAGCATGTTTTTATTTAAACGTTTCAATCGTGTGAGAATGCCTTTTTCATTCATTCCATACGCTCCATTCGTTTTATCCGATCGAATTCGCATTTATTACGATTTAATTCGACGATCCGTTGACGATAATACGACGTATTTGTTCTCTTCTGCAGATGTTCCAACGTACATTTCACGCAAACATAAAATTTCAAAAAAACGCGCGATCGAACAATTCAAAAACTCAAGGATAATATATTTATTTGCACAGTTATCTGCTGAAGTGGCTGTTGTTGTTTTCAATGAAACGGCGGAGCCGTACGAAAAGCAGCCGAAATTATTGTGAGGAAGAAATTTGCAGTTTAAAATTCCAATTTAAATTAAGCGCATTAGTGTTCGCTCGAAAGAGAGAGAGAGAAAGAGACAGAGAGAGAGCGAGAGCGCGAGAGAGAAAGAGAGAGTGTTTGAGAGAGAAAGTGGTAGATAGAAAAAAAAATATTTTCGCTTCTTCAAACTTAAATTATTCAATAGATTTGAGTGTATTTGTTGTTGTTTTGATTGTGGTCGGCGTCGGTATTTAAAATGTATTTTAGTTTTTTCTTATGTATTTCGATGTGAAATTGATGCCACTTTTTAATTTTGTGTGACCAAGAAATTAGCGTACAACATTTACATATTATAAAACGGTGAAAATACAATAAAAATTGACACGCGTTAAAAAAACGCACGCACACACACAATAAAGTGAAATACAAACACAAAAAGAGATTTGTTTTTGCCAATTGTCTTGAATGACATATTGCCATGAATGTGTCATTCATTTTCAAAAAAAGAAAACAATTATACGCACACATATGTTTTTGATACCAACCAAAACAAAACCCAAATAACGTTTTATTGAAAAAATGATACGAATACGTCAAATAACTAAAAACCAACAACAAATAGTAATAATAACAGTAACATTCCGAATATTTCGTTGTCTAGGTATCAAGAAAAGTCAGAGTGTTAACAAATTAAGTAGCAGCAGTTATCCGCAGACGAATAGAGCCGCACCACAAATAGACACACAAAAATGGGTAAATGATCGAATTGAAATGAAGCAAATTATAACAGAAAAAAAAAATCCACAGTACTTATATATAGATCGTGAGCATTGATTTCAATGTTTATCGAAGCGTATTGAATTTTGAATGTTGTGTTTGCCGTCTCATGAAATGGCCCTCGTTGTTAAATATCTAAATATATCTATATAGAAAGATAAACTGGAAACTGGCTACTGGGTAATGGTAACGGTGCAATGCGTTTTTCGAAAGCCATTTGACAACGAAACATTAGAACCGAAGATAACTCGTAACAAACGATGTGATGAAAATAAATTTGTTACTGAGCTGGTAAAATAAAACGTCAATCTGTTTGCAAAACATGTTTGATGCAAATTTAACACACTCACAACGAAAAAAAAATTGATAATCGTTTTACTTTACACGCATTATGCGACAAATGCTTTTCGCGTGAAATTGCGCGCGCGAGCCAACACTTCAACATTTTACCACTGCAACGTCGCAGTCGTTCTGACCCATTTTGTGTGTGTGTCACTTATGAGGTCAAGACCACTTAGAAATTCATGCTATTATTACAAATATAAAACAAAAGAGATATTCATCGGAACAATGAAGAGAGAAGAAAAAAACGCCGAACGCCGGAGAGAGTGACGAAAATTTTAATCGCTTTTCAAATGGAAATGTTCCATTAATAATCCTGTATGTTAGTAGTTATTATAAATTCATGAATCGCAATGCATGATTTCACTTTCTTTCATGAAACACCTTTGTTTGACGATGATTTTCTCATTTCTACCTGCACATTTTTCTTCTTCTAGTGGTTAACGTTGTTTTCTTTTCTTTTTAGAATCATCCATGAAAATGGATCCGATCTTTTATCCACCAAGCAATGGAATTTCGACAGCAACACTACCATCTGAGAGTAAACTAGCTACATATATGGTATGGCATTACAAGAATAATCATTTTATGAATAATATTTAACAAATGCTAACGATACATTACACATTACATGCATCTACTAACTTGTACAAATTGTTTTTTCAACGATATAAAAAAAAGCATTGAAAAAATCTTTTGTTGTACATTTGGCACGATTTCATTTCCAAAAAAAACAACAACCATAATTGTTATAAATTGATTAATTGCTTTTTTTTATTATTGTATTATATTGGATTGCTGAATCATTAGATCTTATCATATTTTTTTTTTTCGTTCACAATTTCCATACCTTAATATACATATATATAATGATTTTATTTCGGTTTCTTGGTGTTTTTTTATTTGGGTGACTTGGGACACACCGTTTTTTTTTACTTCGTATTCTTTTTACAACCACACACTCATTTTCATATAGAATCGTCAAAACACTGTTTCGACACCTACGTATGGTATTTCGGCAGTTTTGAACAAAATGACCATAGATTCGCCCATATCACTGAAAAATGTTCAGGTATGATCGATTGTTCGATACAATTTTTTTTTGGAGCAATTTTAAATGAAACAAACAAATAAGAAAATTGAGAGAAAACAAAACCACATGCATATTGACCTCATACATACACACTCACATACACACTTCCACGTAACATTAACTTGTTTCTCATATTCAATACATTTGTTTTTGTTGTCATTTCGATTAAAAACGATTTGTATCGAATGTGTTATGTTTATAAATCATTAAACTATTTGTGCTTAAAATCATGTCATAAAATTTGATTGAAATAACCAACCTTATCACCAAATCACCAAATTTTTGAAAAAAAAAAAAGAAAATGTTTTATCTCGGTTTATGGATTTTGTTTATTGGAATTCCTGGATAAAAAATACATTTTCTATTCTCATTTCAAACTAATCGGCTACTACTTATAAACAAAAAAATATAAAGAGCAAAAACTGTGTGACGGTTAATTAATTTAAATAAGCATTGTTTTTTTTTCGTGTTAGGTAACACCACAATCACCTGAATTCATTCCATCGAAAGTAAATTCATCACCAAATTTTTACTCCCCGTACGCATCTGTGATGAATGCAAATAATATAACTCCGGTAAAATCCAGTACGGGCGCATCAAGTGCATATGCAATAGCACCAAGTAAAGGTAAACACATTTTAACGAATCGATTTATCGATGATTGCTCATATAATTTTTTTTTTTCATTTTCAGCTAGTAGAAATTTGATGCGCGTTGAATCTCCTCATAGTGTTGAATCGCCGAAATTAACGCCTTCACCTCCATCGAATGTGCCGCAGAATATACATCAGGTATTATTTTTTTCATTCAATTTTCAATTTTTGAATTTATCATCATTTTCATTTTTTTTTTTTTTTTTTTTCATTTCAGGAGAATGTCGGCGGAACCACATATTTTTATCCAACGGGCAATCACTCAGCAAATCAAACGAGTAGTTCAATTGTTACCGATTCATCATTGTCATTATCGCATCATAGTAGTTCACAGAATATCAGTTACTCACAAGCGGTGCACGTATATCCGGGGCCATCATCAAATGTGGTTAACATGCAACCAAGAACACAGCTCTCTTCTGCCATTTTTATACCAGATGATATGCGAAATGACATATTAGCTCGTAACGAGATCGCAAATCTGGTTGATACAATTCCAAATCCAGGTAACATAATCAATTTGTGCACAATTTTCGTATTTATATTCAAATCAATTGTTTCAGATATTCCGAACGAAATTGATAATTATCATTCGTTATTTTTGTTGGAGACATTGGCTATTCATCAAAAACTTCCACTTCCATCATCGACGTACAAAGCAACACATGTATCAACTGGAATCAGATATTGCCTCCGAAGATTACACGGTAAATATATAACATGTGACTATAAACCGTGATATAAATGACGTGATAAATCTTCATATCTTTCATTTGGAATAGGTTTCCGCTTACAATCGACAAAATGTATGGGCATTGTGGATTTATGGAAAAAATTCCAACATTCAAATGTTGTACAACTACGAGAAGTGTTCACCACAAAAAGTTTCGGCGATCAATGTAAGCAGTAAATTCCGTTTTTATGACTATTTAAATTAATGAAACATTCTTTTTTCTATTCTTACAGCTTTGGTTTTAGTGTACGACTATCATCCGGGATCTCAAACTTTATTAGCTAAATACTTTACACCGACTTCAGATTCTAATAATTACCAAGATCCATTCCAAGGAGAAGCTAGACCGTTTAGGTAAATCAATTTTACGAGTGCTCCATCAGTGAATGAATGTTAAGGATTTGTTATTTCGTTTCTTTCAGCCATAAAAGTAATATGCAGCGAACTCCAAATGGACCATATTTACCTGAAACTGAAATTTGGGCAATAATCATGCAATTGACAGCTGGTTTGCGTGCAATACATCAAGCGGGTTTTGCTTGCAGGTGAGCAATATGTTTTATGTTCGATTTAAATTCCCATCAAGACAAGAATTTCACATATATTCATGTTGAATGTGTTGCTTTTCTCAAATCTGCAGGACCATTGACCCAACCAAAATAATTGTGACAGGCAAACGTGTTCGATTTAGTTTTGTTGGCATTTCCGATATTATTTATTTTGATCCAAATCAAACAAATCCAGCCGCCGCAATTGCAAACTATCAACAGGTACGATTCAGTGATGCATTCATTTTTAACCAAAAAATCATTTGTGATCTTATAAATCAATAAAATTTCAGGAAGACTTAACGTCATTAGGAAAATTAGTTTTAGCCTTGGCATGTCGATGCTTACACTCAGTTCAAGAAGATCGAATCCAGTCCAGTGTATCACTTGTATCGAGGAATTATTCATCCGATTTAAGAAACTTAGTTCTGTGAGTATATTAAACTCCAAATCCTGATTCTGAAATGTCTAAAATATTGTTTTTGTTTTATCTTACAAAATGTTAGGTACCTGCTAACAACCACGACAAATCGGCGTTCAGTAACGGATTTAATGCCTATGATTGGGGCTCGGTTTTATACTCAATTAGACGCTTTACAGTGCCAATGTGACCGGCAAGAAGATGAATTGGCCAAGGAAATGGAAAATGGACGCTTGTACAGACTGCTCGTTAAATTGGGTTGCATCAATGAACGGCCAGAGTAAGATTTTTTTCAAATTGGAAGCAAAATATGCGAGCGTTGAATGAAATTTGCATGAAACAAATAAATAGGTTGAATATGGACGTAACATGGTCGGAGACAGGCGATCGATACATGCTTAAATTGTTCAGGGACTTTTTATTTCATGCGGTTAATGAAGATGGAACTCCATGGTTGGATCATGCTCACATCATTCAGTGTTTGAACAAATTGGATGCTGGCACATTAGAAAAGGTAACACACTCATTCAATTGTTTTTTTTTTTTTTTGTTCACCGAATGAATCAAAATTGAATCCTTTCATCATAGGTTCAACTTGTGTCGAGGGATGAGCAATCGATTTTAATTGTAACATATGCCGAATTGAAGCATTGCCTAGAACAGGCATTCTCCGAATTAACAACAAATGCAGTTGCATTACCATAATGCAAATAATCACAAAACATTCAAAACAAAACGAAAAAAATGTTGCATCTTATAACCATTTTTACAATTTAAACTGTAAAAAGAGAATGAAAGCGAAAAACAAAGAAAGCAAAAAAAGATTGTATTTACATAATAGTTTTTTTTTTCATACTCTTTTTTCATATACAACGGGTGAAATGGTCAAATGAATCAAATTTTTTGCATGAAAAATTTCTGACAACCTTTTTCTCACATCTCTTCATTCGATTTGTTGTGATAGAAAAGCATTGACAGCTGAATATAGAACTTAGAATGAAACAAACTGAAAACAATCCTATAAAACAGAATCCATATTTTTTGAAATGAAACGAGAAGAAGAAGAAAAACGCAGTGCGCACAAGAGCCGAAAAGAGTAGGCAAATTGTTTATAATTTTGAATGAATGATGGAAGGCAAATGGCCGACCACAAAACGTGAGAACAGAGAGATAGAGAGAGCAAACTGGAACCAGATGACAGCTTCTTCCTTTTTTTGGGTTATTCAAATCATCCAAAGAAATAATGAAAGAATAGACATTTATCGTCTTTATTTTTCTAGAGCAGTTTTTGTAATTTATATAAAAACTGAAGAGAAAGATAAAAAAAATGAACAATTTACAACACAAACACCGATATAAATTGCAGTCAAAATTACAATATTGAATTCAAAGCATATACCGAAATAGTGAATCCATGCAAAAAAAAGACTGCATTTGGTCTTGGTTTGTAAACCAGGAGGGCAAACGCTTAAGAATTTATATGGAAATATCCATTTTAACGAAACTCGTTCTCGATATTGCGAAGAAACATTCATTGAAGAAAAAACAAATTCCATTAACTATTGATTTTAATCGATGAATTTTTTGTGATTTTATTAATTTTTTTTCGTTCAAGTAAAAAAAATGTTATGTACAGAAATGATAGGCGCGCGATATTTTTCTTTGTTTAAAATAATTACACGTAGCAAAGCCAATAATTTTCGATTAATTTTAACGATAGATTCTCCAAGTCGTTTATTAGTTTAAAAAATGCAATTCGTATTTACGAATTGTATTAGTTAATTTGTCAAAAAATTCAAATGACGGTCTAGAACTGGCACATTGTTACAATGTAAATGCAATTTTTTTTTATACTATGGACAAGCACAAACTGAAGAGGAAAAAAAATACGAATAATTTTTTTTAAAAAAATGGATAATACAAAATGCAATACAAGAATTTTCTCTTAATTATTTTCTTCTTCTTATTTGCTTTTTCTTAATAAAAAGTAACATAGTGAATAACAAATCGATTCCGGTAAAATCAGTATTTAATTTTTTTTTAAATGTAGTTTGTCATATCGTTTGGCATTTAATAATTTAAAAAAAGAGAAAAAAAAATGAAAATAATTGTGAAAACGGGCAAATCATTCAATTTTAAAATGAAAGGAGTACAAACATGGTTTATTCAAAACAGTTAATTTAAAAAACCAAAACACTCTGTCTATTGAATATATCGAGAAGAGAGTATGTTATTCAGCGCTTATAGCTGAGTAATGTCTGAATAAAAACATACTCTCCTCTCGATATTTTCAATAGATGTAATAAACGCTATTTTATTAATATATAATTTACAAGATCCGGGGGGAATGTGAGAGGACACAGAAGAGAACACATTTTCAGCATGTGTAATCGCGCCACACCAAATTTAACACGCGACAGAATGGCAGCTGAAATTGAAAAAAAAAAAACATTGGTGTTCGCCCACAAAGAAAATACATTTTTCCATTTCTAGTAGCGAAGTAAAGCATTTTTTGTACTTTAAAAAAATAGCCAAAAAAAAGTTATGTTCTCTGATCGACTAGAATTTTAATTTTTGTAAATATTTTTGTTTGATATTTGTCAGTATGTTATAAAATGGTGTGAAATTCTCTCTTTCTTTTATTTTGTTTTATGAAATTATTTTCTATTAAATTTGATTCTTGAAAAAGAAGGTGATGTCGGTGAATTATGTAAAGTAAAACAAATTTAAACCGAGCCAAAATTTGTGTTAACATTACACATTTACAAAGTTTTCGATAGATATTTTCACTTTATTTTTATGAAATAAGCGTAATAAACATTTTATTTGAACACAATGAACATAACGATTGAAAGATTGACGAAATGTACCAAAATCACTGTTTTATGGGAGGGATGAGGTGGAGAGAGACAGAGAGAAACAAAACATAAATGGTTTTCACTGAAACAGAAGTTATCATATCCTTTTTTTCTGAATTCATGTCAATTACCGGATTTAAGTGTTATGTTTATGACAGAATGAAAGAAAAAAATAACAAGTTTCAAATCAACCAGTTAATTTCAATTGAATTCCAATTTTATGGCAATAGATAACACCAGCTCAACATTTTTGATCATATTTTTCTTTAAAAACCGAAGATGAAAAACATAACAAACACTAAAAATTCGATCGAGAAACGGCGTACACATTTTCCATCTCCGTAAGAAATAGCACTGCAACAAAACAGTGCCCTAAAAAAACGCAAATTATTTTACCTATTGAAACACAAAAAGAGATGCAAAAGTGAACGTATTTACATGAATGAAATTTACTTTTAAGATTTTAAAAAGAAAACTGAAAATTTAAAAGAAAAAAAAAATGAGAAAAAACGAAAAACAGAAAAACAATAAAAAAGTTGAAATTTTTTTTAAAATGAATTAAAAACCGTTGCGTTTTATTTTTAACCGTTCGTAAAGCTTCTTTTAAAAACATAAGATTCAAAATCTCTGACATTTGAATTGTATCGAATTCATATTCGTAAACCGCTTCAGTGGTGAATTCACATCGATAAAGAATTGTTGTTCCATTTGGTTTATCGTCGCTTTTTAATTGTTGTATTGTAATACATTAAAATGTATCTCTGTTGATTTTAATTTCAATTTAATCGAAGATTGAAAATCGTTTACTATTTACATAACAAAATGCAAAACAATAATAAGTGTGCAAACAAATTATCATTCGTTCAAATCATAACAACAAGGTGGATTAATATTGGGATCAAATTATTCATTGGTACACCGAGAAAAAAATTTTGGTAAATGTAAAGGGTAATTTGTAAGTTTAATATTACTTTACCAAATTACCGTACGAATTCTACCATTTTGTCATATTTTCAAAACAAACGACACGAACAAATTAAATTTACCCCAGCATAATATTACATTTACCAATTGCCGCGTAGCAGTCAAATCATACCTAACGTCGACATATTTTATTGAATTAATGATTAATCACTATATTTTGATATACTTTTGATATATTGGGACTAAAACTTAATAACGGGAATTTGACGCTAGTTGTCACCACTTGTAATTGTGTCGTAGTATATGAATGCAATATATGTCATTTGAAAGTGTCATTCAACAACTGTCAAAGCAGTAAAAACAAATATTTTATCTTGGGCAGACGTTTTTTCTTTTCAACTATGGAAAATTTTAAAAACTGGAGGAAAAAACAGCATTTGCGGGAAGTTTTACTCAGCTATTTTTTCGCAAAGAAAACTGCTGCTGAAAGTCATCGTTTGCTAGTGAAAACCTATGGCAAAAATGCTCTATCGAAAACACGGTGTTACGAATGGTTTCAACGCTTCGAAAGTAATGATTTTGATATCAGTGACAAAGAACGCCCAGGTCAGCCGAAAAAGTTTGAAGATGAAGAATTGGAGACATTACTCGATGAAGATCCATATCAAACGCAAGAAGAAATTGCAGAATCATTGGGAGTGACTCATCAAGCCATTTCAAAACGTTTGAAATCATTGGGATTCATCCAAAAGCAAGGAATTTGGGTGCGACACGAATTGAAGCCGAGAGACGTTGATAAATAAATATAAATATCCATTTTGCTAATTTTAATGAAAGTAAATCATAAAATAAAAAAGTCTGAACATTAAAAAAAATTAGAACTTTAATATTGTTTCATTTTCTTCTCATTCAAATATTAAATAGATACACATACAAATAAATTTGTGTTCAAAGTTCACTTGATGTTGGCCAAAATCAAAGTATATAACCATCAAATGATGGACAAAATTTGATTCCAAAAAGAGACATATGTTCGGAAAAAATGAATAAAATACTTCTGTATGACACTTATTGTGATATAAAAAAAAAAGAAGAAAAGAGTATGTACAATTGAGTATAAAAGTCTCCATCTTATGTAAATCCTATACAAATTATGAGACACTTTTAAGATTTTTTCAGCTTAAAGTCTCTTTTATTACCAGCCGTACAATTGTACAGGTAGAGCAAGATAAAATCGACGTCTAATTTCTGATTGTGGAGTAGTGTAAGACAATTGAAGTAATTTAAGTTTGTTTTAAACACTTTCACACGACATATGCTTTATCGTGTCGTTTGACACACTCCCAATAATGATCTTTTTTAATGAAAAAAAAACCTTAAATGTAGTGTAAAAAATATGCTCAAAAAGATCAATAGGTTTCAGTATTATATATAAGGTGAAATATCGTCTATCGCTGGTTTATTGGCTCCAATCTACCTTCACTTTCCAAATACTTTCCAGAGTATCATTTATCCCTTGCTGCTTATCGACTGAAAATTCGGCAGTTAAAATTTGATTGCAGCAACCTTAGTGGTGTGAAAATGACGAAAAAAAGAGTTTTAGATGCTGACATAAAATTCACTTAACCGTTTCCACTTATATATAAAACAGCGAGGCGCTTTTACATTCTTCATAACCAAACTAAAGCTCAAACCATGGCGCTTTTTATGAAAGTTTCGATAAAAAAAATATCAAGCACAATAAATGCAATAATGTTTATATGTAGATTTGTGCAAATATTTGAATTATGTGAAATGCAATGTGAAAACCAATTTTCGAAATACACATTCGATTGAAAATGGTTTAAAAAAAATGGCAGTGAAACTTTTGAAATAATTGAATCAAATCCGATCAATTTGAATGAAGTTGGACAAATCCATTTAATCATAAACCGAGTGTTACACATACACAAATCTGGGCACAAAGCCTTGATAAATGCAAGTCCATTAATTACCATGTTATCAAGCTATTATGTGCCAAAGATTTAAATTGAGTTCAAATCAATTATTCGTATTTGATTGAAATCACACTTGAAACTTATCTACATCTACAAGATCCTGAGTTCGGTTTTGATTGTGTTGAGAGAGTATATATCTCTCACTCCTCTACCACCGAACTGTTGCAATGCCATCGAACTTTGCTAAGCTGCTGCATCAGCAATTGGATTCCAATTTAGTCAAGAGCCGTTTTTCGATGCATAAAATCAATCTATGTGAAAATTCGTAATGAATGGCCCACCATTCAATCCAGCATTTCGGAAAACTGCATCCTTTTTTGTGTGCATAACATTCAGTGAACTAAGTTTTTTCCGGTTTTTTTTTTACTTGATTAGAGTTATGTTCTCTTGTGAGAGTGATTAGTTTTATTATTATTATTTTTTTACTTTTCTATGAAATTCGTAATAAGTTGATTTATATAGGAAGAGAGATTTTTGCCTCTCTTTTGATTTATGAAATAGTGTAGAATTTATCGGTGCAAAAAAAAAAACAAATTTATATCATATATACCTAGATATAATGGGAAAGCATACGTGAATATAAATTAATTTCACACAATTGTATCGAGAGATTTCATCGGCATTGGCCTTTTATGTGATTTGATGACTAAACGCATGAACAATGCGCCACTTTATGCGTGCACAAAAATTTTAATTGATTGTTCGTAATGAGATAATTTCACTGTTAATTAATTTAAAGGTAAACAGAATAAAAGGGTAACCAATTATAACACTCATTTTACAGAAATATTTCCAGGTGAGAGAAAGTTGGTGTTATGTTGCCATCTTCTTCTCTTAAATGCATTTCAATTCGATTGTTGACGATGGAAGTTCAAACAATACTCATAAATAATCGATATGAACTGAACATGATTGATTTATAAATTCAATTTATAGACTCGGACTCGCCGAAACGAAATAATAACGAAAAACCAACTTCAAAAATAAACTTGATAGCACATGATTTTTCAACGTTTCTTACCACCGGACCCCTTGAGGCTACAGCTTTGATGTTTAATAACGCAATAGAAATTAAAAAGTCGAGCAATGAGTCAATGCATTGGACGTCATTACCGCCAACACGTAAACCAATTGTGAATTGTGATCAAAATAATTAATGAATAAAATATCGACGAAGTGTATAGTCATCCATCTCTCTATGGTGTCGGTGTGAGTGTGAGTGTTTGTTTACATATTTGAAAAGCTAAACAGTAGTTTTCGTATTAACATTTCATTAGATTAATTCATTTACGATTGTTTTGATCAATACAGATGTCGTTAGTCAAACGAACACTATGTATCGTTTATAATGAATGAATCATGCCATTTCTCAAACATTACACAACTTTGCATAATCTATCGTCAAGTTCAACGAAAACAATTCAAGTACCCATATACTAACGGCAACTATTTACATCAATTCATGACAGTCGCCTGTCGGCAAACCCGAAAGAAAAAAAAAACTTAAAATAAAGATATAAAACTAAATTCTTCCGATAGTGTGGAATTTTACGAGGCCAGAAAAAAATTTCTCTATCGAGAAATTATTTGCAATATAACATGCTACAAAACCCATATTTATCGGTGAAAAAAAATCACAATAAAAATGAAATGAAATTTTATCATTGCTATAATTTGGAGTCAACCGTCTTGAAAATATCGATTAAATATGTAAATGAACATATTTTAGAAATTTTCTGCGAAATTTAATGCTAATGACGATTTTAGATTAAATTCTGATAACACAAAACTGCGTCAATTTAAATTTATGGACTTTTCGGCGAATTCACCATCATTTGAATGAGAAAAACGGTGATCAAAATAAATGAACCGCTAAGAAATATATACAAATATTTCGATAGAAACTATACCAATTTTTGTCCAGCGGTGGATGGACATGCCACATATACACTATTCGCAAACGACACAAAACCGATATAGACACACGACGACGGCGACATTTGAGATGGAAAATACAAGCATTTCCATTGGTTAAAAGAGTGCAACGTATTATTCATTATTTTTTACATTAACATTTTGTGTGTATAATATTCAAATACACACTTATGAATCATATCGGTGTATTGTGAACGGATATATCTTTAAAACCAATACGAAAGAAAATGTGTTAAGTTTTTTTTTGCCAAAAAAATCCTATACCATGTTGTTGTTTTTTTGGTACAACAGCAATTCAATTGTTCATGTACGCATTGTATGCTTGTTTCCTCCATTCATCTTATTCGCATGCATCGGTATGTGTGTGTTTGTGTGTATAGAGAGCTACAGCAACTGTGCAACTGGCTTGGCTACAGCTGCCTTACACAAACACAACAAGAGAAAGAGAAAAAAAAATGCGCGGCAAATGAATATTCGAACAACGAATATGAACAACACGAAACATTAACGAATACTAGATATAGTTATGGTTGTAAAGGCATTCTCACACATCATAATAAAAATTCGTTAGTCAACTAAGAGTTTTAGGTATCTCACAGTCAGTCTCAATTTCAGTTCGATCGAGTGAAGATTCATCGTACGTACTTGAATGACGAATATTTATATATCGTATTTCGTTAAATTATTTCACTTTGTGTCTGTTTACTGTCTGTTATTGTAAGCGATTTTATTTTTTTTTTACGTTATTCGAATAGTGAGTGAATAGAAATACATAAAGGTAGTGTCTGTTGAATAAAAATTACATTTTGCATTTATATCACTTCGTTTAAACTGAATTGGCATGAAAATTAACGACCTTTTTCGGCATTGAGCTGTATAACACCTTGTCGTTTGCGTTTTCTCAATAATTTTTTTCAATTCTCTGTTTCTCTCTCTCTTCGAAACTGTGCTCATCGACATTGTGGGTCTCAATATAATCGCAAAACATAATAATTTTTATTGTGTAAAATTTCATATTCATGAACTTTCTGTGCGATGATTGTGTGCCATTTAAAATATTTTATTAGTTATGTTGTGTGTTTGTTGTTTTTGTTGAAGCCGATCAAATCGTTGGTTGTGAAAGTTGTTATGTGCACCTCATTCGCATTTTTTTTCCTATTTACCACACAATAAGTCGTATTAAGCATATCTATCGTTGTATTTTGTTTTCATACATATAATATTTTCAAACTGACTACTATTTCTCTGTTTCTTTCATCTTATATCCAGATTTTTATCAGCTGCGACTGTGAGTGACAAGAACCAGCGTCTAAGACGTATATAAAATACTCGTTGAGATAAAACGCGCGTGTGACAAAATGAGTGTTCAAAAATCAACGATTGTCTGGTCATTTGTGCTAATCATATTAACAAGTAGCAGTATTGAAGCAGCAAAGGCGACACGTCGTGATGGAACTAAATCAAAATCTCCAAATGCCGATCATTATGCATTAAGCTATGGCGGTTCGCATGGACATCGAAATACTCCACATCAAGCCGTAACACATAAGCCTGTACAACATCAACCAGTGCAACAACAACATCAAGCACATCAACAGCATTCACCAAGCGCTCCGGCCATACCAAACAATAACAATAAGCCAATCGGTTGGAATGTACCTCAACACAATACCGCTGAACAATCGAAAACCGTATCAAATACACATTCAGCATTACCATATCCAAATAATCCACCAGCGTATACTCCACATGCTGCCCATCCACCAGCCGGACCACCACCACCGTACTCACAAAATCCAAATACAGGTTTTCAATCGAATGTGCCAGCCGGACCGCCACCACCATACTCGCAAAATCCAAACACCGGATTCCATTCAGTTGGTCCAGTAGGTCAACCACCAGCTTATCAACCAAATGCCGCATATCCAAGTAAGTAGTATTCATATTCAGCTTTCATAAAGCGTATGAATTGTGTATATCGAAACATGTTGGCCGAAATTATTTTAAAAATTAACGAACAAGCAGACTAGAAATTTAAATTAGGACGAAATAGTGTCATTGTAACTATTAATTCAAACAGCAGTTCAAACCCACCGTCGCCACCGTCACATCAAATTGTATATATTCAATCAATTTGGTGACATATTTCGTACAAACGACCAAAACTTTGATTTTCATGATTTTTTTATAAATGGAAAACTGTGTGTGTGTGTGTGATGATGGTGGTCATGTCGTTTGAATCCAAACACAAGATATCCAATTATGTCTAATCGGACTAAGTTTTATAAATAAAGCAATTGTGCCTGTGTTGATATATGTCAACAACATTATTGATTGGCCGCCGTTCATTCAAAACGACAATCTATTTTGCTTTTTGAAACTATCGATTTTGAATTTATAGTATTTATTTGAAACTGAACTGGCCCAATTTCATACAATTTAACACAATATATTTACAATTTGATATTTCTCTGTCTTTGATAGTGCATAATACAGCTGGTGCAAATTATCCACAACAACAATATAATCCAGGCCAAGGTGGTTATCCAGGTGCACCAATTCCGAATAATCAGCCAGCTCCTGTTATTAATAATTTCTATGGACAACCTCAAACCGGCGTTGGTGGCGGTGGTGGCTCTGGCGGTAGTTTCTTGCAAACATTGGGCGGTGCGGCGGCAGGTTCCTTGGCTGGATCTCTTGCCGGAAATGCATTGTACGGAGCATTAAAACCGGATAGTGAACATAAAACAGTTATCATTCATGAGAATGCCGCATCATCAAATGTACCAGCCTCAGCACCAGCTCCAGCAGCTCCAGGTAAATCACATAATTTTTTTTTTTTTCAATTTTTGAATTTGGTTCGTTTTTGTCTCATTTGTAGCAGTTGGTGAAACTACAACAGCCGCTGTACCTGTACCTGTATCTGGAAATCAACCAACTGTTCAACAGCCCGCCGATCCACAAACAACAATGCAACAACCACCACAAACTGAAGTACGATCGGCAGTGAGTAGCGACACCACCATGCCATTGGCAACAAATGTACCGCTAGCACCCCAACCAGAAACAACGAATCAAGCTAGTGTACCATTAGCCCCATTACCAGAAAGTACGAATGTTGCACCAACAACAACCGTTGCAGAAACAAGCATAGTGCCCAATCAAACTGTATCTTCATCACCGGCCAATGTTCCATTGGCACCATTCCCACCAGCCACTGATCCATCGGCGCATGCCCAAAAAGGAAGTGCCACAACATTTGCTATATTTAATATTTCGGTGTATACAATAATTTCGTTAATTGTTTACATGTTCTAAATGCAAGTGAGTGAGAGAAAAAAACACATCACGATCAACAACAAGAAAAAAAATCGAAATCGAAACTAATTTTGCAGCATATCATCGTCATTATCACAAATAAGGGAGTTTTTATTTATATTCTCTCGATTCTACAATTTAAACGTATACTTTTTTCATTCTAAAACATTGATTGCCATGTTTACGTTTATTAAATTGTTTTTAACACTAAGAAATCAGAATTAATAATTCAAGGCCAAATCAATGCGATTTGCTGGAGACATTTAATTAACGCCTTTTTTTGAATTGTCATGTGTTTTATCTCATTTCAATTTAACACCGTCTTTTTTTCGCCTGATTTTTTATAAATCTCGATGTGAATGCTAATTTATCGTTTTTATAATGTCATATTTAATAATGTTTTCAAAGGAAACTTTTCGGAGAATCGTAAAGGCAGAAATTGTTTCGAAGGCACATTTCTAATTCATTTTGATTGAGAAAACACAAATAACATCAACCATCCAAAATAACAATCAAATGGTTTAAATAAAAAAAGGACCGCAGAGGCGGTGCCGTATAATTGAATTCAGTCAAATTTTAACTTATTGACAAAAAAAAAAAAACATTCGAGATGAATCGTATCTGTTGATCATGACTAACTATGCTGAGAATCGACTGAAGCATATGACATCATTCGGCAACGAAAAAAGATAAATACGTGTTTTTTTTCTCTATTATTTTCTTTCATCTCTTCACCGAAAATTATAGTTGCGAATTAAACGAAACGGTTGTGAAACATGAATTAGGTAGTGTTAATTGATAAACAAAAAAAAATTTATTATATATTTTAACGCAAGTAATATGTATGATGTATATGTAGATGTTTTTAGTTCAATCCTCTTTTACGTGTCCCCGTAGAACAAAAGAGAATGCTATTTATTGCGCCGTAATTTTGCCGTTTACTTGATTCAATTGACGTATGTATACAATGTTTTTGTTTGTTGCCTTTCGTTTTCTCTAGTTCAATCAATATATTGTGATATAGCCGATCTGTTGAGATTGGATTTCACAGAACGGTCACCAGCCACCTGATGATATATATCAATACACACATCATTTCAAACTATATTTATGTTTATCCCAATGTTTTATCACACTTATTATTCATCTACAAAACAATGAAAACAATGCATATTCTTTGTAGAGAATAAAAAATGTTTGATAAAGATTTGAGATTAAATTTCCACTACAACTCAATAGCACGAGTAAATTAATATGAATAAAAAGAACATAAATACATTTGGAAACCAACTACTTTAATGCCTTTTTATTGAAATACATTCAATTTCAGGTCGTTTTTTTGTTTCAGAAGGCGACGAGATTAACACAAAGTTTCTTAGCAAATTGGTGTGTCGAAGGAGACCATCAACAAATGTAACGCATAATTGTAACATGTGGTTTTTTCGTATTTCTCTGAATAATTGTCCAACCAGCATCATCGTTAAAATGTTCTACATCCATTGTGCTTGTCAGTTTATTGCAATTTGTATGCTTTTTTGGTCATTGAATTTGAAAGAGACGAAAAAAACACACACACACACCAAGTTTCGATATGGTTCGCTGAGGTGTTAAGTTTGTGTTTGGCTTTCAATTTGTCAACGAATTGTTCATGCCATTATATCGCCCTTGGCCGTATGCTATACGGAGCAAACCAAAAGAATTCAAGGCTCTGCTACTGATCTTCTTTTATTTTCAATAGTTCGTGCGAAACGTTTAAGTTTATGTTTAACTTCCGTCTTCACATGCGAAAGAGAGAGAGGGGGGGGGGTGAGAGGAAGTGAAGATGATAGAGAAAGACAGAGACCGATGTCATGCAAATTGAAAATAACAGCACAAGCACTTTGTTGTCGCACGACATGACATCGTTTGCGATATTTACGTGCAAACACTTTGATCACATTCTTGAAAGTTTGCTCTGATGCGCAAACACCAATTCATACGATATGTGAATCGAATATTCTGGAGATATACTTTTTTCTTTAATATGATACAATTTAACATCTGCTCGCTTCTGCTTGAACCGTACGACAGTCGACAGATACAAGTGCATGCGATTTGGACGATGTGTGAATCCATTTGGATGGCAATTTTCTAATTTAATCTGGTTCGAAAATGATCTAAATATATGCTAATCGAAGTTTGAACGAAAAAAAAAAACATGTACGTTGAGAATATTTAAAGCAACTCGTTAACATTTAAAATCGTATAAACGTGCGTTGGTTGATCTATTCATTCTACTTGAACGTTAGCAACAAATTAAACAATAGAATATTAAAATTGAAACTGAATTCAGTATTCGTTTGATGAATCAACCCTTTTTATCTGTATTTCCATTGCCATTGAAGCAATATTGCTGAAATTAAGCTCAAACGAAGCATGACACAGAATTTATGAATAAACACATTGATCATATCTGCAACACCATATCGTCAAATGTTTTGTTCTGTTGTTCATTTCGTGAATGTCTCTGTCTCTCTGTGTGTGTTTGTTTTGACATAGAAATTAGTTATCGATTATAAGAAGAAGCTATTGTGAAAATGTTGTAAGATAAATTGATTGATTTTGAAATTATTTTAACCTCATTCAGATAAATCAAATGGGAATACAATGTATTATAACTTTTATTGCACACGATTTATATCTGTTATGAGTAAATATTTTGATATGTTGTTCTGGATTGAATCTCTTTCGTACACCTGCAAGTGAGCAATAAATAATTCGTTAATCGTCTACTTTTGTTCAGAATCTTTTCAAAATGTGTGTGTTTTTTATTATTAAGAACCGAATCTTAGCACATCTGTAAATTGGATAGAACAACTGATAGATAACAAATCGATACTTTTAAAACGATAAACCAAATGTGTAAATATAAAACTTTTGGACAAATATATATACATTTATTGATAATATTATTGACGAAATAGAGTGCACGATGTTGAAACGAGAGTTTCAAAACCCCACTGGTATCGTTTTTAAAACTTGAACTCTGTACAAGCGAAACCAATCGATTCTTTATAAAATATGTGCACTGTACGAAAAAAAAAGAACGACGCATTTCAACGGACAGGACAGAAATATTATATTCCGAAATGTGATCAATAAATGCATTCTTTTTTTTTTATTGACTTCGTCCCTGCGCGCACGTATGTTGGCATAAATCACACATGCACAATTGTTTTTGCATGACGGACAGCGGGCATACAAAGATGCAGATAACATCAACAGCACTTGTAACCGTATGCATGCGAATCGAATAGGAAGACAGAGAAAAAAACAGCGCATATTTCGACCTTTTTGTCATACTTTAATTGTATGCAATACAAACACACATTCATTTACTATTGTGGAATTATATATTGCTGAGTACACCTGAGCGTGTTTGATGTTCAAGTGGTATTCAAACAGCAAATTAAAACGGAAATATGATGGAATTCGATGCATATATAAACCCATGCAACGTCATTGTTCCTCAATTAGTTCAATTTGTATGCAATTCAAATATTCAAACAAGATGAAATTCCATCTCATTGAGAGAAAGACAAAAGAAAAAGAAGAAGAAGAACGATATAGAAAGAGGCGGTGGAAAAAAACTATAGAGCTGTGATGAAATAAACAAAATATGAATAGACATGTAATTCGAACGTCGACAAACAACACATAACTGTTGTAATAAATAGAAGTGCAAACGAAATAATCGTCATGTGTGATGTAAAATGACGGGAAAGATACAGAGAGAGAGAGAGAGATTTTGATCCGAGTGTGAGTCGTATGGCATTGATAGTGACAACACAGAAATTGCATCTCTTTAGAAAATGCAAAATAAATACCAGATCAGTTATTTGATCTTCGTATAGTCAATTGATAAATACATATGTGTGTATAGCTTGCCACATCACCATCGGCGAATGAAACAAAATCTCTATGGATATTCACGAAAAAAACAACCGAAGATAATATTTAAATTTATCAAATGTCAAGCGGCATGGGAAAAGAGTTACGCCACATCATTGCACCAATTTTGATATAATCATTTGTTGGAACCAAATCCCAATGGATTCGCGTGGAATATAAAATTGCTAGCTCATTTTATATTAATTGTTGCCAACAAACTAATTATTTATGCGCGCGCGCAAAAAAAAAATTGATGCAAAAACATTAACTGAATCATTTTTACTTTGGCATGAATGGCGTTGTAATTGCCTATCGGTAGGCGATTTTTTATTTTTTGCACAAATTGATACTTTTTTCATGGGATGAGGGCAATGCCGATAAATGGTAGCGTATACCTTACGGAAGAGGTTAAAATACGGAACATTTTTCACATTTTGATATAATTAAATTAACAGAGAACGTCGAACAGTAACACACAAATTAACTTTGAAAATGCACGATTTTTTCTCGATTTGATTATCTTTATCTCAATATCGAAGAAAAAAAATAGAATAGAATGACATCACGAATGGCTTGAGTTAAACTGTTTTTATTTGAACATAAAGGCTTATATTTATGAGAAAAGCATTTTTGGATTACATTGCCAAGTGAAATTGCAAATTATTCGAATGATTTTTTTAGTTTATTTGAAAAACGGTAAAAGAACAAAGCTTAAGTAGAAATAATGAAAAATAACACATAGCATATTCATCCGGGAGCAGAAAAGCAAAGTTGCCAAACAATTTAAACAAGATTGTTAAAATCAAAACGACGTAGTACGTAATGTGTAAACACAGAAACGTTGCCCAATGCGCGTATAAGTGCAAACAAAACAACATTTAGTGCACGCTGATATTCCATTGCAAATGGTTCGATTGTTGTTGTTTTTTCCTGTGCACACAAAATGTAGTGAACTAAATTCGGTGAAAACAAAACCGAAACTAAGTGAAGCGTGAGTAAATTATATTGCCAAAAACAAAACTATTTCTCAATTTATACTATTCACACACACACACACATGTATAAAAAGCTCAATTCGTTGTGCCCTTTTTTTCTCTCTCGAATCTTCTCTTAATCGTAGCAAACAATTCGTAAAACCGGATTTTAAAACTGCATAAGACCAGAAATGAATTCCTGAATTGAAAGTTTTTCGCTGCAAAAAAGGTCCGTTGGTAATTCAATCAATCATCAGTTCGAGTGTGATGCACCCTTCATACGTTTTTGTTATCGTGATTCAATCACGACAAATAAGCATTAAACATCCACCGAAACATTGACATTCGAAAGTAAACCATCAAATATGAATGCATTTTTGGTAGGTTCAATGAAATAAATTATCTCTTTTTTTGTTACATCAAAATGAATCGACATTTTGTTAGGCAAGGGGGAGACGGGTGAGAGTGTTGGTCAGTAAACAAATATACAACAATGATTCGCTAACAAAATTGTTCAATATAAGAACCACAATGAAACTGCATAGAACTATAATTCACATTTTTTTTTGCTTTTCTCGCATACTTTGAGACTTATTGTTAGCCGGAAACAATGCAACGATGAACGAAGGAAAACAAAAGGAGGATAGGAAGAAAGCGACAACAACAAAATGAAAAATAAATGACTATATGCCTAACTCAGACACGATCGAAATTGTGTGTACACCATTTGAAAATGTTAAATGTCCAGCTCTGGTGCCAGTGGCGTATAAATTGAAATGTTAGAACAAAATGCAGTAGACAAGTGCTTCTTAAATCTATTGTTAACAAAATTTTGGCGTCTAGTGCGTAACTGTCTCTCTTTCTTCCCTCTCTCTCTCTCTCTCTCTCTCTCTCTCTCTCTCTCTCTCTCTCTCTCTCTGGCGCACACTCACTCTCATTGACATTTTTGAAACACGGCATATTTTCTCGGGCACCGTAAATTTCAACATTTTTGGTTGGCATTCATAGAATTCATAGAAAATAGCCACAGTATTGGAAGAACTTCGAATGGAGCTTTTCTTATCAAGTTTTTTTTGCCTTTTTTCTCTCGTTATTTTAATCTAAGTACAACAGATAATAATTACAAAAGACCTTAAAATGAGCCACGTAGACTGATAACATTGAAAAGCTTTCGAATAATTCATAATCGCACCAAGTTTTTCCATAAATACTACGTGATCGAGTTCATCTCAAATATTATTACATTATTTTTGGTATGTGCTAAGATAAATACCGAAAAAATGAAACCAAAAGAAAATTTCGAAATAATAAAACATATTTTCAGGGCAATATGAATTTTACGACACAAAATACGGTATTATTTATCCGTAATGTATTAGACAGATG